AGGGCGGAAAAGATCCTTACTGCCATTGGGGAAAATCAGCACCCAGTGTATAAGGAAGCGCAACGAGGCCACCTCCAGGCCCTGCAAAAAACGCATTGGCTCCAACATAGGGAGAGGCCACATCACCACCCAACAGGAATGGTTCCAGGAGCTGGTCCGGACCAAACCTGTGCATGCGTGGGAATGGGAAGGTCTCAACCTCCGGTGTGCTCAGTGTCAACTTAAACTTCTGCACACAAAGAACCGCAAAACCTTGGAAGCACTGGCAGCGCACCAATGCACACACAAGGCAGAATGACGGTTGAAGGGGTACATGTTACACATGTTTTAAAACTGCTAGGGGACAGACAACTGTGGTCTGCGAAGGTTGTGGTGGACAGTTGTCCTTGAAGACTAAAAAAGTTTCGCAAAAACTTTCAGTTGCGTGCAGTTTTAAAAAGGACCCCAGGTGCAAGGCGCAGTTTAAGCCCGAGCCGACCAATGCCATCCGCAGCCTCTTTCAGCAGGCGCAAGGGACAGCCCAAGTTGCAGCAGACCCCTTGTGCAAAATCCCTGAAGGCACCGGCAGCTGAACAAACCTAGGAGGTTGCATCCTCCCAGTGAGGATAAAGTGAAGGTCATCCTCGCTACCAGAGAAACCACCCCTGACCGCCTCCCTCTAACAGCCTGCACAGGGTGCACCAAAGGCCTTGAGGGACACTTTGTCAAGAGGTTCCTAACCTCTCATGAGGTATCAGCCTCTGGTAGCATCCCAAAGAGGATGATAAGCTGAGGTTCATCCTCGCTGCCAGAGAACACACTCCTGGCCGATTTCCTCTTACGGTTTGCACCCAGTGCACCAGAAACCCTGAGGAACGTTTTGCCAGGAGGTTCTTTCCTCTCATGAGGCACAACCTGGAGGATGGTAGCTTAGGAGGAGGTGTTGTTCCTCCCCCTGTACCATAGGGCCAAGAGGGCCATCAGATGTGCCAGTACAGAGGCACGGTTTTTACAACCCAAACACCAAGGAGGTGATTCGCACTAGTTCGCTCAACTCGGAAAAATTCGAACCTCCCCCCCCGAACCTTGCTCTCCACTGCTCCGCAAGGTGGAGACAATCTTCGGAGCGAATGGTCAGGAGCAGCACATGAGCCAAGATGCAACCCAGAGCCTTTGTGGCTCTTGTGCCATCTCAAAAATCGGCCTGAAGCTGTAAGCCCTCCAGGCCCGCTATGGCCATGAGGTTGAGCCTTAAACTCTTCAGGCGTCGGTGCAAACACAAGGAGCTCCAAATTGTGCAGGCACACCTGCCCCTGTATGCCCTTCTGGCACTCTGTGTGCATTCGTGCATTTGTGCGCAATTCGTACCTCTGGCGCTTGTGTGGAAGACATTAAGCGTAAGTATGGGTAAGCCGTAACAAGGAACCCCGTCACTTAAACTGTTTAACGCGTCCGTAGAGACAGTCGTACCACTCATTGCTATGGGTGACGGGCAGTCGACTTGTTTGCATTGGTCTCACTGTGCTGGCTTTGCGTTGCAAGAAGGGGCTCTGCGCTAGCGGTTGCTTCTTTGTAGTTACGACTTCTTTCACGCTTGCTGGCTGCACAGTTTGACTCTCTAGTAGATGTCTTCACCTTGAGTGTTGTCCACACAAGACTGGCCTACTGGGCTGCTGACGCAGCAAAGAGGCGACCAACCTCCGGATGGTTTTTTGCTATGATGTACGCCGCAGCTGCTACGTTATATATAAGTAAGGGGGGGCTTATGGTAACTTATTCCAAAAGCCACTAAAATGTCACTACAGTCTCTTTTGTAGTAGACGTCACTACAACGTCACTACAACGTCACTACAACGTCACTACAACGTCACTACAACGTCACTACAACGTCACTACAACGTAGCAGCACCGCGTTGTGACCGCGTTGTGACCGCGTTGTGACCGCGTTGTGACCGCGTTGTGACCGCGTTGTGACCGCGTTGTGACCGCAAGGTGTTGTCAAAATGGAGCGATAATGACTCAATAATGTTGCAATCTTTGCTCGAAGCAGAAGTAGCAGCAGTAGAAGAGCAGTTTGCAGCAGTGGAAGCAGTAGGCAGACTTCGAAGAGACTCCAAAAAGACTGCAGTCTTCACCGGAAAAGATTCCAAAAAGACTGAGTCTCTAACCGAGTCTCTGCAGTGAAGTGCTGCTTCTGCGTCATACTGCAGTTTGCAGCGTTTTTTACGACTGTTCTTCGCGGTGCTGCTGTAACGGTCACTACGCGTCACCACGCGTCACTACGCGTCATACGGGTCACTACGGGTCACTACGGTCACTGCGGATCACTACGAATCAAAGTGGTCACTACGGTGTCACTATGCGGTCATTACAAACTCTTCAAAGGCTTCGCGCAACGCCAGCCGAGCGGTAAAGCCTCTCCCTAGAAAACATGGCAGAGGCTAGGGCAAATGTCATCAAGCAGGTATACGAAAATCCGAGAACCGGCTTCGGCAATCAAGCAGAAACCCTAAAACAAGCCCGCTTGCAAGATCCACGCATCACGAAGGAAGGATGTGAAGCGCTTGGCTTGATCGAGAGGACCGCCTCTAACGCGGTTACAACAGACTACTGGTCGCCACGGGTCACTACGGGTCACTACGGGTCTACGGGTCACAATGTGGGAAATGATTGGATCCATCGGGCCGTGTCACAGCGCAAAAAGGTCTATCTTGTGTTTCTAATCCTATTCAAAATCAGTATTCTCAGATTTGATGCGGTCGCTGCAACTGTCTGTGTGAGACGCTGATTAGCGACAAGGGCCATAGCGATGAGTGGTGTCAGACTGCAGTGCAAATCAGTGCGCCCTTCATCGTTGACGCTGCGCCCGCTCATCTTTCAGCAGCGGCTTATGTACCCTTGCGCGCGCGAAAGGCTCAACACAACAAAGGATGCAGATTGTTTAAGCCGCCAGCTCGACAAGCAGGCTAACATAGAACTGGTGTGGCCTCGAAGTAGAGATCGCTCACTATTTGCTGCACGTTCGAAGCGTCACTTGCAAGCATGGCCACACCGACAATTGTTGCATCATGCACGTTGGAAGGTTGACGAGTGAAACCCAGAGCCCGCACAGCTGCGAGCACGGATTCTCCAAATCATGCTAACAAGTAAGACTCAAAGTTGAAGAACGGCAGGGCTGGACAACACTGCAAAATTGCTGTCATGATTGAAGCGTTCTACATCATGCTGGCATGAGCAAAGCAATGCAAGCGGAGCGGCCAACTGAGGGTGTGTAGCCAGTCAGACAAATATGTAAGGGGGCAACTTATTACATTGTAGTGACGTTGTAGTGACATTGTAGTGACGTAGTGATCACTACAACGTCACGACAACGTCACTACAATGTCACTACAACTTGGGTTTTCTTGCTTAACGGCAAAATGGGGGCTCGCGCTCTCCCGCTTTGTTTACTGGGAAACCTTTCGGTCGGAAGCTGGAACCAATCTGAAGTTTCAACCTAAACCCCAAACTCTGAAGCCCTAACACTACCACTTCCACTTTTACGACGACGATGACTTCGACTGCGACTACGACCACTACTACGACTACCACTGCCAGTACTACTACTGCTGCTGCGACGAACACTGCTACTACTACTCCCTCCTACAACTACTGCTACGGTTACTGCCAACCACGACCACTACGACACCACTACCACTACTACTTTGGCGGACGACCACTCCGATGACGACGACTACAACACCACCTGCTACTTTGGCGACGACCTACAACACCACCCTTAACAACCCTACGACAACAACAACAACCACCACAGCAACAACCACAACAACCACAACAACCACAACAACAACCACAACAACCACAACAACCGCAACAACAACAACAACAACAACAACAACAACAACAACAACAACAACAACAACAACAACAACAACAGCAACAGCAACAGCAATAGCAATAGCAACAGCAACGCAACAGCAACAGCCAGCTCCACGCGTCTGGTACCGACAGCCTGTCCGCAATGACAGCAAGCGAAGGTGAGGCAGCGCCGGGCACAGTGTTTGCTCCAATCTCAGCCCCGTGCCCGATTGCCTGGTTTGAAAGTCTGCATGGGACCCATGGCTTGAGTGTCGCCAGAATCGACGTCTTGGCTTTTTGTTCCCTGGTTGTCTGGCGGTGTACTGGTGCTGCAGTATTCTCGCAGCGTAACCTAATGTGGAGCTGCTTGGGCTCCCTCTTGTGACATGTTCTCTCGCAGTTAGCCCAAAGACAGGTACTACAACAGGCCTTCACTCCATCCGGAACGTTCTATCTTCATGTTCGCTTCGCTAGCTACTGTGGCGAAACTACGACCATCGGCACAGCGACTGCAGAGGACTGCTGGCAAGGAGATGTATGGCAAGATGTTCAGCTGATTTTTTTCCTTTAACTTGGGCATTCTCTTTGTGCGATCCGCAGAAACGATCTTTGACCATCCACACGCTGGAGACAACCGACGATTGAAGAAACTGGAGCTTTACCCCTTGCTGGCCTAGATGAGTGTTCTGTATAAACATGAGATCATCGTTGAGCTTCAGTTCTGTGGAGGCGAAGTGGCTCCATGTGCAGTGCAAGTGTTGGAAACTGCTCGTTGTCTGAGACAACCAGAGCAATGTGAAAGTAAAATTCGCAACGCTACAAAAAACACAACAACCGCCACAACATCCAACCACAACAACCACAACAACCACAACAACCACAACAACCACAACAACCACAACAACCACAACAACCACAACAACCACAACAACCACAACCACAACAACCACAACAACCACAACCACAACAACCACAACAACCACAACAACCACAACAACCGCCACTAAGCACAGCTGCCCGGTTGCACCGTTGATACGACACCGTTTGCCATTTGCTGCTCAGGTTTGGCTGAGTTTTGTAAGAAGCAATGCTGTGCATGTGCAAGAACTGACTACGGCATGTGACCAGCCAGAGTTTGTGTTCAGCTTTGCCGGTACGAGAAAATGGCCGTGCAGAACGCCACTGACACTGCAGAGCTATGTCTGTGCTGGTTTTGTGCCTTGGCCGTTCGAGATCACAACATTCATTGGCATAAGCCGGCAGTACTGCGGCAGGTGCCAAGCCACACACTGTGTTTATACAACGGCAAGCGGTTTAAACATGCTTCGCGCATGTTGTCAGGCTATTGCGCGGCCGCTAGCGTGGACGTGGCAGAAGTTCAAGGTCCAGTTACACGTTTTGGAAATTTGTCGATAGAATTGCGAACTGTCGGGGAACACGCCAAACCTTGTGCTGACAGCCTGCGCGTTTGAGTCGGCGTTTTTCTGCCCGTCCTCATATGCCGGCTCAGCCTGCAGCACAGAACATGACCGGTATGCATGTTTTGTGTTTCCGCAGCGCAGACTGGTTTTGATTGTGAAGTTTGACACTCGACTTGTTCTGCCCCCTCTTTAGGATTCTAGGACAATAAGTCAAGTGGGGAAGCAACAGAAACAGTTTCTGTAGGCGACTGCTGGAAAGCCGCAGCCCATCCTGCAAAGCTCCATGGCTGTGGTGTGGGAAGTCACGAGGCGTGGGACAGCATTTTGGAGCCGACGGGCGCGATCAAGACACTTTGCGAGTATGCGGTTCAGCATGGTAAAGCCTACGTTATGGGACTTTGCCAAAGTGGAAAGAGCTCGCTCGGTCGGCAAGCTGAGTTTTATGCCACACTGGGGTTGAGATAAACTGACAAGGTCATACGGGTTAAGTGTTGCCGTTGTGTGGAAGACATTGACTTTTCTACCGAACAGAGCACTATCTTCTTTGGCGGTCACAAAAATCAAAAACTCGTTTAGAAAATGTGCTCTTGTCACCGACGTCGACTTCGGCAATTGCACGCTCAACCCAAGCTGCCACGTCATCCATGACTGGTCCATTTGAACAGAATCGGTGAGGGTCAAGTGACTCTGCCCCATTCTAGGCTGCTGGGCCTCTGCGTTGTCAGCAGGACATACTTCAAGTGGGGCCGGCGCGGCATTTTCAGTTCGTCTGCGAATGTACCGTGTGCGAAGGCACGGTGTGCCTGATCAACATGTGGGCCTGCTTGTCGCTTACCTGTGCGCAGTCAAGCAGAATAATGGTGTTTTGCCTTGGTTAGATTGACGCTTCTTCGAACCGTGTCGTCTATGGCAACAATGGAGGTTGGATTGAAGGCTCCGACCGTCAACAGCTCGCCAAGACCCTTCTGGCTCACGGTGAGGTTCTCTTTGACCGAGCAAGCAAGAGCAATGAAGCATTGTCGGATGCAGTGCGGTTCGGATACCTCAGGACCGTGTTGCCTGAAGAGAGCGGCGAATCCCTTGTCAAGTTGCCAAACCAAGACAAGAGGTCAGGAAAGGGCGATCTGAAATTTGCATTTTCCACGAGTTGGCAAGCTGAGTACCTTCGGCAACTGTGGACGCCATGCCAGCAAGATTGGAATATAGACGAGCTTTGCATCAACGCCCTTATTGGGCTTCAGTCGCAAACGCTGATGAAGGGTCTCGTGCCCAGCGGCAAGCCTGCGGGCTTGCTGAATGAAGCAGATGTCCAAGCTGACGCCTACGCAATGTTTTGCTCTCTCGGATGTTCATGCCGTGTTGCGAGAGTATCCCCTTCGCAAGGGACGCAAGGGTAGGCCACCTTCCGTTGACTTTGTAGTATTTGTTAGTGGCATGCGTCTGGCCATCGAGATTGCCATCGAGGGCAGCGGCGAAAGTGTTCAGAAACATGCGGACAGATTCCTGATTGATGGACAGTATGATGTACATTCGCAAGGCTTAGACGACTACCGCGTCGTGTACATATGCAGCTGCTGTCCTGAACAGCTGCTTGACAACGTCCTCTACTGCTTTCCGTGCAGAAGCCAGCGTCTCAGAGCTGGGGTGCCATCAGCATTTACACAACAGTTGATCTGAGCATTGAGGTAGTGGATGGCGGACGATTGTCGTTCGCAGTCGGCACTTGCAGGTCGCCGTGCCGCGAGATTCTGTTCCAAGACGATTGACGCGGATGAGAAATGGCATTGAGGGGCAGCTTCTTCCGCTGACTTCTTTGCAGTCAGGTGCCATGTGTCTGTCGCTTTGCAGAGTTTCGTGCGCCTCATGTATCCTAAGAAGGGCATGGTTGCAGATGTATGTGTGGCTGCCCGTTTTCTACAAGCACATGTCATGATGTGTGCCTCTTCGGACTCCTTTTCTCTGGTTTGATCTGCAATTCTCGGCTGCGTTGCGTCTGTTAGCACCCTGTGAGGCCCATCTGCCGGATCTGCAGGCACAAGAGTTGCAAGGTTTAAGACCATTGCTCCAGGTGAAATACCAACCTCTCGCGTTTTGCGAGGCTCTGCAGGCACGACCTCAACGTTATCAATTTTCCAGAGAATAGTTCGGTGGTTGTGATATCCATGCAAAATTTCGAATCTTGCCCGCCTCAGCCGGTCAAAAGCTTGGTTTTAGATCAGCATGTTACACTGCTGCAACTGTGAAATCTGCAGTACATGTGCTGCGCGCGGTGCATGCTTCTTTGTCAAGTAGCCGCTGTGTGAGTTGATTGGCGAGAAGGAGCTACCTGGGATCGGCAGGCTTTCTTCTGGTTCAAGTCAAGGTCTAACTTGCACGTCATGCACAGCAAAACATTGAAGGCAATGCAGCCAACGCAACAAGTCTTGTTCCGCAATCGCTTTTGCGTGGCTGATCTTTATCTCTCGTCGGAAAGATGGCTTTGAGTGCGTACATCTCTATTACTTCAGTGCTTGTTGGGACGTTTGGCGAGGTTGCGGTCTGCCCTGAGGGTTCATGCCAAGCATTGGAGCCCTGGACGGAAACTTGCTTCCAGTACAATCAAGCATCGAAAGCTGCTGCCGGTGGGACAGCTTACGTGGCGTTTTGGGAGTGTGCTCACGGGATGCCCCTGGCGCTTCGCATGGCTCCAATCAGCCCAAAAGAGTGGCCGGCAGGAGAAGAGTATTTTTACCAGTCGCAAAGCTTGCAGAGCCTTCTGCAGACCTTTCAGAAAGCATTGTCACTTGAGGAGGATTGGGTGTATGCCAGCCTCCACTACGGCCTTCAAGCTATCCCACGAGCCATGCGCAGGTTTACAAAAGACATTGAAATCAAATCTGAAGTGTTGTTTCGGCAGAGCGCCAGCTTGACAAAATTGATGTTCATGGTAGTTCCTGTCGCAGCAGAGTGTGAGCTCTGCGTGCCGCATTCTAGCAGTCTGGAGGTGTGGAAGCGCCAAGAGAGAACGCAGCTTGCAGGCGTTCTTCGCATCCGAGTGTCGGTCTTTCAAGAGTTCACCCCTCTGGAGATTACATATCTAACGCGTGCAGAGACAGTCCTGTTCATCTGGGGCTTCCTCAGCGACATAGCAATTATGGCCCGCATGGGCTTGTGGTTCGATTGCCATATGGGAAATATCGTGTGGCAACTCGACCAATACGGCGAAAAAACTTTCGCATGGCTGGACTTCGGAGGGCGAACTGGTGGCGACATGTTTTTCAGACAGCTCGCTGACACGCTCATTGCTGGTATGAATCGCCTACGTGATCTTGGCGCAAATGCCACGGCGAAGTCGCTGTCCGAGCTTGTCCATTCGTTCTCGGCGCGCCCCGGGCTGGACCAGGTGGCTGAGCGAGCGCAGGAGATCCTGATCGAGACATCGCCAGATTACGAGTTTGCGAGCCATGTACTTCAACGTGTGGGGCCCCTTCGTCCAGATCGGCTGCGGAGCTTGCAAGAGAGACGGCCTCGCGCAGGCTTGCCATGTTCGACATGTTTCGACAATGCTTTCTTTCGCAAGCATATTGCATACTCACTACAAACCTTGTCATGCCCAATGCTCTTGGAAGCGTCCATGTTGCACAGGGCGGAGAGATACCAACCATTGGCGTTCTGCGAGGCTCGTTGAGGTCATCTGTCTGGGTGCGGGAGCTGATCCGCAAGGACTCTGCTGTGTGAGAGCAAGTGCCGGTAATTGGAGCGCAAGGCTGACCGAGAGCATCAGTAGCATTCAGCTGAACGCAGGGTTGGGGCACCTGTTGGGATCTGGGCTCCAGTGTGTCTCGGACGCTCGTCGACAGGGGCGAAGCATGCGGCATGCCCATAGTGGCACACGTCTGATCGTGGGAGAGGGGAGGGGCGGGAGGCTGGCAGTTTTTGGCTGTTCTTTGCTGGGAGTGTTTCTGCAAGCTTGCCGTCAGTTCATGTCTGCCGCAGTTTTGACCCACTCGACTCGCAGGATCGGACGGTCACAGGAAAGCTGAGGCCCGAGGAGGATTCCGATGCAAACAAATCATGTCCACGTTGCAAGCAGTGCATTCTCCAAGACGGGTGGCTGAATTTGTTCGCATCTCTGTTGAAAAAAGTTGCCGACCCACAACTGAAGTTCGATGACGGCAAGGAGCTCGAGCCGACGGGCAATGCGTTCCAAGTGGAAGGAACCTTGACTATCGCCGCGACCTTAGCTCCATTCACTCGATTGCCTCAGTTCATTTCTGTATTTACGAGCGGTTCTCCACGCTTTTGACGTCAGGTGGATGACTTGAAGAAGGCCCTGCGCTTGGATTTTGCACGTGGATTTAGCTCGTCCTGTCTTTGGAGTTGTTTGCAGATGCGCGATGAAAACATTGAAGTTTAGAGTGTCCATGTTTGCACCTCTCGCAACCCATGAAATCAGGCAATGAAAGCGGAGAAGGAACTGTCCAGAATCCTTTGTTTATCGCTGCAGGCAATCGACCCTTCCTTGTCTCCGTATCAAGCGTCCAAGATCGGAATCTACAGCCAGAAGGAGGACTTTTCATGTCTCCCCTAGCCCTCCCTGTGCCGCGTCTCAGCGTGACTTCGCAGGACAAGGACTGGGTGAAGGAAGAAAAGATGTCAGCAAGACTGCGCGACACAACTGAGCCCAGCACTTGGTTTCGATGACCTTTCAGCTTAGGGGTTTTGCCGCCGCCCCGCTTGCAGGGCAGATTGCTATGGGTTCACGCTGCCACCAGCGGGCGATGCTTGAGTTGCGCGTGTGCCTCAGCATGCGGCATGCCCATAGTGGCACACGTCTGATCGTGGGAGAGGGGAGGGGCGGGAGGCTGGCAGTTTTTGGCTGTTCTTTGCTGGGAGTGTTTCTGCAAGCTTGCCGTCAGTTCATGTCTGCCGCAGTTTTGACCCACTCGACTCGCAGGATCGGACGGTCACAGGAAAGCTGAGGCCCGAGGAGGATTCCGATGCAAACAAATCATGTCCACGTTGCAAGCAGTGCATTCTCCAAGACGGGTGGCTGAATTTGTTCGCATCTCTGTTGAAAAAAGTTGCCGACCCACAACTGAAGTTCGATGACGGCAAGGAGCTCGAGCCGACGGGCAATGCGTTCCAAGTGGAAGGAACCTTGACTATCGCCGCGACCTTAGCTCCATTCACTCGATTGCCTCAGTTCATTTCTGTATTTACGAGCGGTTCTCCACGCTTTTGACGTCAGGTGGATGACTTGAAGAAGGCCCTGCGCTTGGATTTTGCACGTGGATTTAGCTCGTCCTGTCTTTGGAGTTGTTTGCAGATGCGCGATGAAAACATTGAAGTTTAGAGTGTCCATGTTTGCACCTCTCGCAACCCATGAAATCAGGCAATGAAAGCGGAGAAGGAACTGTCCAGAATCCTTTGTTTATCGCTGCAGGCAATCGACCCTTCCTTGTCTCCGTATCAAGCGTCCAAGATCGGAATCTACAGCCAGAAGGAGGACTTTTCATGTCTCCCCTAGCCCTCCCTGTGCCGCGTCTCAGCGTGACTTCGCAGGACAAGGACTGGGTGAAGGAAGAAAAGATGTCAGCAAGACTGCGCGACACAACTGAGCCCAGCACTTGGTTTCGATGACCTTTCAGCTTAGGGGTTTTGCCGCCGCCCCGCTTGCAGGGCAGATTGCTATGGGTTCACGCTGCCACCAGCGGGCGATGCTTGAGTTGCGCGTGTGCCTCAGCAGCGCCGGAGTTTGAGCGCTGCGAACTTGTATCCGTCCTTGTTGTGTGAGCTTCTCGGCTGAGGTAGCAACAGCATCACTGACGCTATTTTGGTGTTGCGGCTTTGCTTGACTTCCAGGATTAGCAGATAGCAGTTCAATGCTCACATTCCGTGAGCTACGGCGTTCAAGTTTTCAAGTCAAGCGGGGCGTGCAACGGGTACAGGACCAGCAACACAGATGCCAGTGCTGGTCAAAATCAGTTTCACAGAGGCGCTCTTAGTCGTGCTTAAGTGTACAGACGCGATCAATCCGTTTGAAGAAATCTGGGGGAAGGGGCGCTTGAATTGCTTTGCTCAGCCAGTACTCACCTGCCAGCATGATGTGAAAAACGCTTCAAGCATGACAGTAATTCTGTGCAAGTGTTGTCCAGCTCTGCCGTTCAACTTGTCTTACTTGTTAGCATGATTTTTTTGGCTGATTCGTGAATGGAGAATCCGTGCTCGCAGCTGTGCGGGCTCTGGGTTTCATTCGTCAACCTTGCGACGTGCAGTCGGTGTGGCCATGTTTGCAAGTGACATGCTTCGGATCAAACCGGGCGCCGCTCGGGATAGAAACCGGGGGGGCTCCGAAAGGAGCAAGGTCGGAATTCCGACCCCGAAACCGGTATTCCGGCCTCGGTTCAGGCCGACGAAGCGGGCGCCCTGCCCGGAATAGAGGCCGGGAAAAATCAATTGATTTTTTTTTTGGGCTGGATTGTCATTCTTGTCATTCCTGTCATTGTTTAGACGTCCTCCAGAGCACACAAGTACCTGTGACAGAATGACCAGCCCTCGAGAGGGCAGCGGCAGGAGACAAGAATGACAAGCTTCCCGGGGCTCGAAATAAAAAGCAAAGTTCTTGCAAAGAGCGCTGAAACGTGCTTTAAGGGGGGGGCATGGGGGCTAGCAGCTCGCAGGCCCAGCGTGTGCCCTTAAACTGCTTCCAAACAGCTCGCAGGCTCTCCACGCGCCCTCAAACTGCTCCCGAACCGCCGCGCGCCCCGTTTGCAAGCACTTTAGAGCCCCTTCGATTCCGCGACCTACCGCTCCGAGCCCGCATAAACGGAACTTATTGTGATTCGGGGAGGGTGTTCCAGCCTCGTTTCGAGAGATGCTCGAGAATTTCTACGTTTACAATTTGCAAATCCATGTTGCCATGCGAAGCTTCAATTGTGTCAGCGGAGTTGATGGCCAGCACCGAAACAATCCCACGCGCGACGATTTCCAAGAACGCTCGACAACAAACCAAAGCAGATCGACTGTGATGGATTCACGTCCACCTCGAACGTGCACACAACGAACGCTGCGAGCGTCTTCGGCCATTGCGATCTGCAACTAATCGATCCATCCAAAGGTAGCACAGCGGACCCGCAGTGACTCGTAGTGACTCCGTAGTAGTGAGTAGTGACCCGTAGTGAACCGCAGTGACCCGTAGTGACCCGTAGTGACCCGTAGTGACCCGTAGTGACCCGTAGTGACCCGTAGTGACGCGTAGTGACCCGTAGTGACCCGTACTGACCCGTAGTGACCCGTAGTGACCCGTAGTGACCCGTAGTGACCCGTAGTGACCCATAGTGACCCGTAGTGACCCGTCGTGACCCGTCGTGACCCATCGTGACCCGTCGTGACCCGTAACGCGCAGTGACCGTTACAGCTGCATCGCGAAGAACAGTCGCAAAAAACGCTGCAAACTGCAGTATGACGCAGAAGCAGCACTTCACTGCAGAGACTCGGTTAGAGACTCAGTCTTTTTGGAATCTTTTACGGTGAAGACTGCAGTCTTTTTGGAGTCTCTTCGAAGTCCGCCTACCACTTCTACTGCTGCAAACGGCTGTTTCTGCTACTACTGCTTCTACTTCGAGCAAGATTGCGACATTGTTGAGTTATTGTTGGCTCATATTTTGTCATTCTTGAGCCATTCTTGAATTAGACAAAATTCTTTTTGTGTCTTTTTGAACAAAATTTGCATTTTTTTCTGCAGCAAACGAGTTTTTGTGCATTGTAGTGACGTTGTAGTGACGTTGTAGTGACGTTGTAGTGACGTTGTAGTGACGTTGTAGTGACGTTGTAGTGACGTTGTAGTGACGTTGTAGTGACGTTGCAGTGACGTTGTAATGACGTTGTAGTGACGTTGTAGTGACGTTGTAGTGACGTTGTAGTGACGTTGTAGTGACGTTGTAGTGACGTTGCTACAAAAAAGGCTGTCGTGACATTTTAGTGGCTTTTGGAATAAGTTACCATAAATCAAACCGAGCGAGCCGCGGAATCATAGTGGCGACCCAGTGGCGACCCTGTGGCGACCTTGTGGCTGCCACTGCTGCTCTGCCACTCCGCCCTGCTGCCCTGCCACTGCCTGCTCTCTGCCACTGCTGCTGCTCTGCCACCCCCGCCCTGCTGCCCTGCCACAGCTGTCCACTGCGGCCCTGCCAGCCTGCCCACTCTGCAGTCTGTTCTGCCACCGCCCCGCTGATCAGCATTGTTGCAGCGTCACGAAGAACACTCGTAAAAGCGCTGCAAACTGCAGTAACATGCATAAGCAGAACTCGCTGCAGAGACTCGGTGAGAGACTCAGTCTTTATGGAATCTCTTATGGTGGAGACTGCAGTCTTTTTGGAGTCTCTTCGAAGTCTGCCTACTACTTCTACTGCTGCTGCTGTTGCTGCTACTGCTCAACTTCTGCTTCGAGCAAAGATTGCAACATTATTGAGTCATTATTGCGACATTATTGAGTCATTATTGAATTATTGTTGGCTCATATTTGACTCATTATTGAAACAAACGAAATTCTTTTTCGCTCCATTTTGACAACACCTTGCGGTCACAACGCGGTCACAACGCGGTCACAACGCGGTCACAACGCGGTCACAACGCAGTCACAACACGGTCACAACGCGGTCACAGCGGTCACAACGCGGTCACAACGCGGTCACAGCGGTCACAACGCGGTCACAACGCGGTCACAACGCGGTCACAACGCGGTCACAACGCGGTCACAACGCGGTGCTGCTACGTTGTAGTGACGTTGTAGTGACGTTGTAGTGACGTTGTAGTGACGTTGTAGTGACGTCTACTACAAAAGAGACTGTAGTGACATTTTAGTGGCTTTTGGAATAAGTTACCATAAGCCCCCCCTTACTTATATATACGTTTGCTTTTTGACATGGCATGGGTGGCTGTAACACCTGTCTCCGGCTGTAAGGTCCTAGCTTCGTACATAAGGAGGCATGGCAAAGTGCTGAGCGTTGTGGAAAGATGTTTTCCGCTTGGCTTGCGGGCCGGGTTCGAGTTCACACCCCGCTTGCAACTTACTGTGTTTGTACATGGCTTTGCAACAACATCATGACTGGCCGCATGGAGTGCATGGGCACTGTTCTGCCGTGCGAGGCTCAGCTGCTACGTCAGTGGTCTTGAGCTGCATCCGCACAGCAAAGCACGACTAGCATGTTTCCAGGCAAAACGGGAACAACATGTGTCCAGCTTGCATGCACTCTATCTGTAAGGCGGTTGCAAAAAGGCAGCCTGAGCATGTCAATGCACCGCTGCGTTCGCGGTGCTGCTATGGGCTTGTCGACTGCTTGTCGAAAGTTTCTTTTAAGGCAAACGGCATTTCTTGAAAAAATTGGTCCCAAACTAAGCAACAAAGGCAGGAGAAACTACAGCCATTTTGACTTTCACTGAAAAGCCTCTTTGAATGCGGTCTCTCCTTGTTTCAGTTTGTCAGCTTGCTGGTTGTGTTTCCTCCATGTGCATGCTCCATTTGAAGCATGAGGCTTCGCGCACGGGCCCGGACGGCTACCATTTTGAAGAAGATGCCTAACCGGGCCGCGATCTTTTGCCTCCCACTGGTGCCAAAAGCCAGAAGGTCGCCGTGGCTGTGCATTGCACGCCTTCAGCCATGGTGCCCACTGAGAGGCATGTGCGGAGGTCAGGTTGGCAGTATTTGGCCACCAGTACACTGGGAAGTGGGCCCCAAAATGCCCAAAGGGCAAGCTTCCAACACATGGAGTTTTGATTCACCACCTGAAGAACGCCCTCTCCGGGCTGTTTTTTGGCCTTGCAGTCGAAACTGGCTTGTGCCGATCGATCGCTCCAGATGAGTTCTGCGGCTGCAGTGAGGCTTATGCAGTTGGCATCTTCAGACATCCTCAGACGTTTCCTTGATGATTACAGTCTGTACCGTGAATGTCGTCTGAACAACCGGGCACATGAGTATACATGAGTAAGGGCATCCAATCGGGGCGTTGTAGCAAAGGTATCACCATACTGCCCGCAGTTGTGATTCGCGTGTACAGCAGCCGTGCACTTTCGGAACAGTCGAAGAGGGCATTTGGTTGTTGCATTGTAACCGGATATCTTGTCATTTCAGGTTGCTACCACGTATATGTTGGACATGAACGTCACCAAGCTGTGGCCTCAAGCCGGTGTATCAAACGTGAAGTCAAGGTTTGCTCCGGTTAGGAAACCAGATTTGGATGTGTCAGCAGCATCCGCGGCACCATCGGAATATTTAGCAACGGCTGATATCCTCAGAACCACAGGTTTCAAAACCTTACCAGGATAGTTTCATCGTATAAACAAACGTTTTCGATTGCGCATGTCATGTAGAGATGCGAGTTCGGTCAGGTGAGTTGAGCGAGGCGGCGCGGGGCCGTCGAGCATCGGGGTCGACTTCTTTTGCGTGCCATCGGCTCGATGCCTTTTTGTTTCCGCGGCTTTGAGCTCTTCCAGCCGCACTATCCCAGTTCTTTCGACGGCAGCGCCATGGCCTGGTCTGCTGGATGGTCTGGGACACCAAGGCTTGTCCAGGCTTTTGCACGGGCATGCCCAAGGTATCCGAGGTACCAACACAGGAGCCTGACGTCCAAAACCTTAGGGATTGTCAAGGACACATTGCCCCTGGTGGCTGAAGCAGGCACCGACTTCACAAGCCACTTCTACAAGCGCATGTTTGCCGCCCACCCAGAGCTGCTCAACACGTTCAACTTGGCCAACCAAAGCCAGGGAAAGCAGCAGAAGGCGCTCTTCTCTGCGGTGGCAGCTTCGGCCGTGAACGTGTTGGAGCACGGCACTTTGCCGCTTGAACTCATCGAGGGCGTCAATCACAAGCACTGCGCGCTGAATGTGATCCCGGCCCAGTATGACGTGGTGGGAGAGCACATTCTGGGAACCATCGACGACAAGTTTGCCCCCGGCCAGGAAGTCTTAGATGCGTGGGCCGAACTCTATGGGGCCTTAGCGGGACATTGCGTCAAGCGAGAGGAAGAGCTCTACAAGGAGGCGGAGTCCAAGCCTGGTGGCTGGCGGGGCGTGCGCAAGTTTAGCCTTGCGGAGAAGGTTGTCAGGAGCAGTGTCATCACTGAGTTCACCTTCAAGCCGGTGGATGGCAAGCCCATTTGTAGCTACAGCCCGGGCCAGTACACCACCATTTGGGTTTACCCAAAGGGGACGGACAAGAGACAGCCGCGCCACTACAGCTTGATTTCTGAGCCTGGTAGTGACCACATCACCATCGCCGTGAAGAAAGAAAGTGGCGGGCTGGTTTCCCCGTTTCTGCATGACCGCACCGCGGTGGGTGACGAATTCGACTTCTCCCCACCATTCGGCAGCTTCAGCGTCGAGGGTGCGCAGGCGCTGTGGACCAAGGATCCCGATGCGCCGGTGGTGCTGCTCTCCGCCGGAGTGGGCATCACGCCGATGCTCAGTATGCTGGGCACTCTCAAAAATGGGGCCCAGGCATCGGAGCGGCCGGTGCTGTGGCTCCATGCGGCGGAGAATGGCCGCCAGCATGCCTTCCGTGACTACATCACCGGCCTGGCCCGTGCACACCCCGATGATGTGCTGCGCCGTGTCTGGTACAACAGCCCGAACCCCGACGACGTCATGGGCTCCGACAACCGGGCGGCCCTGCTCTTAAGAAACATGTTTCAAGATTTTCTCAACTACTTTTCGCAAGGCTGCAGGGCCTGTGCTTCTTGCTGTTGAAAGTTGCTGCAACGAGCTGGATATCTGGAACAAACACCAAAAAAACTCCCCAAAAGTGCGTGTTATTGGGGGCAGCCGAGGCTCCGTTCCACTTCACCGGGATGATGGACCTTGCGCAAGTGAAAGACCTCTTACCTTTGGACAAGGAGAACGCCTTGTACTACTTCTGCGGCTTGGTTCGAGAGTTCGTGTGCCTTTACCAGGTTATGCGAGATGGATGTGGGGGCGTTGCCCCCCCTAGGTTTTCGGGGTGTCTTGTTTTCTTACGGGGATCCCAAGTTGCAAGAATGAAGCTGCTTGAAGGGGAGCTTTGAATTCAGAACCCCGCATATGCAGATGACTTCGCGGCCCCCAGTTTCGCAGATTCCCACAGTATTTGAAACGCAGGTGGGCCACTCCCTTTCATGAAGTCCATTGGTGGGCAGTTGCTGGAGATGGGCGTTCAGCGGATCCTCGGCAACGGCTGAGTTTTTCAGTGCTCGGGCGTCCGGGGCGTCCGGGGCTGTGGAGTTTCGAGTTGTTCGGCTGTTTCGGGTGTTTCGGGTGTTTCGGGTGTTTCGGGTGTTTCGGGTGTTTCGGGTGTTTCGGCGGCGGAGGCTCTCTTGTTGGGAGATTATGAGTCCTGGCACTGAGGGCCTTGAACCATCCGATTTTGAAAGCCTGGGAAGCTTGGAGCCCCCAAACCCTCTCAACCCTGCAAAGCGGCAGAGCGGCGGCGCCGCCCAGGTCGGCGATGAACTTCGAGGTTTTCGGCCCGAACGATGACGTTCTTGGCTGAAGACTCGGTTTCGGTGTTTATGTTTTGTGAGTTTTGTGTCTAGGCTTGGGATTCACGACTAAAGTTTGATGGTGCAGCACGGCCTTACTTAGCAACAGTTCTCGGGCAGATGGGACATCGCTTGAAAAGGGAACATGGTGGAACCAGGCAACAGACCTCCACCTCCGTGCCTACTTGGAGGCTAAGGGACAGCAAAGTCCGAGTTCGTTTGGTAGGGTGGCTCTTAGGCATCATGTCGATGGCTGTCAGGACAACCCTCCTCCAAGTATGGCACAGTAGTTTAACCGACTTCGTGACCAGCGCCAAAAATCTCTTCGCCGAGCTGTGCTGAAGCCCCGAACCTGAAACCCTGAACCCCAATCCTTAAACCCTAAACTCTAAACCCCAACCCCAGAGCCCGAAGCCAGTTGCCGGCAGCCCACGGCTCTACGTGCTATTTTTTGTGGCTACGTGGGAGACACCAAAGTTTCTGGCAGCCTGATCCAAGCCGTCACAGAAGAGTTAGCGGGTGGGGTCTCACCTTGACCGTGATTGTACGTCTACGGTTTCCTCGATGGAGTTAGGGAAGTAGGTACCTCGCCAACTTCCATCAACTTCCGCAACAGGGGTGTGTACGGGACTGGAGGTACCAGCTTCCCTCATGCCCTACTGACAGCTAACAAGGGGCAAGTATTTGCGTGTCGCGCCCGACATGACCTCACTGTCGGACAATGGCCTCAGATAACTTCGGAAGACCAACTCTACTACCTCGAACAGCTGAGGGTGCATGGTCAGAGGGCTAAGGTTCGATCCTTATCTTGTGACCCGTTGGCCCCTCAAAACGAAAACCTTGCCACCTATGGCTGCCCGCACGTGAACATACAGGAACGTCTAGGTTTCATTGCATGCTTCTGGCAAGGTTTCGCGCGAACCCAGTGTGAATTCCGGCTGCAGCTCAAGCACTGTTGGTTCAAATTTTGTCTTGACACCTGCCAACCGCAGAAGCTCCGACGACAATCATGGCGGAGACTTTTGCATTCAATGCAGACATCCAGCAGTTGATGAGCTTGATCATCAACACTTTCTACTCCAACAAGGAGATCTTCCTGCGTGAGCTCATCTCCAACGCCTCGGACGCTCTGGACAAGATTCGCTACGAATCCATCACCGACCCGGACAAGATCGAGGCGCAGCCGAACTTCTTCATCAAGATCATCCCGGACAAGACCAATTCGACTCTGACCATCGAAGACTCCGGTATCGGCATGACCAAGAACGAGCTCATCAACAATCTCGGCACGATCGCCAAGTCTGGCACCAAGGCCTTCATGGAGGCTATGGCGGCAGGCGGCGACATCTCCATGATCGGGCAGTTCGGCGTCGGCTTCTACAGCGCGTACCTCGTCTCGGACAAGGTCCGTGTGGTCAGCAAGCACAACGACGACGAGCAGTACATCTGGGAGAGCGGCGCCGGCGGCTCTTTCACGGTCCAGAAGGACACGGAGCTGGTGCACGGCGAGATCAAGCGAGGCACCAAGATCATCTGCTACCTCAAGGAAGACCAGTCTGAGTTCCTGGAGGAGCGACGTCTGAAGGACCTGGTGAAGAAGCACTCCGAGTTCATTGGCTTCCCCATCGAGCTGTACGTGGAGAAGTCCAAGGAGAAGGAGGTGACCGACTCCGAGGAGGAGGAGGAAGAGAAGAAGGAGGAGAAAGAAGGCGATGAGCCGAAGATCGAGGAAGTAGATGAGGAGAAGGAGAAGGAGGAGAAGAAGAAGAAGACCAAGAAAGTGAAGGAGGTCTCGCACGAATGGGAGCAGTTGAACAAGAACAAGCCCCTGTGGATGCGCAAGTCTGAGGACGTGACCAACGAGGAGTACGCCTCCTTCTACAAGTCGCTCTCCAACGACTGGGAGGACCACCTCGCCGTGAAGCACTTCAGCGTCGAGGGCCAACTGGAGTTCCGGGCTCTGCTGTTCGTTCCTCGCCGCGCGCCCTTCGACCTCTTCGAGACCAAAAAGAAGCGCAACAACATCAAGCTGTACGTGCGCCGCGTCTTCATCATGGACGACTGCGAGGAGCTCATGCCTGAGTGGCTGAACTTCGTGAAGGGTGTGGTGGACTCGGAGGATTTGCCTCTGAACATCTCCCGCGAGACCCTGCAGCAGAACAAGATCCTGCGAGTCATCAAGAAGAATCTTGTGAAGAAGTGCCTCGAGATGTTTGCAGAGATCGCCGAGAAGAAGGACGACTACAAGAAGTTCTATGAGCAGTTTGGCAAGTGCCTCAAGCTGGGCGTCCACGAGGACTCCACCAACCGCACTAAGCTGGCCGAGCTCCTCCGCTACCACACCTCCAAGTCTGGTGACGAACAGATCAGCCTGAAGGAGTACGTCGACCGCATGAAGGAGGGTCAGAACGACATCTATTACATCACAGGCGAGAGCATTGCGGCCGTGTCCTCATCTCCCTTCCTGGAGACCCTGCGCAAGAAGGGCATCGAGGTGCTGTACATGATCGACCCCGTCGACGAGTACTCAGTGCAGCAGCTGAAGGAGTTCGATGGCAAGAAGTTGAAGAGCACAACTAAGGAAGGTTTGGACATCGAGGACGAGGATGAGAAGAAGAAGCTGGAGGAGATGAAGGCGGAGTTCGAGCCCCTCACGAAGCTCATGAAGGAGGTGTTGGGGGACAAGGCGGGAGATGATAAGCATAACTCGCGTCATTGTGTGTGTGTGGGTTTGTGCCACGCATCTGTGCATGAGGGCAAGGGACACGCAAATTACGACGCCATATGCTTAAGCCGCATGCGCAGGTGGAGAAGGTCATCGTCAGCTCTAGGATGGCCGACTCCCCTTGCGTGCTGACCACCTCCGAGTATGGCTGGTCGGCTAACATGGAGCGCATCATGAAGGCGCAGGCCCTGCGTGACAACTCCATGACTTCCTACATGGTCTCCAAGAAGACCATGGAGGTGAACCCCAAGCACTCCATCATGGCGGAGCTGAAGAAGAAGGCCGCGGCCGACAAGTCTGACAAGACCGTGAAGGACCTGATCTGGCTCCTCTTCGACACCTCGCTGCTCACCTCTGGCTTCAACCTCGATGAGCCCACGCAGTTCGCTGGCCGCATCCACCGGATGATCAAGCTCGGCCTCAGCATCGACGATGACGATGAGGGCCTGGGTGATGACGACGACCTGCCCCCGCTTGAGGAAGTCGAGGGCGCGGCCGATGAGGCCTCCAAGATGGAGGAGGTCGACTAGGATGTCTGAGCCATCCAGCCATCCTGTAGTTCTTGCTGGCAGCCGTTGGTACTCGTACCAGTGCAAGCAAAGAATTCCCAAAACAGGCGCCAGGCGGCCGATTGTACAGCTGGCCACATCTGGAAAGACTAGGTGCAAGCGAATGACAGACCAAGGAGCAAAATGAAGAAGCTTGTTCCACAGCTATCACAGCTATCGTTACTGAGACTTTCTGGTCATAAGCTTCCCCTGGGTCCGTGGAGTGTGATCGATGAAAACAGCAAAGCCCCAACCATCGATGGAGTTGTCGGAAGCCTTTCGGGAATTTGCCGCGAAATTGCCCTCATGAAAGTCATGCAAGGGTGGTCTTTTGTTTCAGGCATGCGGGCCTTTCCCACATCTTCTTTTCTGAGCCTTGACCCAGTTTCTTGCGCTGTTGAACTCGTGCGCTTTCTCTTCTCCGTCTCCTTGGCCATCTTTCTTGGTGACGGCCTTGAGTCCAATAGTTCCCGGCACGTGAACATACAGGAACGTCTAGGTTTCATTGCATGCTTCTGGCAAGGTTTCGCGCGAACCCAGTGTGAATTCCGGCTGCAGCTCAAGCACTGTTGGTTCAAATTTTGTCTTGACACCTGCCAACCGCAGAAGCTCCGACGACAATCATGGCGGAGACTTTTGCATTCAATGCAGACATCCAGCAGTTGATGAGCTTGATCATCAACACTTTCTACTCCAACAAGGAGATCTTCCTGCGTGAGCTCATCTCCAACGCCTCGGACGCTCTGGACAAGATTCGCTACGAATCCATCACCGACCCGGACAAGATCGAGGCGCAGCCGAACTTCTTCATCAAGATCATCCCGGACAAGACCAATTCGACTCTGACCATCGAAGACTCCGGTATCGGCATGACGAAGAACGAGCTCATCAACAATCTCGGCACGATCGCCAAGTCTGGCACCAAGGCCTTCATGGAGGCTATGGCGGCAGGCGGCGACATCTCCATGATCGGGCAGTTCGGCGTCGGCTTCTACAGCGCGTACCTCGTCTCGGACAAGGTCCGTGTGGTCAGCAAGCACAACGACGACGAGCAGTACATCTGGGAGAGCGGCGCCGGTGGCTCTTTCACTGTCCAGAAGGACACGGAGCTGGTGCACGGCGAGATCAAGCGAGGCACCAAGATCATCTGCTACCTCAAGGAAGACCAGTCTGAGTTCCTGGAGGAGCGACGTCTGAAGGACCTGGTGAAGAAGCACTCCGAGTTCATTGGCTTCCCCATCGAGCTGTACGTGGAGAAGTCCAAGGAGAAGGAGGTGACCGACTCCGAGGAGGAGGAGGAAGAGAAGAAGGAGGAGAAAGAAGGCGATGAGCCGAAGATCGAGGAAGTAGATGAGGAGAAGGAGAAGGAGGAGAAGAAGAAGAAGACCAAGAAGGTGAAGGAGGTCTCGCACGAATGGGAGCAGCTGAACAAGAACAAGCCCCTGTGGATGCGCAAGTCTGAGGACGTGACCAACGAGGAGTACGCCTCCTTCTACAAGTCGCTCTCCAACGACTGGGAGGACCACCTCGCCGTGAAGCACTTCAGCGTCGAGGGCCAGTTGGAGTTCCGGGCTCTGCTGTTCGTTCCCCGCCGGGCGCCCTTCGACCTCTTCGAGACCAAGAAGAAGCGCAACAACATCAAGCTGTACGTGCGCCGCGTCTTCATCATGGACGACTGCGAGGAGCTCATGCCTGAGTGGCTGAACTTCGTGAAGGGTGTGGTGGACTCGGAGGATTTGCCTCTGAACATCTCCCGCGAGACCCTGCAGCAGAACAAGATCCTGCGAGTCATCAAGAAGAATCTTGTGAAGAAGTGCCTCGAGATGTTTGCAGAGATCGCCGAGAAGAAGGACGACTACAAGAAGTTCTATGAGCAGTTTGGCAAGTGCCTCAAGCTGGGCGTCCACGAGGACTCCACCAACCGCACTAAGCTGGCCGAGCTCCTCCGCTACCACACCTCCAAGTCTGGTGACGAACAGATCAGCCTGAAGGAGTACGTCGACCGCATGAAGGAGGGTCAGAACGACATCTATTACATCACAGGCGAGAGCATTGCGGCCGTGTCCTCATCTCCCTTCCTGGAGACCCTGCGCAAGAAGGGCATCGAGGTGCTGTACATGATCGACCCCGTCGACGAGTACTCAGTGCAGCAGCTGAAGGAGTTCGATGGCAAGAAGTTGAAGAGCACAACCAAGGAAGGTTTGGACATCGAGGACGAGGATGAGAAGAAGAAGCTGGAGGAGATGAAGGCAGAGTTCGAGCCACTCACGAAGCTCATGAAGGAGGTTTTGGGGGACAAGGCGGGAGATGATAAGCTGAAGCTGTGTTATTGTTTGTGTGTGTGGGTTTGCCACGCATCTGTGCATGAGGGCAACGGACCCCTTGAGTTATGACGTTGTACAGTATTGTTATGCCGCATGCGCAGGTGGAGAAGGTCATCGTCAGCTCTAGGATGGCCGACTCCCCTTGCGTGCTGACCACCTCCGAGTATGGCTGGTCAGCCAACATGGAGCGCATTATGAAGGCGCAGGCCCTGCGTGACAACTCCATGACTTCCTACATGGTCTCCAAGAAGACCATGGAGGTGAACCCCAAGCACTCCATCATGGCGGAGCTGAAGAAGAAGGCCGCGGCCGACAAGTCTGACAAGACCGTGAAGGACCTGATCTGGCTCCTCTTCGACACCTCCCTGCTCACCTCTGGCTTCAACCTCGATGAGCCCACGCAGTTCGCTGGCCGCATCCACCGGATGATCAAGCTCGGCCTCAGCATCGACGATGACGATGAGGGCCTGGGTGATGACGACGACCTGCCCCCGCTTGAGGAAGTCGAGGGCGCGGCCGATGAGGCCTCCAAGATGGAGGAGGTCGACTAGGATGTCTGAGCCATCCAGCCATCCTGTAGTTCTTGCTGGCAGCCGTTGGTACTCGTACCAGTGCAAGCAAAGAATTCCCAAAACAGGCGCCAGGCGGCCGATTGTACAGCTGGCCACATCTGGAAAGACTAGGTGCAAGCGAATGACAGACCAAGGAGCAAAATGAAGAAGCTTGTTCCACAGCTATCACAGCTATCGTTACTGAGACTTTCTGGTCATAAGCTTCCCCTGGGTCCGTGGAGTGTGATCGATGAAAACAGCAAAGCCCCAACCATCGATGGAGTTGTCGGAAGCCTTTCGGGAATTTGCCGCGAAATTGCCCTCATGAAAGTCATGCAAGGGTGGTCTTTTGTTTCAGGCATACGGGCCTTTCCCACGTCTTCTTTTCTGAGCCTTGACCCAGTTTCTTGCGCTGTTGAACTCGTGCGCTTTCTCTTCTCCGTCTCCTTGGCCATCTTTCTTGGTGACGGCCTTGAGTCCAATAGTTCCCGGCACGTGAACATACAGGAACGTCTAGGTTTCATTGCATGCTTCTGGCAAGGTTTCGCGCGAACCCAGTGTGAATTCCGGCTGCAGCTCAAGCACTGTTGGTTCAAATTTTGTCTTGACACCTGCCAACCGCAGAAGCTCCGACGACAATCATGGCGGAGACTTTTGCATTCAATGCAGACATCCAGCAGTTGATGAGCTTGATCATCAACACTTTCTACTCCAACAAGGAGATCTTCCTGCGTGAGCTCATCTCCAACGCCTCGGACGCTCTGGACAAGATTCGCTACGAATCCATCACCGACCCGGACAAGATCGAGGCGCAGCCGAACTTCTTCATCAAGATCATCCCGGACAAGACCAATTCGACTCTGACCATCGAAGACTCCGGTATCGGCATGACAAAGAACGAGCTCATCAACAATCTCGGCACGATCGCCAAGTCTGGCACCAAGGCCTTCATGGAGGCTATGGCGGCAGGCGGCGACATCTCCATGATCGGGCAGTTCGGCGTCGGCTTCTACAGCGCGTACCTCGTCTCGGACAAGGTCCGTGTGGTCAGCAAGCACAACGACGACGAGCAGTACATCTGGGAGAGCGGCGCCGGTGGCTCTTTCACGGTCCAGAAGGACACGGAGCTGGTGCACGGCGAGATCAAGCGAGGCACCAAGATCATCTGCTACCTCAAGGAAGACCAGTCTGAGTTCCTGGAGGAGCGACGTCTGAAGGACCTGGTGAAGAAGCACTCCGAGTTCATTGGCTTCCCCATCGAGCTGTACGTGGAGAAGTCCAAGGAGAAGGAGGTGACCGACTCCGAGGAGGAGGAGGAGGAAGAGAAGAAGGAGGAGAAAGAAGGCGATGAGCCGAAGATCGAGGAAGTAGATGAGGAGAAGGAGAAGGAGGAGAAGAAGAAGAAGACCAAGAAGGTGAAGGAGGTCTCGCACGAATGGGAGCAGCTGAACAAGAACAAGCCCCTGTGGATGCGCAAGTCTGAGGACGTGACCAACGAGGAGTACGCCTCCTTCTACAAGTCGCTCTCCAACGACTGGGAGGACCACCTCGCCGTGAAGCACTTCAGCGTCGAGGGCCAGTTGGAGTTCCGGGCTCTGCTGTTCGTTCCCCGCCGGGCGCCCTTCGACCTCTTCGAGACCAAGAAGAAGCGCAACAACATCAAGCTGTACGTGCGTCGCGTCTTCATCATGGACGACTGCGAGGAGCTCATGCCTGAGTGGCTGAACTTCGTGAAGGGTGTGGTGGACTCGGAGGATTTGCCTCTGAACATCTCCCGCGAGACCCTGCAGCAGAACAAGATCCTGCGAGTCATCAAGAAGAATCTTGTGAAGAAGTGCCTCGAGATGTTTGCAGAGATCGCCGAGAAGAAGGACGACTACAAGAAGTTCTATGAGCAGTTTGGCAAGTGCCTCAAGCTGGGCGTCCACGAGGACTCCACCAACCGCACTAAGCTGGCCGAGCTCCTCCGCTACCACACCTCCAAGTCTGGTGACGAACAGATCAGCCTGAAGGAGTACGTCGACCGCATGAAGGAGGGTCAGAACGACATCTATTACATCACAGGCGAGAGCATTGCGGCCGTGTCCTCATCTCCCTTCCTGGAGACCCTGCGCAAGAAGGGCATCGAGGTGCTGTACATGATCGACCCCGTCGACGAGTACTCAGTGCAGCAGCTGAAGGAGTTCGATGGCAAGAAGTTGAAGAGCACAACCAAGGAAGGTTTGGACATCGAGGACGAGGATGAGAAGAAGAAGCTGGAGGAGATGAAGGCAGAGTTCGAGCCACTCACGAAGCTCATGAAGGAGGTTTTGGGGGACAAGGCGGGAGATGATAAGCTGAAGCTGTGTTATTGTTTGTGTGTGTGTGGGTTTGCCACGCATCTGTGCATGAGGGCAACGGACCCCTTGAGTTATGACGTTGTACAGTATTGTTATGCCGCATGCGCAGGTGGAGAAGGTCATCGTCAGCTCTAGGATGGCCGACTCCCCTTGCGTGCTGACCACCTCCGAGTATGGCTGGTCGGCCAACATGGAGCGCATCATGAAGGCGCAGGCCCTGCGTGACAACTCCATGACTTCCTACATGGTCTCCAAGAAGACCATGGAGGTGAACCCCAAGCACTCCATCATGGCGGAGCTGAAGAAGAAGGCCGCGGCCGACAAGTCTGACAAGACCGTGAAGGACCTGATCTGGCTCCTCTTCGACACCTCGCTGCTCACCTCTGGCTTCAACCTCGATGAGCCCACGCAGTTCGCTGGCCGCATCCACCGGATGATCAAGCTCGGCCTCAGCATCGACGATGACGATAGGGCCTGGGTGATGACGACGACCTGCCCCCGCTTGAGGAAGTCGAGGGCGCGGCCGATGAGGCCTCCAAGATGGAGGAGGTCGACTAGGATGTCTGAGCCATCCAGCCATCCTGTAGTTCTTGCTGGCAGCCGTTGGTACTCGTACCAGTGCAAGCAAAGAATTCCCAAAACAGGCGCCAGGCGGCCGATTGTACAGCTGGCCACATCTGGAAAGACTAGGTGCAAGCGAATGACAGACCAAGGAGCAAAATGAAGAAGCTTGTTCCGCAGCTATCACAGCTATCGCATGCTATCGCTACTGAGACTTTCTGGTCATAAGCTTCCCCTGGGTCCGTGGAGCGTGATCGATGAAAACAGCAAAGCCTCGACCATCGTTTGAGTTGTCGAAAGCCTTTCGGGAATTTGCCGCGAAATTACCCACATGAAAGTCATGCAAGGGTGGTCTTTTGTTTCAGGCATGCGGGCCTTTCCCACGTCTTCTTTTCTGGGCCTTGACCCAGTTTCTTGCGCTGTTGAACTCGTGCGCTTTCTCTTCTCCGTCTCTTTGGCCATCTTTCTTGGTGACGGCCTTGAGTCCAATAGTTCCCGGCACGTGAACATACAGGAACGTCTAGGTTTCATTGCATGCTTCTGGCAAGGTTTCGCGCGAACCCAGTGTGAATTCCGGCTGCAGCTCAAGCACTGTTGGTTCAAATTTTGTCTTGACACCTGCCAACCGCAGAAGCTCCGACGACAATCATGGCGGAGACTTTTGCATTCAATGCAGACATCCAGCAGTTGATGAGCTTGATCATCAACACTTTCTACTCCAACAAGGAGATCTTCCTGCGTGAGCTCATCTCCAACGCCTCGGACGCTCTGGACAAGATTCGCTACGAATCCATCACCGACCCGGACAAGATCGAGGCGCAGCCGAACTTCTTCATCAAGATCATCCCGGACAAGACCAATTCGACTCTGACCATCGAAGACTCCGGTATCGGCATGACGAAGAACGAGCTCATCAACAATCTCGGCACGATCGCCAAGTCTGGCACCAAGGCCTTCATGGAGGCTATGGCGGCAGGCGGCGACATCTCCATGATCGGGCAGTTCGGCGTCGGCTTCTACAGCGCGTACCTCGTCTCGGACAAGGTCCGTGTGGTCAGCAAGCACAACGACGACGAGCAGTACATCTGGGAGAGCGGCGCCGGTGGCTCTTTCACTGTCCAGAAGGACACGGAGCTGGTGCACGGCGAGATCAAGCGAGGCACCAAGATCATCTGCTACCTCAAGGAAGACCAGTCTGAGTTCCTGGAGGAGCGACGTCTGAAGGACCTGGTGAAGAAGCACTCCGAGTTCATTGGCTTCCCCATCGAGCTGTACGTGGAGAAGTCCAAGGAGAAGGAGGTGACCGACTCCGAGGAGGAGGAGGAAGAGAAGAAGGAGGAGAAAGAAGGCGATGAGCCGAAGATCGAGGAAGTAGATGAGGAGAAGGAGAAGGAGGAGAAGAAGAAGAAGACCAAGAAGGTGAAGGAGGTCTCGCACGAATGGGAGCAGCTGAACAAGAACAAGCCCCTGTGGATGCGCAAGTCTGAGGACGTGACCAACGAGGAGTACGCCTCCTTCTACAAGTCGCTCTCCAACGACTGGGAGGACCACCTCGCCGTGAAGCACTTCAGCGTCGAGGGCCAGTTGGAGTTCCGGGCTCTGCTGTTCGTTCCCCGCCGCGCGCCCTTCGACCTTTTCGAGACCAAGAAGAAGCGCAACAACATCAAGCTGTACGTGCGCCGCGTCTTCATCATGGACGACTGCGAGGAGCTCATGCCTGAGTGGCTGAACTTCGTGAAGGGCGTGGTGGACTCGGAGGATTTGCCTCTGAACATCTCCCGCGAGACCCTGCAGCAGAACAAGATCCTGCGAGTCATCAAGAAGAATCTCGTGAAGAAGTGCCTCGAGATGTTTGCAGAGATCGCCGAGAAGAAGGACGACTACAAGAAGTTCTATGAGCAGTTTGGCAAGTGCCTCAAGCTGGGCGTCCACGAGGACTCCACCAACCGCACTAAGCTGGCCGAGCTCCTCCGCTACCACACCTCCAAGTCTGGTGACGAACAGATCAGCCTGAAGGAGTACGTCGACCGCATGAAGGAGGGTCAGAACGACATCTACTACATCACAGGCGAGAGCATTGCGGCCGTGTCCTCATCTCCCTTCCTGGAGACCCTGCGCAAGAAGGGCATCGAGGTGCTGTACATGATCGACCCCGTCGACGAGTACTCAGTGCAGCAGCTGAAGGAGTTCGATGGCAAGAAGTTGAAGAGCACAACCAAGGAAGGTTTGGACATCGAGGACGAGGATGAGAAGAAGAAGCTGGAGGAGATGAAGGCAGAGTTCGAGCCACTCACGAAGCTCATGAAGGAGGTTTTGGGGGACAAGGCGGGAGATGATAAGCTGAAGCTGTGTTATTGTTTGTGTGTGTGTGGGTTTGCCACGCATCTGTGCATGAGGGCAACGGACCCCTTGAGTTATGACGTTGTACAGTATTGTTATGCCGCATGCGCAGGTGGAGAAGGTCATCGTCAGCTCTAGGATGGCCGACTCCCCTTGCGTGCTGACCACCTCCGAGTATGGCTGGTCGGCCAACATGGAGCGCATCATGAAGGCGCAGGCCCTGCGTGACAACTCCATGACTTCCTACATGGTCTCCAAGAAGACCATGGAGGTGAACCCCAAGCACTCCATCATGGCGGAGCTGAAGAAGAAGGCCGCGGCCGACAAGTCTGACAAGACCGTGAAGGACCTGATCTGGCTCCTCTTCGACACCTCCCTGCTCACCTCTGGCTTCAACCTCGATGAGCCCACGCAGTTCGCTGGCCGCATCCACCGGATGATCAAGCTCGGCCTCAGCATCGACGATGACGATGAGGGCCTGGGTGATGACGACGACCTGCCCCCGCTTGAGGAAGTCGAGGGCGCGGCCGATGAGGCCTCCAAGATGGAGGAGGTCGACTAGGATGTCTGAGCCATCCAGCCATCCTGTAGTTCTTGCTGGCAGCCGTTGGTACTCGTACCAGTGCAAGCAAAGAATTCCCAAAACAGGCGCCAGGCGGCCGATTGTACAGCTGGCCACATCTGGAAAGACTAGGTGCAAGCGAATGACAGACCAAGGAGCAAAATGAAGAAGCTTGTTCCACAGCTATCACAGCTATCGCTACTGAGACTTTCTGGTCATAAGCTTCCCCTGGGTCCGTGGAGTGTGATCGATGAAAACAGCAAAGCCTCGACCATCGATTGAGTTGTCGAAAGCCTTTCGGGAATTTGCCGCGAAATTACCCACATGAAAGTCATGCAAGGGTGGTCTTTTGTTTCAGGCATGCGGGCCTTTCCCACGTCTTCTTTTCTGGGCCTTGACCCAGTTTCTTGCGCTGTTGAACTCGTGCACTTTCTCTTCTCCGTCCTCTTTGGCCATCTTTCTTGGTGACGGCCTTGAGTCCAATAGTTCCCGGCACGTGAACATACAGGAACGTCTAGGTTTCATTGCATGCTTCTGGCAAGGTTTCGCGCGAACCCAGTGTGAATCCGGCTGCAGCTCAAGCACTGTTGGTTCAAATTTTGTCTTGACACCTGCCAACCGCAGAAGCTCCGACGACAATCATGGCGGAGACTTTTGCATTCAATGCAGACATCCAGCAGTTGATGAGCTTGATCATCAACACTTTCTACTCCAACAAGGAGATCTTCCTGCGTGAGCTCATCTCCAACGCCTCGGACGCTCTGGACAAGATTCGCTACGAATCCATCACCGACCCGGACAAGATCGAGGCGCAGCCGAACTTCTTCATCAAGATCATCCCGGACAAGACCAATTCGACTCTGACCATCGAAGACTCCGGTATCGGCATGACGAAGAACGAGCTCATCAACAATCTCGGCACGATCGCCAAGTCTGGCACCAAGGCCTTCATGGAGGCTATGGCGGCAGGCGGCGACATCTCCATGATCGGGCAGTTCGGCGTCGGCTTCTACAGCGCGTACCTGGTCTCGGACAAGGTCCGTGTGGTCAGCAAGCACAACGACGACGAGCAGTACATCTGGGAGAGCGGCGCCGGTGGCTCTTTCACGGTCCAGAAGGACACGGAGCTGGTGCACGGCGAGATCAAGCGAGGCACCAAGATCATCTGCTACCTCAAGGAAGACCAGTCTGAGTTCCTGGAGGAGCGACGTCTGAAGGACCTGGTGAAGAAGCACTCCGAGTTCATTGGCTTCCCCATCGAGCTGTACGTGGAGAAGTCCAAGGAGAAGGAGGTGACCGACTCCGAGGAGGAGGAGGAAGAGAAGAAGGAGGAGAAAGAAGGCGATGAGCCGAAGATCGAGGAAGTAGATGAGGAGAAGGAGAAGGAGGAGAAGAAGAAGAAGACCAAGAAGGTGAAGGAGGTCTCGCACGAATGGGAGCAGCTGAACAAGAACAAGCCCCTGTGGATGCGCAAGTCTGAGGACGTGACCAACGAGGAGTACGCCTCCTTCTACAAGTCGCTCTCCAACGACTGGGAGGACCACCTCGCCGTGAAGCACTTCAGCGTCGAGGGCCAGTTGGAGTTCCGGGCTCTGCTGTTCGTTCCCCGCCGGGCGCCCTTCGACCTCTTCGAGACCAAGAAGAAGCGCAACAACATCAAGCTGTATGTGCGTCGCGTCTTCATCATGGACGACTGCGAGGAGCTCATGCCTGAGTGGCTGAACTTCGTGAAGGGTGTGGTGGACTCGGAGGATTTGCCTCTGAACATCTCCCGCGAGACCCTGCAGCAGAACAAGATCCTGCGAGTCATCAAGAAGAATCTTGTGAAGAAGTGCCTCGAGATGTTTGCAGAGATCGCCGAGAAGAAGGACGACTACAAGAAGTTCTATGAGCAGTTTGGCAAGTGCCTCAAGCTGGGCGTCCACGAGGACTCCACCAACCGCACTAAGCTGGCCGAGCTCCTCCGCTACCACACCTCCAAGTCTGGTGACGAACAGATCAGCCTGAAGGAGTATGTCGACCGCATGAAGGAGGGTCAGAACGACATCTATTACATCACAGGCGAGAGCATTGCGGCCGTGTCCTCATCTCCCTTCCTGGAGACCCTGCGCAAGAAGGGCATCGAGGTGCTGTACATGATCGACCCCGTGGACGAGTACTCAGTGCAGCAGCTGAAGGAGTTCGATGGCAAGAAGTTGAAGAGCACAACCAAGGAAGGTTTGGACATCGAGGACGAGGATGAGAAGAAGAAGCTGGAGGAGATGAAGGCAGAGTTCGAGCCACTCACGAAGCTCATGAAGGAGGTTTTGGGGGACAAGGCGGGAGATGATAAGCTGAAGCTGTGTTATTGTTTGTGTGTGTGGGTTTGCCATGCATCTGTGCATGAGGGCAACGGACACGCGAGTCATGACGTCGTATTATTATGCCGCCTGCGCAGGTGGAGAAGGTCATCGTCAGCTCTAGGATGGCCGACTCCCCTTGCGTGCTGACCACCTCCGAGTATGGCTGGTCAGCCAACATGGAGCGCATCATGAAGGCGCAGGCCCTGCGTGACAACTCCATGACTTCCTACATGGTCTCCAAGAAGACCATGGAGGTGAACCCCAAGCACTCCATCATGGCGGAGCTGAAGAAGAAGGCCGCGGCCGACAAGTCTGACAAGACCGTGAAGGACCTGATCTGGCTCCTCTTCGACACCTCGCTGCTCACCTCTGGCTTCAACCTCGATGAGCCCACGCAGTTCGCTGGCCGCATCCACCGGATGATCAAGCTCGGCCTCAGCATCGACGATGACGATGAGGGCCTGGGTGATGACGACGACCTGCCCCCGCTTGAGGAAGTCGAGGGCGCGGCCGATGAGGCCTCCAAGATGGAGGAGGTCGACTAGGATGTCTGAGCCATCCAGCCATCCTGTAGTTCTTGCTGGCAGCCGTTGGTACTCGTACCAGTGCAAGCAAAGAATTCCCAAAACAGGCGCCAGGCGGCCGATTGTACAGCTGGCCACATCTGGAAAGACTAGGTGCAAGCGAATGATAGACCAAGGAGCAAAATGAAGAAGCTTGTTCCACAGCTGGCCTGACTGAGACTTTAGAAGTGTGTGATCCATGCAAGAAAGACAATCCCGACCATCGATGGAGCTGTCCCTATTCGGCTTCAGTCGTTGAACTCCTGCACTTTCTTTCGGCCCTGGTCCTTCTCTTTTAGCCTTCTCTCTCTGTGGTTCGGTCTCTTGCTTTTCTTCCCTTCTCCTGAAGGTCTTCTGAGAGACCCTCAGTGGCTCCAGGGTATCTCGTGCCCTGCCTCGAGCCTCGGCCCGATACTCATATGGCCAGTTCTCCAAATTATGGCCCCTTTGTGGGTTTAGGGTTTAGGGTTTAGGGTTTAGGGTGCCCTAAACAAGAGGGGACGCCTTATCGTAAGAACCCCAAAGGGGGCCATAGTTAGAAAATCACCATATGTACGCCTTGTGTCAGGCTGCTGTCCTTGAGGGACAACTGAAATTGGGGGCGCTAGTCACTGGCAGTCTTGCGATTTTCTGCGAATGGCGGGCCTTGTTGGTGGCTTTGACATGGTTAGTCGAATGATTGCCAATGCCTTGCAGACCCGTGTGGCTCACAGATTGTCCGCAGGCATCGTGCATGCAACGCTCCCTTGAATCACGAAATGGGGGAAGCTCATCTCATGCCTCTCCGTGTGCACGCAACAAGATTTTGCTCGTAGCTGCCAGAATACACAGAGGCTTCGTGCCACAGATGCAAACACCTGGAGAGTTACCTCTTGGTCTAAATTAAGAGCCGTTTCATGGTCCACTTGAGCTCCTCGGTATTGCTTTGAGCGAGTTGGGCTTCGGGTTTAGGGTTTGGGGTTTGGGGTTTGGGGTTTGGGGTTTAGGGTTTGGGGTTTAGGGTTTGGGGTTTAGGGTCTAGGGTCTGTGACCCTAAGCCACCTGAAGCTCCGGAAAGCGTTGGGCGGAGGCTTCAACTCTTCCTTGGCCTCGCCGGACGATGTCGCAGACTTCCACGACGAGGAGCAGGCCAACGACCTGCGATCGGCGTTCCGTAGGGGTTGAGGGCTGAGGGTTTGTAGGGTACAGGGTTTAGGGTACCACTATCATGGGATTACGGTTCCGTGCCTGTTGTGCCCTTTGTGACCTACGCAAGTGAGTGTAGCGAAAGGATGGAGCTAGCCTGGTGTTTGGAAGAGTGGTCAGCCAGGTGCCCGTAAGATAGGACAGTACATGACAGCACCGCGGACCCTAAACCCGGAACCTTTTCCACACTTCTCTGCAGGACCCAGATGTTCCAGAGGTGCTACCGCTGCGTTGCACGTGGGTCGTGTGGCAGCAGCGGGCTTCTTCTGGCAAGAGCGTCCCTTACGAGCAGTCCACGAAGCAGACGCTTGGTGGTTTGTATTCTGCCAGGGTTTAGGGTTCAGGGTTCAGGGTTTAGAGTTGAGGGCGCGTCCAGGGCTGTGGACTTGTTAGGGCTCGTACTCGCTCGAGGGGCTGTCGCAGTCATTGTCGAACATCAGCAGCATGAGTGTGTACTCATGCCTTGTAATGGAATCCATAGGGGTTAGGGTTTAGGGTTTTAGGGTAGAGGGTATAGGGTTTAGGGTGGAATCCATGCGAAGATTTGCGCCACTGAGGATTGCCTCGATGGAATCCGTGGAGGCTTCGGCTCTTTGGCCACAGGTCAAATTTCGAAGTTGATCCCTGGAGCCTGAATCCTACACTCGATGAGACACTTGCAGGAACAAGGCACTTCTAGCGGCTCTTCTGTCGTTTGCAGTGATTTCCGTGCTATTTATCTTAAGCCAGATAGCTGCCGTGAAGCCAGGCACAGTCCGTAATTGAGAGGTATTTGGGGCCCTTTCGGCGCGCGACTGGCCAGGACTTTTGGCGCACTTTCGACCGGTTACCGCAACCGAGCGACCTGCTGACAAGGTGCAAGCCACATGGAGGTTCTCTCTAGGGTCCCTGTGCGAAGACAGGGGCGCATAATGAAAGAGTCAGAACCATGATGCCGTAATGCAGTAGATAAAAAACGGCAGTAATATTAATTGATGATGTACGAAATGCTTTCATCATCATCCTTAAGGTACCCCCAAAAAAAAAAAAAAGTCGAATCTGGTGTTGAACCCCTGTGCTCTCAGCCGTATCAGCCCGAAGACTCCGGGATTTCCAGGGTTCAGGGTTTAGGGTTTACTGTAGGGTTTAGGGGTGGATTTAAGGAATTTTCCTCATACACTGGGGATCCTAGCATGGTCCAAGAAAAGTTCCGGAGTTGAAGGGTGCGGGAGTCTCCTCGAATTATTTCCCGTGGCAGGCGCATGGCAGAGAAGACTGAGGAGTTTCAGGCCGAAGCGCCCTAAGCCCCCAACCCTGAACCCCCATAACCCTAAACCCTAAACCCTAAACCCTCAACCCTAAACCCTAAACCCCCCTACTTCAAAAAAGGGAAAGGGGCCTCGTGGCATAACGTGTAATGGAAACCAACCCCTTGAACCCTGACCCTCAGCTTAAGGTAGTGTAGGATTCCATCATTCCTGTCGGAGCTACATTGGAATTTAGGGTCAGCTGACACTGTAAGGTTTAGGATTTGGGTTTGGGATAATTAAGGGTGCGAAAGTGGTCTAGGGAGAGAGAAGAGACAGCTTCTCAGGCATGTAAACTGCACAAATAATACGTGCTTAGCACCTTTTTCTTGCGTATTTAAGATGCTTTGAGGTCCCCAAACCAACCCCGCTGATGCTCATGATGTTGGCGTGGGCGCGTGGGGTGGGTCCGGGAAAGGCAAAGAGAACCAGAAAGAGAGAGAGGAGGGAGAGGAGAGAGAGAAGAGAGAGAAGACATGAGAAGACATGAGAAGACAGAAGAGAGAGAAGAGAGAGAAGAGAACAGAGGAAAGAGAAAAGAGAAGAGAACAGAAAGAGCAGAGAAAGAGAAGAGAAGAGCGTCGTTGGCCTGGGAGGATGCGCCTCACGTCGTGGACGCCTTGATGATCTTCCGGGATGGAGTGCTTCCACAGTGGGAGGTGCGCCTCACGACACAAGTGGTTTAGGGTTTAGGGTTTAGGGTTTAGGGTTTAGGGTATAGGGTTGAGGGTATGTTGGACCCTGAGGAATCGAAACTGACAAACCTTACGTTGTTAGTTTCTAAAGTCTCAGCCCCCAAACTACTGAACCCTAAATCCTCAACTATGAACTACTCAGCCCTACACCCCAACGTATAAACTTCTAAACCCTATAAACCCTAATTCCTGAATGCTCAAGAAGTATGGCTCAGAATATCGGAAGAAAGGCCAACAGATCAGGGTAGATAAGGCGCCTGCTTCCCAAGTAGAGAACCAGCAAATTTATCATGGATTCCGGGTTTAGGGTTTAGGGTTTAGGGTTTAGGGCTACCCACAGTAGTTAGAGATGGACTTGGGCCACCTGAAAAGAGCCACCCCCCCCCGACATCTCCAGGATGCAGCGAACTGCGAGGGTGGGCACTTGCAGTTCCACTTCAAGGAGCGATTTTTCGGGGTTAGGTCTGGGGGACCCAGAGAGCCCAAGACCCCTTAATTACGCAATATTCCTGAAACCATATAGGGATCCTTAGTATGGTTTAAGGAATACTCCTAGATTGTGGGGTATTGGGCTCTTTGGGGACAGCGCGGTCTTTTTTTAAGGGGGCTCCTTGTATCATGCGGCCCCTGACATCTCGGGTTCAGCGGCTTGCTGGCTTCACAAGTAGGAAATGTGCCTGTAAGGGGGACCCCCGAGGTCTCTTCGTTATGCGTTCATGTACCTGATGCTTTCGGTGGAGCTTCGTTTCTAGGTATCTCAGAGAGTCCAATACTGGAACATTCCTTAAACGGCATGAGGAGCCCTATATCCCTGAACCCTAAACCCTGAACCCCAAACCCGGAACCCTAAACCAGGCGTCCCTGGGCGGCGCGCAGCTGGTGCGCGGCTCAGTGCCACGGGTTTTGGGGCTCTGGGCTTGTTCCCACCTCAGGGTTGAGGGTTTTTTCCTTCGAGCCACCCTGAACCAACCCTAAATGCTTAATAACCCGTAATAGCCCTAAACCCTCAACTTTGAACCCTAAATCCAGAGGACGAGTATTGGAACAACCTCGTCCTGGGCACCGTGGGCGCCACCCTGGAGCCCATCGACATGATCACGGGCCTGCGATTGGTGGACCCGCCTCCGGTTTTGGGTTTTGAGGCTTAGGGGTTCAGGGTTTGGGGTTTAGGGTTAATTAGGGGTTTAGGGTTTAGGGTTGATGGTTGAGGGTTTGGGTGTAGGGTGTAGGGGTGTAGGGGTTTAGGATGTGGGGCTTAGTGTGGTGGGGTAGTGTTTGTCTTGGGAGGGAGGGGGGGGGTGCGGCGGGTGTTTGTGGAGCTAATTTTTTATAGTTTTTTTCAATTTGGGACATCAGCTTGTTTGGTTTTTTAAATTATGTATATATATATATATATATATATATTTTTTTTTTTTTTTTTTTTTTTTTTTATTTTTTTGTTTTTTGTTGCCCGAACTTCTGACTTCTCAGTAGGGACTTAGGGCAGTAGGTAGCCTCTGGTTCCCTGCATGACGGCTGTAATCGGCTATGTGCTGGCTTGTTACAGGTGTCTACTCCTCCGCCCCGATACTTACCGTCCCTCGTGCCTTCATGCATTCACAGAGCGGACCGTCTGCATGTGGAGCTGCTACTTCCTTCAGCAACCTCGAGACTTGAGAAGAGAGCGAGCGAGAGAGAGAGAGCGAGCGAGACAGGCCCAAAAAGTGGCCCATATTTTGAGGATTGAGCTACGTTGTAGTGCTCTGGGGAGGGGATTATCCGAAGCTCCCAAAGGCTCAATAGTTCAAGACAAAGGCTCTTTGAAGGTCCGTAATTGTGCTAGGTAGTGGAGGAATAGACCGTAAACTGGGTAGGGATCCTGAGTAGGATTGAAAGTATATTCCCTCAGCAAGGGCTTTGGGCCATGGGCTCTTTGGATATATAAAGAAATCTTCCAGGGCTTGCGCAGCGAGAGGACAAAGTCACCACTGGCAAGGGAGGGGTCCCCAGCATGATCCGGATGGAGGCACAGCTTCTTGAACCCCTTTTATGGTTCTTCGTAGGGGATGAAGAAGTAAGGGATTACAGGTTGATATACGGGGATATCAGGTGCCCTACTAAACCCCCGTAAAGGTTTCATGTAGCGGGATATCAGGTGCCTACTTCATTCCCTCATTCACGATTAAGGACCAAGTAAGTTTTCCACTTCCCAAGGTGTCCCCGCATGTGAAGGGAGCAGGTACCTACTAATGCAACGGTGTCGCATGACTTCCAAACATTGCGGCGGCAATGCGGTGGTCGCGGGGGCGGCGCGAAGCTTATGGTGGTCGGCGCGGGCGCTTCGAAGGTCTGCGCACGTGGACGCCTTGCCAGATCGGAACTCGCCCCCCCGCATGTTGCCACGATTTGCCACGTGCCGAGCAGCTCCCATCCAATTCTTATATGATGTACTCGGCCAGACGCTCCACGACCCGGCTTCTCCTTTGCCCGACCGACTTGACAGACAACCGAAGACCGCAAGATGCTCCAGTTTGCCTAGGCGACATCGAGGACGGCTGGGAAAGCATTGGATCGAAGGTAAGGCTTCTCTGTTTTGAGCCCGGCATGCCCCCGCTTCGCGTACAGGAGAGCAATCGTCTTGCGTTAGTCCAGACTCTTGGTAGTTCAAACACGCTCTTCGGGAGTGCGCCTGCTTTTGTTCGCACAACTTAAGGGAATGTTCTGCGCGCGATGCTGTGGCATAAGATGGTAAGATAACAGCCAGAACCCACACGGCCCGGGCGTGCCAAGTCGTCGACCTCGAGGCCGCCCCGCTCCACTGCCCATGGACGGCATTTAGGGTGGTGGCGATACGGAACCCACCGGGCCAAGAAGGCGCGCGCTGCAGTTCCGCATGAGCTAACAGTTAGCAAATCGAGCAGCAAGGAACGGGGAGGTCATCAATAAGCTGTTGGGGATGCCGCGATGCTCATTATGTGCGTCTATGAAATTGAGTAAGGCGACGATCAGTTGGACCTCCGTCCTTCCCACTCTTCCCGTCCTGGACTTCCAGCGTAGTGATGCGTTGGGACCGCGAGAAGCAGCAGGAAGAAGGAGCGGAAATGACACGCCTATTTTGCTTCCAAATGAAAAGGTCCGGTCAGATATGGAAAATTCAGAGTGCTTCTTCCCTTCCATTTTGCCCAGACTCCTGTATGCCGTTGCAGCGGGCGCTTGGTCGGACGATGCTGCGAAGGAGGCCCGGGGCCAAGGCCACCGCTGTTAACGTGCGCCGATGACGACGCAGCGAGCCTCCGACGCCGGAAGCTGCCTGTGCGCACGCCCGCAGGATCCAGAGGCCGAAATGGGCATTTTGCGCACGGCCATGTTGGTTTGCCTCAGCACGTGCTGCTGCCAGCAAAGCATTCTAGGGTCCGGCGAGGAAATCGCAGATGTGCCAGCGACGCGCGCACGGAAGAGAAGCATACGTGGCACGAGCAGGAAAGTTTCCACGCTCGGGTTTACTGTGCCTCGCTGCCGCATACGTGTGTTGCGTAACGCTTGAAAGCAGAAAGCGTCGGTTTGGCAAAGGTCGGGCCACAAGAAGGCCGCGCCCCAGTTTGTGCCCTGTTGTGCAGCTCTTGCGCACCCTCTTGCGCAGCTCTTGCGCAGCGATGCGCAGCGTGTACGGGCGCACGTCCACATTCTGGTAGTGGGACACCGATGGTCATGTCCAGGAGGTGCTGCAGGCCGAGGGCGTGAAGCAGGGTGACCCGGTGGCGCCCGCGCTCGACGTCCTCGGCCAGCACGATGCCTTGACGCAGTCGCAGCAGCCTTGCTTTCGCTTTCGCTTCGCCCGTCCGGGTCCACGTGAAACCTACCAAGTGTCCCATTCCCCATGTCCTCATAGGACCGTTGTCCACGAGCAGCAGGAACAATTTGACGCTTGTAATATTTCAGCGGCCTTGCGCGAACGAGAATTCATCATGGCGTGCCTTGACGACCTGGACATACGTCTCTGAGAGGGCGCTCGACGCCGTTCCAGCCTGCATCAAACGGAATGCGGGCCCCACCAACCTCGGCAAGACGAGGGTGTACAGTGCGGTGGGGCGCGGCGCCGCCCGCTGACCGAAGCAGGGCGGTACGGCGGGGCGACAAGCTGCCCGCCGAGTGCGGGTTCGTCGCACGTGGGGTTCCCCAGTGCACATGGCTTCTGCTCGTGTTCTGCGCGGCGCCCCGGGCGCAACATCTCCTCTGCGACCTGCCGCCGGCGGCCGTTGCCCCCTTTGTGCATGCCTTTGTGCGTGCGCACGACGATGCCTTGTGGCGCACACTCGCATCCATGTTGGGCGACGATGAGATTCACGAACACCTTCGAGCTCTTCGTTAAGTTTGCGTTTTGGGCGAAAAAACAGCGCAAATCGTATGCAGCGCCGAGGGTGCGTGTCAGGGAACATGGCCATGCGACGTTTGTAATGTACCGCTCCAAAAGTAAACAAAGCGTTTCACGAACAAACACGCAAACATTTTTTTGTTTTGTGCCGCGGGCGCAGCCCAAAATATTGAATGGTATCCTCACGAGCGCTGCAGGCGCGAGAAAAATTGAGCTTTACGTACCCGATATATAGGTCCTACTAGGACCTCTGTTTACAAGTACGTGTACTGTGGAATCCAAATTTTCGTATGTGTATCCTTCGCTCAAGTTTTCGCGTAGCGTTCCACCGATCGCCACAAAATTCCAATCTTATGTTGTGTTTTTGTGTTGTTTCCACCGTTTGCACTCACGAGCGTGGGAAGCGGCTCAGGCTGCACGCGGCCGCCATGCCCGCGGATCCGCCACCGATGACGACGACACGCTTCTTGGGCGGGGCCGTAGCGACTTGCCTCCGCGTGCTTTTGCGGAAGGCCGGGGAGTCGCCGCGCGGCGGCGACCTAGTAGGAGGCATCGGAAACGCTGTGCTGGTGGGTACTTCCATGACCTACCCCAATCCAATTTCTTCTTATTTCGGCAGGACCCTGGACCCTTTTGTCTCTCGGGGTGTTGTTTAACCATCTTAGAAACCCAGAGCAACGACAAGGAAAGAAAACAGAGGGACGCGCAGGGGCAGAGCATCGCATATCACCGTATTGGGATGTGGGGGGGGGCCCACGTCCAGACTGGCAAGGTGTATTAGGATATTTTCCTATTACCCCCCCCCCCCCCCCCCACGCCCCCCCCCCAGATAACCTGGGGCAATGCAAGCGGTTTGATATTCCTGCGGGCGTGCGTCAAGGTTGTGTTCTCATTCCGCTTATTTTGTGGAGCTTTAGAATGGGGTATGCGCGCGTAGCGATTGAACGGCCAGCCTTTCTTTCGGGCTTGTTCTGCAAGAGGATCGCGACCCATTGACTGATTTAAGATTGGCTGATGACATTATACTTTTTGCGCTTTCCCGCCTGCAATGCACGGATATGTTGCGATCCATGGTTGATGCGTTGAGAAGCGTTGGTCTTGTTCTCAATGTTAAGAAAACCACATGTCTTACGACCGAGGAACAGCCGCCGGATCTGATCCGGTTGGACATTGATACTTGCATCGAAGTTGTTCGCACTTGCCACAAATGGTTGGGATGTTGTCAGACCGGCAGCCTGCCGCGTGCCCTTTGTGCTTGCCGCAGTTCAGTCCGCTGCTTTCCTGAGGCGCCCACGTGGCAACGTGGGACGAGGCCGTGCCAGGTCCACCCGCCCTGCGCTCTCGTGGCGACGAGCCGGTCGATTTCTTGCAGGGGTGGCAACGCACCGCTGCCCATGCCTGTGATGGCTCGAGACGCACCTTGCTGCTTTGTCACCAGCCTCTCGTGCGCTGCTGCTCTCACGGGCCGGGCCGCGTTCTGCTCGGGCTTTCACACTCCTGCCGACCAGCGAGGACGTCACCATTCCTTCGTCGTCGGCCCCGGCTCCCCCTCCAGCATCTCCAGCTTGGCCCGAGCGTGCCATATCACGGGTCTGCCAGGAAGCCGGAGCTCGGGTTGCTATGGGTTGGTCGCAACGTGGCTTTGTCCGCCAGAATTTGGATGTGCCAATGGACGATTCCCGGCGTTTGCAACGGCCTACCGTTGTGGCACGGCGCTCAGCTCGCAGTCGATGCCACCCTAGTCAGCCCCGTTTCCCTGGACGGAAGACCGCACCCTGGCACTGAAACCCAGCCGGGTGCCGCTGTGTGTGCTGGACTTACCCTGAGCTTGACCACGGCAGGCGATGCCGCTTGGTTGTGTTTGGACTTGAGGTTGGCGGGCGCTGGGACGCCGAAGCTGCCTCTTTCCTTCGCCTCCTCGCGCGTGCACGCGCCTCCGCCACGCCGGCTGCGCTCCGGCCCGCCGCACAGGCCGCGTGGGTGCTCCGGTGGAGTGGCCTCATTGCGGTTGCTGCGCAACGAGCGCTTGCAGCTACGTTCCTGGGGTTGCCACTGCAGACGGAGCCCTGTGCTGCCGGGCCCCGGCTCTGCACGAGTTCCTTGCTGATGCCCGATGCCAAGCTGGGCCACAACCTAGCCGCGTCCTTGCCCGCCCGTGGCTGTAGGTAGGCTGTAGGCTGGGTGACGGCGTCTGACGGTGGTAAAAGGTCCGGACAAAAAAGTGCTGAAGCCACAAGCCGGTTTGACGTGGTTCTCATGGGCCTCTTGTTTTTTCGTTGCCCCACACAGCTGCTTGGGCTCGTTTTGAGACCCCCTAGCCTTCCCGGCCATTGGCACCCCCAGTAAAACCGTTGCGGTGAGCATCCGGTATCTGCTTCGGGACTGTGTGGCTCTGCCTTGAGAGCATCCATAGTAGGATTCCCTTTACATAGGACCTCAAAGAAGGCACCCCTAATATCGTAAGGTTTTTCTCTTCCCCCCCGCATCGCTCGCCGAACTGCAAAGCAGGGCCATACGGTGCTCAGGTGTCGCAAAAATATACAAAAATGTTTTTTTGTAACCCTAGTCTTTGAACCCTAAACTCAAAGCCCGTTTTTGCTGCCTGCGAGCCGGATGACTTCGTCAACGACCCTGGCTTGAACCTGAAAGCCTTAAACTCTAAACCCTAAACGTCCAGACTGTCCGGCTCTGCTCAGCCAGCCTTCCATTCGTCTCCGCGCCGCCCCGGCCCCCCAATGGTGCAACCGGCCTGGCACCCACTACGCCGCCCTGGCTGCTGGGTGCGCAGGCACCTCCCCGCCAGATCGGCCCTCTGCCGATGCCTGCCCCGTTTGCTTGTGTGACATGTCCCCTGAGGCAGGCCGGCACTTGGGTTGCTTGGCGCACCTCGTCACCAACGTCAGGGGGCTCTATTGCCCTGCGTGCCGGGCGGCTAGGCGAACCATCCCGGCCTTCCTTGCTGAATGCCAGCGACAAGGTGTCACGCCGCCGCCCCCGGCCCTGAGCACGACACCACCTCTGCGGAGCACCGCGCTGCCACGGCACCTCCACCGCCCCAGCATGTCCTCCCTTTGTGTTGTCGATCGGGCTTGCGTGATTCGGCGCGGGAGGAGCTGCCTGACCGCAATATGGAGTGGGCTCCCATTCTCGACCATGCCACTGGTACTTGGATGGCGGTGCAATTCTTTTTTTGATGAAAGCCATCCTCTGTGCCAAGAGATCTCGCACCCGCCCGTGTGCCCATCCACGCCCCGCGCACGCTAGTTATTCACCTCCGCGAGGGCAGCCGTGGCTGGGCATGCTGCCGAGGTCGCCACTTGCATCCAGCTCTTTCACGGACGCCCAAGAGGTACTGTAGCGCCTGCCCCACCCGGCTCCCTACCTGCCCCGGCACCTGCCCCCACTCATCCCACCACCTTTTCCGACGCCTTGCATAGTGCCCGGCTCCAGGCCGCCCGGCCAGTCTGGACCCTTTCCCGGCTGAGGCGGTTCTGGAGCTCCCATGCCACATCATCCGCACTCCGCCCCCTTTTTGCAAGGGACAGCTTCACTGCTTGCTCGGCTCATGGAGAGGTCACCGGCCCCGCCCCCACAGCTGACATGCTGGCCTCAGGCACTGTGCTGCGCGCGTGGAAGCTGTGGCGGTTCCTCCCCAGGATGCTCCTATTCCGGCCCGGCCAGTGCCCCAAAAATCCCGACGGTGCAGTTGCTTGCTCGCTTCACTTTCTTCTTTCGGGGGGAGTGGGCCCCACTTTTGCGCGACGCCCAGCGCCTGGCTTCGGTGCGTCCCGGGACCCGAGTGCAGACCCCACGCCACAACAACGTGCTGACCGCGCAGTGCAGCTCGCACATCTCGGGGAACTCTCGGCCGCGCGACAGGCACTTACTGCTGAGCCCTTAGCGCCCGCCACCGACGCCACCCCGCCACTGGCGGCCGCCAGAACCTTACCAGCCCTTGCCGCCGGATCTGCTGCAGTTCCAGCTGGAGGGCCAACCTTCACGGCAGCTGCACCAGGCCCCAGTGGTTACACTGCTGAAATATTGCGTGTTCTCCTCGATGACGATGAGTGCTCGGCCTGTTTTGCTGATGTTTCCTCGTTGCTCGCTAGCCCGTTGCAGCGGCCGTCGCGATCGGCCGCTTGGTTGCCCCCTTGCGGGCGAGAGCCATGGCGATGACGCCGCACAGGAGCTGCACGAGGTCCTGGTTGATGCGCGATGGACCACCCCCCCCCCGCCAGCCGCGTGCCGCCGCGGAAATGACGCTTGTCCCCCCCCCCCCCCCCTTCCCCCCCGCTGGGAAAGAAAACGTTGCGACGTGGATGTGCCAGCCTGAGGGCGCGATGGCGTGCTGATCGTGCTGCGAATCCCACGGCCCGGCACCGCTGTGCCTGTGGTTGCGTAGAATGTGTTGAGAAAAGGTCTGAGAAAGGCATGGTTGGCAAACTGTTGGCAAGTTTTGCAAAAAAAGGCGTGCCGTTCGGGCGCCAGCAGCGCGTGCGGCCTCGCTGCCGCAAAAGCTTGCTGTAGAAGCCTTATGCTTTCTGGCACTACGCTAGCGCAGCGTAACGCAGCTCCCATCTTCCTCAGACTACATTCCCCCCCCCTATCAATAGGTATCTGGGGGGGGGGGGTACTCAGGTCCCCGCCTATTTTGGGTAGTTCCGGCGGCCTATTCTGGAGACAGTGGGGGGGGGGTCAGAAAATAGGCCGCGAGCAACATGTATCAGGTGTACCTCTCTCTATCTCTCTCGCCATGACCTCTTCCATGAGATGTGTTGATGTCATGTGCCAAAACTGCAGCCCCAGCGAGCCGGGCCCGAGGCTCTGGGTGAATTTGAAAAAGAAAGGGCACTCCGTTTTGGCAACATTATGCCTGCCGAAGAGACTCCCCAACCCCCCCCTAACATGAGGCACAGGACAGAATAGGCAGCGACCTATTTCCGCATACCCCCCCCCCCCGGGGGACTACCCCCCCCCCCATTGGGGGGGGGAATCAGACTACGCTCCTAACCGCAATCGAAACCCCTTTTTAAATCTGCAGGCATGATGCGTTTTAAAATTTAGAATGCGTTCAGTCGCTTGACTGTAGCTTGCATGATGTGTTCATTGTTGCTGGAGGTGTGGTTTGGCAGCGCCAGTGATGTGCAGGCGCGATTTTGGGCAAACACATGCTGGATGCGTTCATGAAAATTTTTAATGGTAACAAATAGTAATAAATAATAATAAATGGTAATAAATAGTAATAAATGGTAATAAATCGAAATAAATAGTAATAAATATAAATAGTAGTAAATAGTAATACAACTACATATTCATACATAGTGAACAGTTGTGCGCAGGACGCGCACATGTTCACCTTGCCTGATTCTTCGGGAGCAGGTTGGCAACAAAAAATCATAAGTAGAAATAAGCAGTAAGACATAAATTAGTAATAAATTATATAAAACCAATGTTGTTTTGGAGGCCGTGGCCGCTCTGCAGCGGAACGTGGAGCGCTGCGTGGCCACGCGGACCTTGGAAGGCCGCCTTGGCGCGCTCCCGAAGGTCGGTGTGCATGCTTGCTCAGTGTTAGACTCATTGTCATTATTATTAGTAGTAGTATAACAATAAGAATTATTACTAGTAGAACAATAATTGTTATTCTTAATAATATTACAATAGTTATTATTAGTGGTCTAATTTCTCATCATAGTCTTGACGGAGTCCTTGCTATTCTGATGATTAATGTTGTTGTTACGCGTTGTTTTTTGTTGTTATTATTGTTGTTGCTTTTGTTATGATTGAGGTTTCTGTTCATGGCTTCGGTTTCTCACTGCTTCCGGGATATTCGCATGGCAGGCCGAGTTGAAGCATCACAAGATGACGCGGCACCAGTGATGAGCCTGCTTGAGACGGAATAACCAAGAACCGCGTGCATCCATGCTTGCACGCTCCATGTGCTCATGACACTGATGTTGACGGGTGTTGGGCGATGCATGGCATTGCCTTGCACTTGCCGCCCCTGCCAGCTTTCTTTTTGGCTTCACTTAAGCAGTCCACCAAACACATGTTTTTTACTTGCTGTGTCGTTGGGCGCGCAGGGTCATCACGATACCCTTGAAAAGGTGTGCGGATGGTATCGCCTCCCGAAGCCAACTCCAGTCCCAGCTGAAGGTTGCTGCACACATGCCATGGCGCAAGTCTCACCCCCCTAGCACAATTAGTTTAAACGATTGGATTTGGAGTGCTAGATTCCGTTCATGGTCTCCACCGAAGCGGCTGCAACGCTCAGCTCGTGCCGACGCAGCATTAAACTCCCTGCGGGTACCTGACGAGTTCGAAACATCATACTAGAGAGTAAATCACAGCAAGGATCTGTATATAGCTTGCTTTGAGGGATGAAGGGGTGTTGGTGCAGTGCCTCTTTTGCCACGCGTTCTTTCATTACATTGCGGCAGCGTGTCAGGTCTGCATGGGGAAAAGCTTGAGTCGGATACGATGTGGCGCCATTTGTGGTCCAGCCGGGACCTGGGCTTTTGCATGCTTTTGCATCATGAAAACGGCAGAAACATAAACATTGCGCCCTCCCTTCACGTGAATGCGAAGCGGGTCTTGCTCTCCACTGAGGCATGCTTTGGCATCATGACGCCAGTCTCCTGGCCTTGTTCTTTCCTAGAGCCTCCAATTTCAGAGCATCCCCAGAAGAACCCTAAACCCTAAACCCTCTAAACCCTCTAAACCCTAAACCCATAAACCCTGAACCCTAAGCCCCCGAGACTGTCAGGGAAACCCTGCAATTCTGCACATGGGGGTTTGGTGGCGTGCCGCCCACATCGCGATGGGCTGGGAGCATACTCCCAGAAAGCCCATGTCCCTTTAAGTAAGGAGTAGTCCCCTGACCCTTATGAACATTGAAGGATTCTTCTCCACAATGAAGGGCTCCTAGAAACTCCTGCCTCAACTTCTTCGAGGAACCTGCGGATGCGGAACGCGGCGCCGCGGACGAGTCCCAGGAGCTCGTGGTGCCCCCCACTGTCGTACCAGTTTTGTCGTACCGAGCTTGGGCGTTAGGGAATGAGGAATTTGCTTTCAGCAAGTCCTATAGAGGTGACCCTTTTACAAGACTAGACAGGAACTTGTCAGGGTCAGGTTACGAACACGGGTTTCGAGTCAAACTGCTTCATGCCCTGATTCTTCATGTCCACGGCAACATTGGCCCGAATGAATGCGTTGTGAGTTCACGTGTGAACACGTGGACGAGGGATGATGCCAGAAGCAACTGAAGGTACCGCTGAGGGAGAGCACCGCCAGAAGCACGGGAATCCGACATGCCACGCGGCTGCAACTTGCAGAGCGAAGTGCCGTCGTAAAAGTCAACGTGAGGTTGCTGGCTTTGTCGCGGGCCCGGGCCCGCCAAATTCAGTGAACATGCCCAGCAGCAGACCCCAAACACCACCTTAAACTAAATTCTTAAGACTAACTTAAGACCCAAATTATGTAGCTTATATTGCAAGGGACCCAAGTTAAGGGCCCCTAAACCCTAAACCCCTAAACCCCTAAACCCCCAAACCCCCAAACCCCCAAACCCCCTAAACCCCTAAACCCCTAAACCCCTAAACCCCTAAACCCCTAAACCCCTAAACCCCTAAACCCCTAAACCCCTAAACCCCTAAACCCCTAAACCCCTAAACCCCTAAACCCCTAAACCCTAAACCCTAAACCCGAAACCCTGAACCCAAAAGCCCCAGAAACCGCCCCTTTGAGGCGCCCCGGTCGTGCATGGAGTTTCCCAGCGACCGGCCGGAGCCGCAGGCCCGGGTGAAGGGTGGGGGGGGGGTTTTACTTGGAGGCTCATCTGGGTGGTTATGGGCTGTTGTAGAGGTAGTGTTTAGTCTAAGGGTTCAGGGTTCAGGGTTCAGGGTTTAGGGTTTAGGGTTTAGGGTTTAGGGCTTAGGGTTTAGGGTTTAGAGGTTGGCGTTTACTTGGGGCTTGTTGGTCCCAGCTGATGCTCTGAGTCTGGGTCGTTTATCAGCACCCTAAATGGGGTTATAAGTATGGTTATAAGTACCCCAGTCGGGTCGTATAGTTACCATATGTTACCATACTTCTAACCCTACCTTTATCGGCGGTTTGGGGGGTTTCCAAGAACTCGGTTTAGGGTTGAGGGTTTAGGGCTTACGTAGTAAGAAGTCCAGGGCCGGCGGCTGCAAGTTGCGCATCTTTTTTGTATACGGTCGTAAGACTTAGCCCTATAAACCCCAAACCCGAACGAGTGGGGCCAAAGGGCTGCGACGAGACCAGCGGATTAGCCACGCTGCTGCTTCGAAGCATCAACGCCTACTTGACTCTATCTTGGACCCCTAAGGTCGTACCCTTGGGTTTGGGGGGGGGGACCCTTTTGAAGATCACTAAAATAATCTAAGGGCTGTATTGGGAATACAGTAGGGGAAACCATGGAAAAACCTCTTACTTGGAGGTTCATGGTACTTACTAACCAATTATAACTGTACTTATAACCCAACTTATAATACCCCTAAAGGGCCTTATAGGGGTTATCCCAGTTATAAGTATATGCCCAGTGATAAGTGGTTATTAAGTACCATGAACCTCCAAGTAGGGCTACAGGCTTGGGGTGCGACCCTTCATCCCGTGAAACGCATCCCCCAGGACTCCTTCCAGCAGATACAGAGGGTCTTCGAAGAGACGGCATTTTGCATCCGCCACATGGATCCACCAGTTTTTAGTTGAAGGTTTGGGGATTAGGGCTTAGGAAAGTTTAGGGTCTAGGGATTTGTAAAGTAGGCTTTAGCTGGCGGACGCGAGGCATCATCCGACCGTTTTAGCTTGGTGTAGTTCTTTCGGCCAGGAGAAGGTAGAGGGCCCACAAGATTCAGGGCCATCGCGTGACTGCACGGCTGTCTGTTTTCGCCTTCTGAAGAAATGCAGTTGTTCTGAAGAAAGTTGTACTGGGCTTCGATACTCACATAGGCACTTCAGTGTAGGTCGGACGGACTCAACCGGGCTGCATGCGCAGTTCTCGAGAAGCCGTCCCTGCATACCCAAAGCCTCTGGCAGCCCTAGGAATTTATTGGTGTTGGTCCTGAGATCGACCCCTAAACCTTGTGAACTTCTCACCTCCTCAGGCTTCACCTGCTGTCAAAGCAGAGGTCCGAGGGTGCGGGGTCCGGTTGGGAGGCTAAGTGTCCGATTTCAGGAAAGAGCGTTTCCGTTTTCAGGTTCCGCGCTCCGTGCCCAAAACGTTCCGGGGTTCAGTCCCAGATGATCCCACACTGCAGTCTCTCCTCAAAAAAAAGTCCAGATGATCCCGACAGTGTGCATCAAGTGGCTTGGTTTGGTCTTAGGGTTTTTGCGGTCCAGGCACACCGTAGAAATCCTGCCCGAACATCCATGAACATCAACATTGCTCGCGCTTAAAGACAGCCTGTGTCAAGTACGATTAGTGAAGAGCGCCTGAGTGTGAGAGATGGGAGTTCAAAACCTACTTGGAGGCTTCATGGGTAGTTATAAGTAGTGATATAAGCACCCTAAATAAGGAGAAAATATGGCTACCATACGTGTAACCCTACTTATAACTACCCAAATGAACCCTGACCCCTAAACCCTTCTAACCTTTCTTCTTAGCCTTATAACCTTGCTTAAAACTACCCTAAACCCTTCTAGCCTTGCTTAAAACTATCCAAACGAACCTCCAAGTATGCATAAGTTGCTTGGAGGTTCATGGTGCTTAGTAACTGATTATCATTGTACTTATACCCCTATTCGGGCACTTAAGGGGCTTATAAGTGGGCTCTAAGTACAGTCATAATTGGTTGATAAGTACCCTGAAACCCTAAACCCTAAACCCTACACCCTAAACCCTAAACCCTAAACCCTAAACCCTAAGCCCTAAGCCCTAAACCCTAAACCCTAAACCGGGAAGGTGCTCAGCTCCTCTGCGGCCTCTGCGGGCTGGTGGCACTTCTCTTGCTGCTGGCGCTTGCAAAGGCTGGGTGGACGAAAGGGTTTTACGCGGGCACAGGATCTTTAGGGTTTAGGGTTTAGGGTTTAGGGTTTAGGGCTTGGTTCCGGCAACGCGCACAGAGCCCGGATGCAAAAAGGGTTTAGGGTTTAGGGGGTTTGGGGTTTAGGGTTTAGGGTTTAGGGGTCCTTTGTTTTGGATCAAACATCTTCAGCTTTCCTTGCAGCCGCACCTGCATCTGAGTGGCGTGGACGACGCGGAAGCAGCCCGTCAGCGTCATCTGCCGACCTGCTGCAGAGGAACATGCTCTGCCATACGTATGGGTGATTTTCTTCCAAGTTCAGCTTTCCACCCGTGCTGCCTCACGCGGATTGCTCTGTGCATGGGCAGCATGCTTTGTAGGATTTCGAACTTCGTTTTCTCGCAGGCGCCCAAATCATGGGGGAGTCTTTTATATGCCTCCGTTCCCTCCATGTTTCCGGCAGGTCAGACCAATAGGTGCACAGGCTTAAGGGTCGAGTTTTTGACATGGAAAGGTTTCAATATGTCTCTGCTAGCTGTCTTGCTTGGAGGTTCATGGGTAGTTATAAGGATTATCAGTCGCGGCAACTGTAACCCTAACTAGGGTACTGACAACCCTACTGTGAATTACCCATGAGCCTCCAAGTAGTGGCTCGCGTCTGAAGACTGGGCCAAGCCAACCCAAGCTTCCGCAAAACTTGCTTGCTTTGGTTTTTGGGTCGGGGGGGGGGTGGGTGGGGTGGGGGGGGTGGTGGTGGGTTTCGGGTTCTAGGGATTTTCTGGGGCATAAATGAAAGTCCTACGAGAGGTTCTCATACCAGCAGCCTGCAAAAAGAGTAGGTGTTGGGCTCTTGCCGCTTTCCTGGCCCAAGATTCCTGTACCGACCTTTCCTGAAGCCAGTTGGGGCCCTTCATTCTGGACTATACTTGAAGGTTCATGGGACTTACTAACCAATTATAACTGTACTTATAACCCTACTTACAATACCCCTAAAGGGCCTTATAGGGGTTATCCCAATATAAGTAGGGTTATAAGTACAGTTATAAGTGGTTATTAAGTCCCATGCTTCAAGTAGAGCCAAGTTCCCTCCTTCACGGGGGCTTCCGGGTTGCTGGGTTCTTTCTCAGGGCCTTTCAGGGCGGCTCCGCACCCCTAAACCCGAAACCCTAAACCCTAAACCCTAAACCCTGAACCCTAAACCCTAAACCCTAAACCCTAAGCCCTAAATTCGTGGCCAGGCAGTTTACACGTCGCGGGCGCCGCCTGGAGCCTTCCTCGGCGTCGATGAGCCCAGCGGGCCTGACCCAGAGCACGACTGCGAGGTGGCCTCGCACACACACATACAATACTGTATGTATATATATATATACATATATAGTTATGTATGTATATATATATATATATATTTATTTTTATGTATATGTATGTACATATATATATATATGTATGTGTGTGTACGTATGTCTGTCGGAAATTGTCCACAAGAATAGACATGCAGGTAAAGATCTAGACCTTTCAGATCCCGCAGGTCATGGCCCCCCGGACAGTGCGACTCCTAAGGTACTCCGTGCTTCCTACGGCTTGAACTCTAAACCTCCACGTTCGCAGACGCCGGCCGCGATTTTTTAACCCTAAACTCTAAACTTGGTTTTTTAACCACGGACCATTTGGTTACCCTGAACCGTAGAACCTTGTTGTTGTTGTTTTTCGAAGCCTTCCGCCCTCAGTGGCAGAGGAACTGAGGGTGGGAAGACGGGCTCCGCTGGGTGGTATAGGGTTTAGGGTTTAGGGTATCTGCGGTCGTTTTGGGGTTTTGCTTGCACCCCCGAAATGAACATCAGTTTTCATAGACTGGGATGTTCCCCCTTATACTAAGAGTTTTAATAGAGGGTACCGTAATCCCTATTCAGGACTGTCAAGTCGTAGATATCGTGCCAAAAGGGCCCTTAAGCTCTGTGCCTTTGCCATCGATGCAGGATGGCCTCAGACGCTGGGAGGTGGACTGGAGCACACAGAAGATGGACTGGTGCTGTTTCCCAGCTGATATGGGAAGGGCTTTTGGTGCTTGGCCACACCTTGAGACTCTGCATCCTTACCTACAAACTCGTTATCCGAACCGTGCCAAGTGCTTGTACACCACCAGCATGGGCAGCTCAACTGTGAGGAGGCCTATCGAAAATCACATCCAGTACCCTGTAGGAAGTCTCACAGGTTCCGAGAAACCTGACACGAATCTTTTCCCTTTCATACCCCGTAGGTAACCTGTGATACTTCATTCTCCCCCGACTTATATCCCTCGGCCCGAAGCCGCCCCCGTGTCTTGAAGAGCTTACGTACACAGTAGCAGCACGGGCGTAAGGCAGAACAATGCCACCCGGGCTTTCTCTTATCGCACTCCCCTCCCCAACCTGAGCCGCTGACTTGCAGGTGTACTCTTCCGTGTGCAGGTAATTTGACGCTTAGGCTGGGGAGTCAGGGATCTCCGCTACTGATCTTGATTCCCTGAAAGTCGTCATGACTTGCTCAATCATTCCGAAGTTGTTGTTCTGCGGGCGGCTGGTCTGCTTGGCGGGTGGCAAAAAAGTTTTCGTCTGTCAGACGAGAGCAAAAAACTTAAACCCTAAACTGAGTGGTTCGTCCAGCTCTGCGGGGGGGTGCCAAAAACCCGAAAAAAAAACAGCCCAGGTTGGAATTATGGCGTGGGCTGCATGCATTTCAGGTGCCAAGGAGCCACCCACGTGGGCGCCCTTGAAAGCCCTGAAGTTTGCTTGTCCCAGTGCCCCTTACATTCCCTTGCTGATGGGTTTAGGGTTTAGGGTGTAGGGATTGGAGCATTCCTTACATGATATTGGCGACACGCTGCAACTGCAGGAATGTTCCTTGAGTCACGGGGTAATCATGGAGGGTCTCTGCGTTTTTCATGAATCGTAGGGAGGTTAGGGACTTAGGTGCCCTATACCCCTCCTATAGATAACCTGCGAGAGACTTCAATACCGCCGAACATTCCTTACATCATATGAAGGTCCTCCAAATTCCCACGATTCGCGTTGGGATCCCGCGGTAGTCTTGCGCCTTGAGAGAAGGAGATCAAACTTCTTGGACAAGCCTGCAGAGAAAGTGGCTTCCACGCAAGAAGGTTAGGTAGGGTCTAGGGTGTCGGGCTTACGGGTGCAAGCGCTCTCCGATTTCGGAAAAACCGTGGCGAGCGACTGGGGTTCCATTGGACGAATTTTGCACCTTCGGCTCCCTCCTGATAAAGGGGGAAATGATTCTTGTCATGTCCTACGTTCATGGGTAGTTCTAGGTAGGATATATATGTATGTATATATACATATATATATATGCGCGCACATATACATATATAAACATATATAGATTTAGGGTTCTTCCGTGTTGCCCGGCTAGCAGATCAGAGGCCTGGATGCAAAAAGGGTTCTTCCGTGCAGACTAATAGGCATGTGGTAGGGCTGTAGAACTGCAGCTGTGTATGGGGTCGAAACGAAGCCAAAAAACGCTCCAGTCCTAAATGCAAAGCCTCCTTCGCAGCTACGAGGGTAGTTCTCTCCATTCGGGTCCCTTGTGGGTCCCGACATACAATGGCACCCTTAAATAAACCCTAGACCGAGACCCTAAACCCTAAGTTGGAACAAGTAAGCCCTAAACCCTGAACCCTGAACCCTGAACCCTAAACCCTGAACCCTAAACCCTAAACCCTAAACCCTGAGCCCTAAACCCTAAACAACTACCCAACGAGGTGGTGCTGCGAAGTCCGCGGCATCGGCGAGGAGTGCCAAGTCGGGTCCCTGCGCTTCGCAGCCTGGCGCTGGCTGAAAGGGCTTACTTACTAACCACTTATAACTGGGCTTATAACCCTACTTATAATTGGGATAACCCCTATAAGGCCCTTTAGGGGAATTATAAGTGGGGTTATAAGTACAGTTATAATTGGTTAGTAAGTACCATGAACCTTCAAGTAGGGTCTTGGGTTTAGGGGCCCACTGGTAGTAAACCACACAGGGCTTGGGGTGAGGGCCCGGGTTGACTGCGGTTGTTGGTTTTGTTGCGCGCACCTCCTTGGAGTTGTCTCGCATGGCCTTCTTGGCAGCGTTTCGACCGGCTTCCGCTGCAGCGGCATCTTGCATGGTTCAGGGTTCAAGGTTGAGTGTCCCTAAATCCTAGACCCTAAACCCTAAACCTTAAACCCTGAACCCTGAACCCTAAACCTAAACCTCTATGCCTCCGAGCTCGGCGATCCGTCCGAGGACTGCGGCCATAACCTGGGCACCTGGGAAAGCTGGCACCCGGCGAAGAAGCAGTGGCGGTGACCTTAAGAACCATGCGCTACAGTTTAGGGTTCAGGGTTCAGGGTTTAGGGTTTAGGGTTTAGGGTTTAGGGGTCGGGTTTAGGGTTTAGGGGTAGGGTCTAGGGTCTCTTTAAGTAGGGTTTCTGCTTTGTAGGGCGGTTCTTATTAGGGTATCTAGGGGCTGTATTAAGGTATAAGGGCAACAGATAAAGAGGCCACCGGCCTTTATAAACCATGCGCGTGAAAGTGTCGGGGTTGAGGCCTTGCCACACCTTGGACCCTGAGCTCTTCTCGTTGAGGGCTCCCCTATTCTGAGGTGCTGCAACTACCAGGGCCTCGGATGTGGCAAAGAGTTCGAGGCGCCGCCAACAGGTTCTCCTGTTTCGCAGGGATGAGGTCTCTGGGGTTTGATTAGGGTTCAGGGTTCAGGGTTTAGGGTTGGACAACACTGCACCGTTGAATAGCCGACGTACTTGGGAGCAGGAACATGAAGAAGTCCAACAGCTCCAAGAACCGCTCCCAAACATGTTGAGCGAGGGCGGGCAAAAGTGAAAAGATCTTGAATAGCTTCAGGCACAGGCCCGGAAAGCAAGAAACACTGAACCCGTACTGCTCGAACCCTTGGCAACCTCCAGCCGGACTTGTGGAACCTCGATGACACCAACTGTGCAGTTTCTCTGAATCGTGGCTTCTGGTGGGGGCACCCTAGACGTAAGGCGGCGCATCCTTGCCTCAGCGTGTTCTCAGCAACCTCAAAGGGATCTGAGTTTCTTCAAACTCCGCAGATGCAGCGCCCAGGAGCAGAAGGAGGAGGCTGCCATAGCCAGGGCAGCTGCCGACGCCGCCTCCCCGATGCCGGCAAGGGAGGATCAGCAAGAGGAGGAAGAGGAGAAAGAGGAGAAGGAGAAAGAGGAGGAGGAGGCGAGCGCTGGAGTCGGGTTTTGCCAAGAAAGCCCAGAACCCCTTAAAGTTAGGCATTGCGGAAGGCACTCTCAACGCCCTGAGCAGTAGTGTGTCTTTCCTTACTCCATGGTATTGGGTTCGAGGTGAGGCAACTCCCCAACAAAGCAGGCCGCATGAAGAGATTGTAGAAATTGGTCGCAACTGGGGATCCCTAGCAGGATGCCCTTACTCGGAGGTTCATGGGTAGGTTTTGAGTAGGGTTATCAGAACGCTAAATGGGGTCTTAAGTATAGTTGCCATACTTATAAAGCTGCTTATAACTACCTCCAAGTAGGCCTGATGACAGGAACGCAGACCTATGGAACACTAATCAGAGACCCAGCACCCTTCAATTAAGGAATCTTCCCCAAACCCATCTTCGGATACCTTAGGATGCCCAGGTTTTTCCTAGGAATATATCCCTGAGTTCGCCCGTATCATTCTAGGATTTTTCCTAAATCCGGGATTCTACGAGATGCCCCAGGCTCTTAAGGCCATGCCTTGCGCACTTTTTTTTTTTTTTTTCTGACTATGGTGCTTGAGGTGCACTCTCCTTCGGAACATGGCCCTGAAGGGGAAGGCGCCATGGCGAAGTCTAGCATCTTGCCGGGAGGCTGCAAGATCCCTTCATGAAGGAATGGTCCTTAAACTCTAATCGTGAGAGGACTGTTGGAGTCTCCGGGTGTGACAGTGCAGAAGGAATCGCATGCATTTTGGGGCTGCGTGCGTGAATCGCGGACATCCTCGTCCTCGGCGGGGCGCGTGGTCTCCTTGAATCATCCCCGTGCCATCCGTACATATTTGTCATCTAAGCTGGCAAGAGTTAAGTAGGTGCTGGCCTGTTCACTGTCCGGAAGGCTGCGGGCTATTGATTCTGGAAATAGTACGATTCACGGGGTTCAATTGTTTCAAGGGAATCTGTCCACAGCAGCGTGTCCGCCAAGCCACGCACGGGGGCGAGCTTTCGTTGGCCTCGGCTTGCCCTCAAGTATGAAATTCGTCCATCTTTGTTTGTTCCGTTTCGCAAGGGGATGCCATTGGAAAATGGGTACCATAATATGCGCCCTGATCTTGAACAACCCCCCCCTCCCCCCCCCACAAGAGGGTTTCCGAAATAAGGGGTCCCTTCTTGGGGTCCTTACCATCAGGGAATCCTACTAGTTGGGGATTTTTATTGGGGGTCCATTCTTTTTGTAAATCCCCACATGCTGACCCCCAGGTTCAGAGCACGACTCCACCACGCTCTTCACAAAGTGCCAGCCGCTGGCCCCGATGAAGAGTAGCCTCCAGGGCAGTTTTCTTGATGGTTTTCGGGCCACACCCAAAGCGCCCTTGAAACCCCTCAACTAAGGAATTTACCCTGAAGGATCATCAGGATCTCTGTGTGGTTTAAGGTATATTCAATATTCATTGAGGGGTTTTGGGCTCTCTGGGCTTTGCGGAACTCGGAGGGCTTCGGTTCTTAGAAGTTCAAAAGATCGGAAGAGGCGATGGAAGTGCTGATGGGGTTTGCGGTGGAAGCAGTTGCTGCGCCATCAGGAAGATGGCCCCCCCACCCCCTTCCACTCTACTCCCTAAACCCGTAAGCCCTCAAACCCTCGAAGCCCGGTCCGACGGCTTGTTTGCTGGTTTTTCAGGTACACCGTTTTGATGTGATCCTCGAGGTGGAACAGAGAGACCAAGACTCCTTAGCCGTCATCATAAGGAACCCTTAAAAGCACAAGGTATCTTTGTGCGTGGGGCACTATTCGGCACCCTGGGAAAGAGTGTAGGGTTTGGGGGTGCCGCAGACAAGCCTAAAACCACCCCGCCGCCCAGTGCAGCAATGCAGGGTGCCAGAAAGCTATACCATCAACTACTTCCTCTATGTGAACCCTAAACCCTAAACCAAGAACCTCCTACTATCACGGCTCCATCTGCCAGACGTCGAAGCCTTCGATATCCGAGCCATGCAACACATGCACTTCCCAAGCTGAAGGCTTTGGCTCGTCCAGCCCCTGACAAACCATCGAAAACCCTAAGCCCCACCTAAACCCTAAACCCTGAAGCGAACCCTGAACCTTAACGGTTTTGGTTCCGAGGTCCGAATGCGTCATCGAGGAAGTGCAGGCGTGGGAATGGATCTTCGTGCTGTGGCACCTACCTGCACGAAACCCTGTAAATGCTGCAGTCAAGGAAAGCTTTCTGCAGCAGTGAAACCAGAGTTTTCTGAACAGGCGACTTGCTCCGACTGGGTCGTAGACTTCGCAAAGCCGCTCCGGCGACTTTGGTCCTATAGGGTTTAGGGTTGCAAAAGGGTTTAGGGTTTAGGTTTTAGGGTTATTCCTTGCTGCTGTCTCCTTAGCCCGGTGATGCCCGGTGTTTCTGGCGTGTTTGGGAGTCTTTGGGTGCGGTCTTGCCTTGAGGATGTTCCCAACTTCCGACCCTTAGGGCCTTCGTTCAGGTGTCAAAGTCCAAAGGCCTTGAAACGCAAGAGCTTCGGTTTCAGGGTTCAGGGTGTTACCCAAGATCTTCACCAAGCCAGGGTGGCCTACAGGGGAGAGCACGACGCCTGCTCTCAGGCTCCACCGGGTGGGAGGGGGGTCTCGGGTTTAGGGTTCAGGGTGGCCTTATTGTCTGCGGCATGGTCGTGACATCGAGGATGTGGACTTTGGATGATCAGGTTGCGTTTCCATTATTCCTGATCAGTTTGTCAAGACGTATTCAAACTTCTTGATGCCCTTGCGTCGCTCGGCCCCTCAATTCCTCAATTCCTCAAGCACTCGACCCTAACCCCTCATCTCTCAAACCCTCAGTCCCGAACCCCTCAAACCCTTCAAACCGCTGAAGCCCCCAAACCCTCAACCCGAAACTCCCGCCAAAAGGCTCCTGAAACCAATCCTCAAACTCCTCAAACTCCTCAAACCCCTCAAACTCCTCAAACCCCTCAAGCCTTAACCCCAACCTCAGCTCTGAACCCCAAAACCCGCAAGCCTTGAACCACAAAACTCTGAACCCCAAAACCCCAGACCCTCAATCATTATCTGCGTGGAAGCTGCTTTCCCTGTACTTTATTCTGAAGTCCGAACCCTTCTTGCACCAAGCCGGAGGCGTACTCCCTCATGCGCGTGAAGTGTGGGACATCGCTGGGAGCCCGGTGTTCGATGCAAGGGCCGCTAGGGGCTACAGGCTACGTAAAGGGCTACGGGCTGTTGAAATTCGGGTTTAGGGTTTAGGGTTTAGGGTTTAGGGTTTAGGGTTTAGGGTTTAGGGTTTAGGGTTTAGGGTTTAGGGTTTAGGGCCTAGGGTTTACGGTTTTGGCTGTTGCTGCTTCCAGCTTGAAGATTTACCGGTCCAGGTGCGACGACTGCCCGATCAACGTGATAAACTGTGAGGCAGGGGTCTGCTGGGGTGGGGAGATCCCCCCTCCCCTAAACCCTAAACTCTAAGTGGGGTTCATGGTACTTACTATCCAATCATAACTGTACTTATAACCCTACTTATAATTGGGATACCCATGAACCTTCAAGTAGACTCTAGACCCTAAACCCCAGACTCCAAACCCTAAACCCCAGCTCGAAACCTTGAATGCCATCACTTTGCAACCCCAAGCCTGACAGTTCAGGCGAAGCCCGAAGCCAGTCATGGTGTTAGGTGTCCTTGTGACAAGCACCCAAATTCAACCGAAAGCATAGCGAAACCGTTTGGAAGGCTTTTTGGGTTGCAAGCCTGCTTTTGGGTCCGACGCCGAGATGGTTGTCAAGCCCTAAACCCTAAACCCCTTCAAAATCCGAAATCCTGCCCCAAAATCTCCTCTAAAACAGGGCAGGCTTGAGTCCCTCTTGAGCCCTCTTGGGCTTTCTCGGAGGTGTTCAGGGGTTATCTTGTATCACATTGCGTCGCATCGCACGCACTTCTGGGGTCGAAGAGGAGTCTGCCGGGCTTTTTCCTACAAAGTAGGAGGAGCTGCGAGAGTGCTTTCGGAGGGGGTTTCGGCTTGCTCTTACCAAGCCTGGGCCAGTTCCTCGACAGCCTGCCGCCGCCCGAGTCCTCAAAAGCTGAGACGCCGTGTTGCCAAGAGAACTCAGAGTCCAATTCCCCCCTCACTTAAGGAATCGGTGTTCAGAGTCAGGATCCCTCCCACAGCTCAGGATGGGGGCATTGGAGCTTTCTTGGCAGGTATGGGGTTGGGGCTCAGGGTTGTCAGGCGCAAGTTGGCATAATGGCCTAGCTCCCAAATTCGGTGCCCAGCTTGGAGGATGTGCCCCCAAAAGAGTCCAACGCCCCTGAAGAAGGGAAGGTGGAGTTCAAAATGAGGCCCAGACGCTGCAAAGCCCCCCCCCCTCCCCCGGAATAGTCTTCGCCTAGAGGTCCCCAAAGAGCCCAAAACCCCTTAATTAAGCAATATTCCTTCAACCATATAGGGATCCTGAGTATGGTTTAATTAAGGGGTATTGGGCTCTTTGGGTCCTGAATCAACCTGAGCTCTAGTAGGCTTTTCACTTGAGTGTGCGGGTTGTTGGGAACATGTCCTTAAGTTTAAGGATTGCCTGTGCTGCCCCCTTAGAGGCCCCATACAGCTGCAACATAAACTGCCCCAACTGTTCTAATGACACGGGCCCGTATGTTACTTTGGGCTCCAGCATGCTCCAGCAAATAAAGCCAGTTCTCTGCATCCTGGTTCCATTTTCGGAAGACCCTACGTCCAAAATTCTACTGGGCCGTAGGAAAACCTAAACCCTCAACCCTCAACCCTCAACCCTCAACCCTCAACCCTCAACCCTCAACCCTCAACCCTCAACCCTCAACCCTCAACCCTCAACCCTCAACCCCAAACCCCAAACCCTGAACCCTAAACCCGAAACCCTAAGCCCTCAACCCCAAACCCCAAACCCTAAACCCTAAACCCGAAACCCTAAGCCCTAAACCCTAAACCCTAAACCCCAATGCCGCCCAGGAGCTCCGGGCCCGAAGCCTCGGAAGCCCCGGAAGGCTCGGAAGCCGGTGGCGCCAAGGAAGCTGGGCTCTGGTTGAGGAAGTTTTGTGGGGTTTATGGTTTCGGGTTTAGGGTTTAGGATTTAGGGTTTAGGGGTTTAGGGGTTTAGGGGTTTAGGAGTTTAGGGTTTAGGGTTTAAGGCTTGGGGTTTAGGGTTTAGGGCTACGCCCTGAGTTTCAGGTTAGGATGGCAGCAAGGGCGTGGGGTTTGGGTCGAGCTCAGCAATTCCAGGCTTACAGAGAGCTTTGAGCATAGTTTTCTGTGAGTTGCCATACTGGGGTTCTACAACACATCATTTCCTGTCCTCATGATGTGAACTGGCAACTCAATGCGTGTTCCTTCTGACACCCTAAACCCTAAATCTTAAACCCTAAACCCTAAACCCGTAAACCCCTTATCCCTAAACCCTAAACCCTAAACCCTAAACCGAGGCGGAGGAAGGCGGAGCCAGGAGTGAGGGAGCCGAGGGGGCCGAGGCAGCTGCGTCCACCACCGCGGCCACGTCGGTCTCGTCCTGCGAGTGCCCAACTCAGATGGGGGGGGTTTAGGGTTTAGGGTTTAGGGTTTTGGGGGGGCAGAGTTCGGAGAGCCCAAGACGCCTGGTAGGAACAGGCCCTATAGATCATACTAAGCTTCTTTATATAAGGGCAATACCCCCCCTTTTCCTAAGGAAGACAGTTTAAGGGTCTCAGGGACCCCAACGGAGGTGTTTTCATATGTGGACATGAAGCAAAAGGCTGCCTTGCTTGCATACCCTTCACTTGCAGAGCAGATCCTCATGTCGTTGTTGCATCTACCTCAAAGATTTTACACCTAAAACCCCCTGCACACTTTGAAGTGCAATCCCTAAGAACGGTGGAGCTCTCCCTTGGTACTTGGAAACTGGGGCGAGGAGTTTTCATGCCCCCCCCCCTCCCTGATGACGAGCGTGATCTTTCCTATGCTGTTCAACCCTCAACCCTCAACCCTAATCCCTAAACTCTAATCCCCAAACCCTTAGCCGGTTTTGTTTGGGGGTCTTTTAGGGTTTCTCGGTTCTTGCTAGCCACCCACCTAGCGGGACGAGCCACTCAGCAGGGACCCCTACAACATGACAGCAGGGTTTAGGGTTTTAGGGTTTTCGGGTGTTAGGGCTCTAGATTCGTAATCGCACTGGCCTTCTTCCAACTCCTTAAACATGATGGAAAGGATCTCAAAAAGCGATCGCCGAAGGTGCCCTCAATCCTCAACCCTCACCCCTACTTGGAGGCCCTTTTGACTTTATTAGTAGGGTTTGTAAGTTGGGTAATGCGGACCGAATTCGATGCGAAGAAAAGTGAAGCGAGAGTAGTAAGTTGGGTGTTTAGGGTTTAGGGTTTAGGGTGTTAGTTGGGTTTCTAGGGGTTACGAAGTAGACTTACTAAGTCAAGGGGGCTTCCGAGTGCGCCACAAACAGGGAGGGCTGCGTCGTTGGCGGCTCGCGCGCCTCCTGTGCCGACTGGGTGGTGACCTTCGCCAGGCCTTGGATCCCTGGGTTTAGGGTTTTGGGGTTTAGGGTTTAGGGTTCAGGGTTTAGGGTTGAGGGTTTGAGCGCTGGCATCAAGTCCGGTTTCAAAAGGGCTTAGGGTTGAAAGGTTCAGGGTTCAGGGTTTTGGGTTTAGTTAGGTCTCCATGTATAGGATTCTTAGGGTTAAGCATGGTTGTTTGAAGGGTCTTGGGAAGGGCTTGGGTGCTTTTTTTTGCAGGCCCTTAAGGCCCAACACCCCTTTCCTTTAGGGTTTCGGGTTTAGGGTAAGAGAGCTTGCATCAGACTTTTGAGGGTCCCTAACATAGTTTAAGGTATATTCCTATTTGAGGGGCTTGGCTCTCTGGGAGTTTTTTTAATATATATTTTCTGGGTTGAAGGCTCGGGGTGTTTAGGGTTTAGGGTTTAGGGCTTAGGGTTTAGGGTTTAGGGTTTAGGGTAAGGACAAGAACGTTGCAACCATCGGCGCCAAGAAGTGTCATGCCTGCTGAGCCTTCGCTGCCCTTACCTTCTTAGACACGACCCAGCGACTCCAACACTCCTTAATTAAGGAATATTCCTTAAACCACTTTGAGCAATAGTCTTTATGTAAGGGGTATTGGAGTCCCTGGGAAACCCAGTCAAAATGCATTCAACCCCACCGCCCCAACGGCGCCGTTCCTCGGAATCCCCCGACACCCCGGTCTTGGGGACTTGTGATTTGGTTTTTGAGTTTCTGCCCAATCCACGGCAGGGGAGAATACCATGGACTGCCCGATGTCTGCGCGCAGGTGGGATGGTGCGTGTTGTTCCTTCTCTTTCCTGGTGTTCACGGGGTTTTTCCGAGATTTTCGTTTGCGGGTGTCGTCTAGGTAAAGGTTTGCAGGTTCCCGTGTTGACCTAGCTTCATCGCACATTTGACATGCCAAACCATGCCGACTTCTGGCGCTATGTATATGTATACATACATGTATGTATGCATGTATGTATGTATGTAATGTAGTATGTATGTATGTATGTATGTATGTATGTATGTATGTATGTATGTATGTATGTATGTATGTATGTATGTATGTATGTATGTATGTATGTATGTATGTATGTATGTATGTATGTATGTATGTATGTATGTTTATAGCACAACACTATTTGCATATGTATATGTATATATATATATATATGAAGAGTATGTATGTATGCATGCATGTATGTAGACATGCGGTTAGGGGACGCAGAGCTGAGAAAGTTTGTGGCTGCTCGGGTGGTCATGGCTCTTCCAGCGACGAGCATCCATTTCGTGAGCCCTTGAAGCCGAAAGCACCCACCCTAAACCCTAAACCCCAAACCCTAACCCACACACCCAAAGTCAAAGGCCCTTCCAGTGCCCTTTGTCACCCTCCGCAACCCCAATTTCAGCTGGTGTTCAGGGTTTGAGATGCGGTCGAAGGTGCTTTTGTGCAGACTAACTGCTTTGGGTTTAGGCTTTCGGGTTTAGGGTTTCGGGTTTAGGGTTTTCGGGTTTGGGGGCTGGGGGTTTAGGGTTTAGGGAGCCTTGGCAGCATAAGCTCTTTCCCGGCACACTCACGCAAGCCTGGATGGTTTAGGGGAGCGTTTGGTCTCTCATGTCGTAGTGCGCGTCCATGTTATCGCCTATAACCCCCGCACCCGGAACCCCGAGCCCGCCAAGTGTCTTAAAGAGAAGTCCAAACCCACCAAAACCCGAAGAAGAGTCGAAGGACATTTCTTTTGCCCGCTTCTCACGGGCGAAGCAGGGCTTAGGTACCTTCTCTCCCGGATCGGATGTGGCCTTTGTAATCAAGGGGCCTTTGTAATCAAGGGATGAAGGCTCGTACCCCTAAGGTTGTGCCCCTCAAGGTCCCCTTGATATACTCCTAAAATGGCCCTTTCCCTTGGGGAGACAAGGAACCCGAGCCGGTCTGTTCTGTGTGGCGCAGGCCTACACGCGCATGCGGGTGGAGTGTGACACGCCGCCGGGGCCTTGGGTGAAGTGCTCTCGGGATCGTGTTTTTCGGATTTCTTCTCATGGTGGAACACCCAGAGATCTTGCTGGGTTGCAGAAAGCCTTCAATCCCACATGTGATAGCTGGCAGCTGGAAGTGCCAGGTTCCCTTAATGTAGCCTGTAGTTCCCTTAGCAGACCTTTGAAGAAAGGGCCCCCAAACCCAAGGGTACAACCTTAAGGGTCCAAGGTAGAGTCCTCTGACGAACGAAGGCCCGAGCGTGGGATTTGATGGTGACCCAAACCCTGAGAGGGGCCTGTGCGAACTGTTGGAGCCACCTCCCAATACTTTCAAAAGGGTTTAGGGTTTCAAAAGGGTTTAGGGTTTCAAAAGGGTTTAGGGTTTCAAAAAAGGGTTTAGGGTTTCCCAACATCGCCGAAGATGCCTGAGGTGTGGCCGCTGCGCCCTCGACGCCATTGATTGCGAGGCAGGCTTCCGAGCCGTGCCCCGAGAAACCACGGAGAGCGGCCTCATTGGAGGTTCATTGGGGTAGTTATATGTAGGAGTGTAGGTATGGAAACTCTACTTATCACCTAGTTAGGGTGCTTAGAATCCGACTTATCACTTCCCATAGAGCCTCCAAGTAAACCGGTGGTTTGAGCTCAGGGTTTCCGTCTCCGCCTTCCTCAGAGGGCAATGGCACCGCCGTCCCTCCTCAAAAAAAAGGGCCTTGGGCCCGAACCCCAAAACCCCAGGCAGAAAATATCCGCAAGCCTTACCTGGAGGTTCAGTATGAGTATGGTTACCATCGTTATAGCCCTACTCAGAACGAATGAACCACCAAGCCATGAACCAAGTAGGGCGCTTTCTTTTTTTGCTTTTGGGAACCCGGCTCTTTGGTGGGGGTGGGGGGGGGGGGGGGGGGGGGGGGGGGGTGCTGAGTTGGCGATAGGTTTTGGGCTGAGAACAGAATGGCAACATAGCAGTATAGCGATGTAGTAATACAGGGTTCTGTGGGGTTTGGTTTCAGCCATATGACAATACAGGCATATGGGGTCTGGGTGAGTGGGGGGGGTGAGACCCGGAGAGCCCAAAACCCTTGAGTTAAGGGAAAAGGCCTTAGACTACATAGGGACCCTTAATATGATGCAAGGTATATTCCTTAAAGGGGAATATTGGACCCTTCGGTATGATGCAAGGTACTTTCCTTAAAGGGGAATATTGGGCTCTTGAGGTTAGGTGCCAAGAGCTGCCCGACAGGCGCTGGACAGCTTGCCGGAGACATCCGCAAAGACCCCAGCCACCGGAGAAAAGGCCTCGCCCGAGGCCAATCCGCTTGCGGCGAAGGCCGCGGAAGTTTACACCACCACGACCACCACGACCACCACCACGACCACCACCACAACCACCACGACCACCACCACCTCTACCATCATTGCCACCCCTGCGCCGATGAGAAGCAGAAGGAGCCCTGCAGCTGCCACTGGCCAGAGCGAGGGCGAGGCGACGAGTGCCCCTGGCGCCCGTGGCGAAGTCCCGGGCGCAGCTTGGATCCAAGAACGTGACAGGGGATGGTAGGCCACAGAAGCACATGCGTGTGAGGGTTGCGAGATTTAAGAGGCAAGACAGTGCATCTCGGCACGGGAGGGGTGGACCTTGCAGCCCCAAGCTCTGTCGGGAGAGGAGCACTCGTGAATGCAAAAGTCTCTGAGTCCACCCCTGGCTGTTTTAGAGATCGTAAGCCTGTCTGGTTCTGAAGTTCCGGGCGTGCTCCGAAAGGTGTCCGTGCTGTGTTCGAGGCACGCAAATCTAGACTCTGGATCTGCAACAGCATTTTGCCTGTGCATGTTGAGGCATTCGCAGCTAAGGAGCCAGAGGCGCAGCAGCCAGGGCCGCAGGAGCCAGGGACGCAGCCAGCCCAAGAGCCGGGGGTGCAGGAGCCAGAGGCGCGGGATTCAGGGGCCGAGGAGCCAGGGGCGAAGGAGCCAGAGACGCGGGAGCCAGAGGCGGAGAAGCCTGAGGCAGAGGAGGAGGAGGAGGAGGAGTCACCCGAGCATGACTGCTCCACCGACGCGGAGAACTGGATGGAGAAATGGTCGTTGGAGAAGCGGCTCGGCTCATGACAGTCATGTCACAGGGCTGTCGATCGGTTTGTTGTTCCGCAGGAGTCGTCACCGCGACGGCCCTCAGCGCGCCCTGAGCAACCCCTCCACCAGTGTCCGCCCAGGAAGCTCTTCTGCTGCCGGAACGGCGCGATGCAGTGCCCCTTCTGAGTGTTGGCAATTCGCCCCCCAGGGCACGTTGCCGAAAGCGGCGTGCGAATGGCACGTTTCACAGGTCTACCGTGCGGGAAGGCAGCCGCAATCACTCGAACCCGTAAACTCTCAAACGTTCTTGCATCCCTTGGCCCTAAACCCTAAACCCTAAACCCTAAACCCTAAACCCTAAACCCTAAACCCTAAACCATGTCAGGCGATGGGCTTTCGGTGCTCAGGGGGCCGTGAGACTGACCAAGGGCCCGAGCCAAGAAGCTTCCCCCCCGCATGCAGTCCGGGGACTCCATTGTCAGTTAATTATGGGGATAACCACCAAAGGTTTAGGGTTTAGGGTTTCGGGTGTCGGGTTTCGGGTTTCGGGTTTAGGGCCCAACATACCCCCTAAATATGGAATATACCTTAAAGCATACTAAGGATCCTTATATTGTTTAAGGTATACCCCTTATTTGAGGGGTCTGTTTGGGTCCTCAGATTGTAGGATGGGATCCTACTTCTGAATCAAGGGGGATTTTGGAGCCTCGGGAACTGAGGAGGCAAGGGCCTCGGCTAATTCGCAGCAGGGGCGTGATCAGTTTGGGTTTCGGAGGGTTTTTTTTTTCTTTAAAGGGAGGTTTTTAGGGGCTTAGGGCTTATGGTTTAGTTTTTGCTTTTTTGTTTCTTGGGCCCAGACTGACAGGCTCATCAGGTTCATGGTTGCAGTGGTTCCTCTACTATTTGCTTAAGAGCCCCAAACGAAAAAGCAATGTTCCCTATATATTATATGACCCTTAATTTGGAAGAATGTTTTTATCTTTTTTCGGGTTTCTTAAGCAACTAGAAGTCCTGGCAAGCGTTATTCTAGACGATCAGGCTGGTGGTCGCTGTTGTTTTGGAATGCTGATCGCGGGCCCTCAATGCACTCATCACGTTGGACCTGAGGGTAGTTTCATGGGCCCTTAATACGGAAGGGGTATATAAGGGGTACCCTTTTAAGGGCCCATACTAGGGGACCGTGAAGCTACCCTTAGATTGTAGAGTGGCTGAAGGCAAAGGACTTTCACATCCACATGAGCGAATGACCGCCTTGTCCGAGAGCTCCATCCTTGAGTCGCGAAGGGCTTCTGCCTGTTTTAGGGTTTAGGGTTTAGGGTTTAGCCTTGTTTAGGAGAGGGGTTACTTGTAGAACCTGCTTTCGGCACTCTTTCGATCTCACTCGCTCTGCCTTGCGTGATGAGAACATGTGCACGCATGTATCCCGCCGCGCGTTGTGCATTGTCTCACGGGGCACTGAACATCTGTGCCAGCATTCGGAGCTTGCAAAGGCAAACCAAAAAGTTGGCTTGTGCACAAGCCAACTGGGCTTTGACATAGTGCATCTTCTCAAGCGAATGCCAGAGCTCTGTGTGATTCGTACTCTTGCTGGCGCAGCGTTGCTGCGCACGTTGCTTCTCTTTGTGCTGCCATGATGTTGATGAGGGTGCTCGGATTCCAGAAGCCCTTGCATACAGCGATAATCGCATCCATCATCGCAACACTGATACATAATACGCGTAACGATGATACCGAATCAAACATGTATATCATGGACGATATATCTTTGGCGCCCGCAGTCCCCAACCCGAGCCGACCGTTTCAAGCAGCTCGTGCCTCAACGATTTGGCTGCCAGCATTCATGTAGGGCTTCATGTTATAATGCACAATACCTGTGATCAGAATGCGACCAGAACATGTTAGCACATGTGAGCATGCGGGACCACTTATCTCCGGCGGGCGCCATGCTGATCCATTCCGCTGAACCCAAGCCCCTGGACTAGCGCGCACAAAGAGCATGGCAAGGAACAATCAAACCCCAACCCCCCCACACCCTCGCTCAATCCGAGTTCAGACTTCAAGCCCCTGAGCATTTCAACCGTAGTTCAAACGCATGCATCAAGCTTTTCCTTGATGCGGGGCTAGCCATCAGGCCGGGTTTTCGATAACCTCCAATAACCCTTCATGAAGGAAGATTCATTAAAACACAACCGGGTGCCCGACACGGTTTAAGGATGTTTAAGGACGGTTCCTGAATTCAGGAGTATTGCGTGATGACCTGTTCTCTTGGGAATGGCAATCTCTCCCCGGCATCCCATTATGCTTCTCGTTCTCTTGGCTGTCATATTGGGAAGCCCTCTTATCGAGGGGGAGTTTCATGGGCCCTGAATATGGTCCCGTATCTGCTTTATGTGGAAGGGTTATAGGGTTTTGTAGGGTTAAAAGGTGTTGAGGGTTTAGGGTTTATAGGGCTTGTTCTTGTCTAAGGGTAGTGTCATGGGCCCTCAATGTGGTCCCTTACCTCCTTTGTAGGGTTCTGAGGTATGGGCCCTTGATTTGTCTAGGCTGTATAAGGGGTATTGCCTTTTAAGGGCCCATGCGAAGGGAGGGCCCATGCGAAGGGACCAAGTAACTACCCAAAGACCTTAGCTATGGCTTCAAGCCCTTCTGCCCAACACCTGAGGCAACAACCACCCCCCCCCCAACCCCCCCCTGCCAAAGAAGCCTTGGCCGTGGTCGCAAAAAATCTCAAGTTCCCCTGATTCCCAGAGACCCTGAACTCGAGAACGTCGAAACACCGCGCGCATGGTTGCCAGGCGTTGCACGTGTTCCGGAACCATGGCAAGGCCTGCTGCGGAGGGGGCTATGGGCTTCTTGCGCCGAAGCTGTGAGTGAGGCTTGTGCTCGGCAAGGCGCTGTGCCTGAAAACCGCAGCCGTTGTGGCTCTCGCCCTTCCACCGTCGCAGTCGAGAGTGTAGTTAGTCACCGGAACTCGGCCAGGTTGTCGTAGCAGCCATGGACCAGGGTCAGGCACAAACAGCTCCGCTCGTGCAGCAGGATGAGGGCCACATGGGCTGGAAGCAGGCGGGCATCACGGTGTCTTGGTAGCCCCATAGTGCCCTTTCGTCCTTTTATTTTTTGGGTTCTGGGATCCCGTGCCAAAGCAACCAGCCCCTGAAAAGGTACCCTGAAAAGGTGCCCTTCTTATCCTTCTGACAATGCGGTTGCTGGTGTCTCCCAAGGTCTTCACCTTTGCGGCGCCCTCGGCGGTGATGGCCGTACCCTTCGCCATCGCCAATGCCGGCTATGTTGGGGGGATGGCTCTTTGCTTGATCCTCACGTCAGCCTCCGTTGCTGGGGCCAACATGCCCCCAGGATTCAGAAGAGAGTCCGACTCTAGATTTTGCAGCATTCCACCAATCCCAATACATAAGTTACATAAGCCTAAAGAAATACAGGCCCCGCCCCCCCCTCCCAAAATCCGCCCCCCAGGCTGCTGGAGATGAAGATCTTGTACCCACACTGCAAGACATTCGGAGATCTCGGCTTGGAGGTCATTGGCAGGCCAGCCCAGATGTGGGGCAACGTGATTCAGCTCGGGAACTTCTGCCTCTTCATGCCATGCGCTCTTCGCTTCTGCGCCTTGTCCTTGTACTCGATCGTCGAAATCGGTGCGCTGGGCAACTGCATCGACTACTACGTCTGGGTGATCGCGGCCGTCTGCTTGGTGAGCACGCAAGTGAGGAGCTTCGACAACGCGCAGGGCTTCACCGTGATCTCCTTCCTCTGCGTCATCGGCATGGTCATCACGATGATGGTCGCGGCATTCCAGTATGAGCACGTTCCCCGAATCCCGGCACAATGGATTGGGAACCCGGAGCCCGAGGCAGGGTTGCGGCTCGTGCGCCTCGCCAGTGGCTTCACCATCGGTGCTTGGGCGTTCATTCCCGCCTTCCTCACCGCAGCTAGGTAGGCCCTTGGGATGCTTTCATATTTTCCCTTGTTGTGAGGGGATCATAGTTAAGGAAACAAAACACTCGGAGGGCTCTAAAGGCCATCCGAGGTAGAACTCAGCACTTGCATGCGCAACCCCGCCGACTTCAAGAAGTCCCTGCTTCTGGGTGCAGCCCAGAAATACCCTTCTTTGCCCCTTTTTTTGGGTTTAAGGTTCAAGGTTTAGGGTTTCGGGTTTAGGGTTTAGGGTTTAAGGGGTTCCCTTGTAAAGTACCCGACTCCAAGAAGGGCACCCTTGTTGATAAGATGGCTGCGGGGCTACCAAGGCTGATGGCCGGAAGTCTCAACGTGATGCTCTTCGTGCTCGTCGGCACCCTTGTCGTCGCCCGCTGGGGCTACAATGTGGGAGAGGTCATCGCCATCACCACGGGTGTCGGCGCCTTCGCTCGCGGGAATGTGATCAACACGCTCTTCAACGCCTTCCAGTTGGGTGGCAACTTTGTGTCCTACATGCTGGACTCAGTGCCGCTACTTGGTAGCTGAGTGAGCACACTTTACACTTTTTGGGATACTATAAGCCCCTGTAGAACTGAAAGTGCACACTTTTTCTGGGGGCTTGTGAACTCAGCAACCAAGGCTGAGTCGGTTCTGCCAGAAGTGCTGGGCCCCAAACTTCAAGGACACGTGGACAGTGCCCGACATCATGAGGTACTTCGGCTACTCCCTGCCCACGTTCCTGTCTGCCTTGGTTCTGAGCACCTTCACCCCCAGCATCAACACGCTCTTGGACTTCGTGACAGCTCTGACCACGCCATGGGTGACCCAGATCTACCCCGCGGTCCTCTATTGGAAGGTCCTTCACCGACGCCGTGTCACAGACAACATTGAGTGTGGGCTGGAGGACCCAATCAGGCGCTCGGAAAAGATCACGGTTGCCTTGGTGTTCGTGGTCGGATGCATCAGCTTCTGTGCCTGCGCACTGAAGGCCATCGGATACCTTGCCTTTGATGAGCTCCGTCCTTCTTTCCAGATCGGCTGCGACGACTGGCTGATTTGGAAGTGGTCTCGCAAAGGATGAGACCCTGGACGGTGGCAGTCTTGGCTTTGCCGGCTTGCCCCGTGCACCCCCCCATATGAGCCCTGAGTGGAGGTCTTGAGCTCATATGGCCCTCCGGCATCACTTGGCCCCAGCTAGGTGTTTGCCCGAAAGGTCGCCCGTCTCTTGGTCTCGTGCATTGCGCTTGGCAGTGTCGAGCTGACTCTTGGGCCCTATCAAAATCCTAGACTTCACTTGTCGAGGAAACTGCCAGCCCTGGCAAAAGAAAGCAGCCGACTTGCCAGGCACTGTGGACCAGCTGCTTCCAACACTACTTGTCGGAGATGTGAGACAGTCCCCACTCGAAACAAGCGAAGCACTTCAATCCAAAGCTCAAGCTAAGCATCGAGTCTGCGGGAGCAGGACCGTGGTGCTAGTCGGCTTTCTGATGATGGCGGGTTTCATCGCCGGTGCCCTCGGTCTCGCAAGGTTTGGTGCGTTGGGAGATCCTCACGGAGGTATGAGGATTCATAGTTAAAGTTGCGGGTTGGAGCTCGCGTCTGTGCTTGGGCATGCATCGCGCAGTGACAGGTTTTTCTAGCTTCCTTCCCTGACCCTTACACACAGCACCTTGCGGACGCACGATGTCCATTGGCTGGGCCTCGCTATTTTCAAGCCCAAGACAAGTAAGGCCGGTGTCGTTTGGAGATTTCTGGATTTCTGTTCTTCGGCAAGCTGCCCCTGCAGTGCATACGCAGACTGCATACACCCCACAGAGTGCACACAGTGTGAGATCCTTCAACAGTCCTGCCGTCTCTGATGCCTCGCCAGAATTCCCTAAACCCTAAGCCCTTAACCCTAAACCCTAAACCCTAAACCCTAAACTTCAACAAAGACTCTGGGGCGGGAGCTCAGAGCTCGAGGCCATGATCATGCTGAACCTCTCGCACGCGCACAGCGAGCTTGACAACTTGCAGACGGCTCGGGAGGCCTCGGGGAGCCGCAGTTGCTGGGCTCTCTTTTGTTGAACTCCGGTGGTGCTTCGTAACTGCTTCGGCATGTAGCGCTTAAGGCACGTGGGCGTTGCCCCGACTTACTGGGCGGTGAATCCTTAGTGCTTTAAAAGGAAAACCAGAAACATAGGGAGCCATCGTGGTAGCCAAGGAGGTGGCTTTCAGTAAAGAAGTCTTCCTTGAGTTTTTAAGGATTCTTATGGTGATACGGGGCAGTCAAACAAATTATTAGAGTATTAGAAGTATAATTTTGCAAGGTATAACAATAACAATGTAAAAACAAATATATATATATATATATATGTATATATCTATTACTGACAGAAGAACCGAAACATAGATCCCGTAAATCTCCTTTGCCAAATCAGAACTCGGCTTTGCAGGTGCAGTCGGGAGAGATCAAAGGCCTGAGTCAGGCGTCCAATATTTCGATTTCGGGTTTAGGGTTGAGGGTTCGGGTTTAGGGGTTTTCTTGGAAAGGGTTTACTTGGAGGTTCGTTTGGGTGGTTGTAAGTATTGTTATAGGCATGGTAACTAGACGTCTAATCCTATTTTTTTTGGGATACTTTTAACCCTTCTCAGAACGACCCATGCATCTCCAAGTAAGGACCGTCCTTACAACGCATCGTCGCTAAGGCGGTGTAAAAAGAATGCTTTAGAATCTGGCTTTTTGAGCAGACAAGTGAGACGCCTGTTTTACAAAGCGTTCTATGTTTGGGGTGCTTGCACCATGGATTGCACTTTGAAAAGCTCAGAAGGGGTCAGCGTTATGAAATGTGGTAAGGACTCAGTCCTATCCCCCGGCCTCCCCGGCCCCCGGCTCAGAGGTGCTGCGGGCCACCTCTAGCCTCGACAAGCCAAGCCCCCCAAAAACAACCCTAGTAGTAGTAATAGTAGTAACAATGACCGTAACAATTGTAATAATACTAAGAGTAATAGTAGTAATAATAAGAGCGCAAGCAGGCAAACAACAAGCTGGCAGCTGATGTGAGAGAAGCGGGGGCCACTTTGTGCGGGCCCATGTCTGATGGTTCGGACCCATGCCATGTGCGCCACCGCATGAAGATATCTGGGTTTAGGGCCATGGGTCATGTTCACGGAATTTTTGGTACGGACGTGCAATGGGAGTTCTTTCGTGGGGTGCAAAGCGGAGCACGCCGAGCCCTGCACCTGTAATATCTGTGGGTTTTGCTCGGTCATGCGTCTCGGAGCCGACCTAGGATGTACCGATTCTCCAATCCCGAAAAGCCACAAGCCTCTATTTGACCTTAACAGAGGACTTGCTTCTTTGTTCTCTTTTTTTTTGGGGGGGGGGAGGGGGAGGAGGTTTGATATTTGAGCGAGGGGTCCTGATAGTTATTATTCCGATTACTCTTATTCTTGTTATGACTACTGGTGCATTTTGTCATGGGAAGGGGTTGAAGGCTTAGGCTTAGGCTTCTGGAAGTCGCGACGTCGTCCACGGATTTGACGGCTTGTTCGTCGAGGGTTGAATAGTTATAAGTAGGGTTGTAAGTTGTAAGTGCCCCAAATAGGGTTATCAGTATAGCTACTATACTTATCACCCTACGTATGACTACGCGCGAACCTCCAGCTGCACTGTTAAGACAATGTTCGAGCACCCATCTAGCAAGTGTTTGGGCTGCTCGCCTTGGGATGTTCCCCCTTATACTAACAGTCCTTAATAGGCTTTATGGTGCCCCTCTATTGCAATCCTTCAGGGAAGCATGCCCATGCTCGCCTGTCACAGTTGCAGGGAGCTGCTTGGGTTCCCCCCTCCGCTTCTTAAAGTCTAAACCCCAAACCCCCAACCCTAAACCCTAAACCCCAAACCCTAAACCCCCACCCCAACACGACCTGAAAGCTTGCCGATGTACGCTCTCACACTCTAAGCCTTAAAGCGCCTCGTCGGGTCGCGCGGCACTTGTGAGCACCCCTACTAAAGCGCAGCAAGTGTTGATGCCCAGGGGAGAAGTGGCAGCAAACCTGGCCAAGCAGAAGGTTTCTCGGGACGCATGAAGGGTTGACGCGTGGAGTTCGGAGGTTTTTGTTTTACATTCAATGCCCTTTCCATGCGAGACAGGATGAGGCATGGGCCGTTGCTGCATCAGTATCGACTCCCTCCTGGTGCTGGAGGCACCACTTAGGCTTCGGGCTTTAGGGTTTAGGGCTTTTCTTTGGGGCCACCAGCTGCCAAGGTCATGATCGAGCAGCAGGAGCAGCGCATCGCAACCGTCAGCGAGCAGCAGCGCGGGCCCCGGGAGTGCTTTTGAGCTGAGAGGCGTGGTGCCGTCCATTCGTCCTGAGATTCAACAAGCCTATCCAAACCATTCAGAAATGGATGCCCAGCTGAGATTCCTGAGATTCCACAAGTCCTTCCAAACCATTCAAACATGCCCAGCTGAGATGTGCTAGTATCTACAGGGTGTAAAGTCCCAACAGAAGGGTCAAACAGCTACTCTTACTGCTATTTGCTGTGTCCCTTGACTGGGGTCCGTTTCTGGATGCCTATAATCATGGTTCCTCTTGTGTTGAGCAAGCCCTAAACCCAAACCCTGTACACCCCTCGAACCCCTCAAGAAGCCCCTATGTCAGCCTTCATAAGCCCTACATAAGCCCTATAAGCCAGAATGCCCCTCGACCCCCCCCGAACCCCACCCGAAGAGCCCAATACCCTACAGCTTATATCAGAGTAGGGGTCCCCACAGTACATGCAGGCAGTTGGAGGTTCACGGGTGGTTAGAAGTGGGATGAGAAGTATGGTCCAAAAAATTATATACATATATATACATACATACAACCCTTATTCGGGGTATTAAGCACCATATTTATAGCTGCCCAATGAACCTCTAAGTATGTTCCTCCAGAATTCGAAGTTGTGTTTCCTTCAGGTATTGGGCTCCCGGGAACCCCCACACAAGGCGGAAGAGCCAAGAGACTTCGTGAGCCCAACCCTAAACCCTAAACCCTAAACCCTAAACCCTAAACCCTAAACCCTAAACCCTCAACCCTCAACCCTCAACCCTCAACCCTAAACACAAAACCCCCTAAACCCTAAAGATCAAAGAGGCCCAAAACCCCCCAAAACCCTCAACCCTAACCCGCTGAAAGCTCTAAGAGCCAAAAACGCCTAATCCCCAACTGCCCTGATCCCCTCCCAATTATCCTACACACCCTGAATACCCCGAACCCGAGCTAGAACCCTAGACCCTAAACCTAAACCCCTAAACCCTGAACCCTGAACCCTGAACCCTAAACCCTAAACCCTAAACCCTAAACCCTAAACCCTAACTGACGAGAACGCATACAGTATATCCAGACATTCCCCTGCAGAGTGTCCGAGAGGTCAGCTAAGCGGGTGGCAAAAAAAAACCCTAAACCCTAAACCCTAAACCCTAAACCCTAAACCCTAAACCCTAAACCCTAAACCCTAAACCCTAAACCCTAAACCCTAAACCCTAAACCCTAAACCCTAAACCCTAAACCCTAAGCCGCCACAAAGCAAGGCGGAAGAGTCGCTCCGAGCTTCAGCAGGCCCGGAATGGACTCGACGAGCTGTGGCGCAAGGTGCACCTGAACTACTGTACCATGGGGTTTAGGGTTTAGGGGTTAGGGTTTAGGGTTTAGGGCTTAGGGTTTAGGGTTTAGGGTTTACAGAAGGATCCTCAGATACGTTAAGGCACGTTCTTCTCACATTCTTAGTATTGGGCAGTCTGGGTAGATAGAGTCCGTTCGTGGAATGCTCCTTAATCATTTGTATTGGGCTCTCTCTGTACAAGTGGCAGAAGAACAGCTTGGAGGCCAACGTGTAGGCTATAGACAGCGTGGAGGTTCCATCACGCCTCTTTTTGTCGCGTCGCTTCTTACCCTCTATCACGCCTCGTCTTCTCGTGCCGCTGCTTCCCAAAGAGCCCCACTGCCCCCCAAAGTTAGGAAGATACCACAAAAAATGCTAGGATCCTGAAAGAGTTGAAGGTATATTCCTTAATGGTTTAGGGTGTAGGGTTTAGGGTTTAGGCCTTAATTAAGGGGCATTGGGCTCTCTGGCTAGAGAGCTGGAAGCTCAACCGCATCTTGCCGTCGCGATTGGAATCTTGGACACAGCCTGCAGCAGCAACAGTCCTAAAGCTAAACACAACCCCAAACCCTAAACCCTCAAGACCTTAACGCAACCCCCAAACGCCCTAACACACACTAAACGCCCTGAGAACAAAGAAATAAAAACAGCATAAGCCAAAAAGATTACGGCCACACTCTGAAGCCTTCAGCGAAGAGGTCCGGTTTAGGGGCTGTAGCGGTTTTAGAGGGTCTAAGTGGTCCAGGGGGTCTAGGGGGTTTTAGGGTTCAGGGCTCCCGAACCCCAAAGCTGGACCCTAACCCCGAAAATGATACCTAGAAGGAGCCAAAGCCGCCACCCCAATCCTCCCCCGCACTTCAGGCACGTGGAAAAACGAGGGGGGGATTCACAATGCATTTGGGGCACCCGTTTTTTTCCTAACCCTCATTTTAGGAGCCAGGAAGCCCCTTAAACCCCAAACCCTAGACCCTAAACCCGCAAGCCTAAAACCCCCATGGCGTTGCGGGCGCCGGGCGGCCGCGCGGAGCCAGGGGACCTTCGGAAGAGTGTAGTCAAGGCCCCTTCCCCCAAATAGTTTCGGATCTGGAGAGTTTAGGGTCGAGGGTTGAGATGTTCCCTCTTACACTAGCAGTCCTTGATAGGGATCATAGTACCCCGATTATAATCCTTATTAAGGATTGTTTGTGTTAGGGGGAACATCCCAAGTTCAGGGCTTTTTGGGGCTAAGGTTTTTTAGGGGTTTAGGGTCAAAAGCTTGGGCTGAGGGGCGTTCAGGGCTGAGGGGATGGAGTTCAGGGTGAAGGGTTGAGGCTTGAGGGTGCTTATAACCCTACTTGTAACTGCCTACGAAACGCCCCAGAGACTCCAATACACCTAAATTAAGGATATCCCTCAAACCATATAAGGAACCCTAGTGTATTTTACGTGGGGTGAGAATCACGGGAGGCGAGTGCTTGCATAAAGCATGTGTGTGTGTGTGTGTCCAGCACCGAACCGCTTCAGTTCACAATGCTGGAGTGTAGTCTATGTACAAGGGTCCATGAAAGTAAGCATACTGTGATTTTTAGCCTGGAGTATGGTATACTGCGCCAGGACGAGAGTTCGTCGCATCGGCACTTATGACAGCATGTACGTGCAAACCCCCACCCCCATAGACTCCTCCACAAGGCGTGCCTCTGGGGCGTGGAGGATTTAAAGTCCTCCGTCGGAACAAAAGAGTAATATATGTATAAAACAGCGCGGAAATTCGTCCGCTGGCCGGGCCACGTAAAATGCACTTGATCGTACTCCGAGTCCTCCGCCAACGAAAGACATGCTAGTGCGACGCAACTTTCATCCTGCTGATGTATGCCCACTACATCCTTAAACCCTAAACCCTAGACTCTATCCCTTGTCGGGGCTTTCATCGGACTTCCTTTAATGGGGGCCGTGGTCCCCGATTCTGTTTCAGGTTTAGGGTGCCCAGGTCTTCGTGAGATCTGCCTATGCCAACTGGACTTCACCGTGGCAGCGGCTTGCTTCATCAGAGTTGGCAAGCACAACTTGGCCAATACAGGGCCAGAGGAATTACAAATACGATTCCTTGATCCTCCGTGTTCTTAAAGTACATGGAAGTCAGGAGAGTGCCCTACACTATCCTAAACCCTAAACCCTAAACCCTAAGCCCTAAACCCTGGTTTTATTCCTGAGTTGAGGGTGTCGAATCCCCCTGCCTTGAGCCGTTCCTATTCACTCGCCCTTGTCTGCATCAGGGTTTAGGGTTTAGGGTTTAGGGTTTAGGGTTTAGGGTCGAACGCTTGAACCCCGCAATGCAAGATCCTTCCGAGGACACGTTCGCAGACATCTTCAACAGGATCCGGCTCCTGAACAAGGTTTGTGAGTCGATGTTTCATTGGTGCCATGCTTGCCAAGGCAACTCGTTATGCTTCGGGCATACATTCTACTTTCAGGTGTACTCCTCTGGGGACCATCAAAACATCTTTGCAGGGGTTTCTTCGAATGGTTGCGACAAGGTTTACATGAAACATAAGTGTGAGGAATGGGTGGGGAGTGGCGAGAAATTATATCTGCAGTTCTGCGTGTGTGTGTGTGTGTGTGTGTGTGTGTGTGTGTGTGTGTGTGTGTGTGTGTGTGTGTGTGTGTGTCAGACCATGTGAGACCAATCAGTTGCAAGGTCCACAGTTGCGAACCTCGAACTCTGCATAGCTGTCCGACAGCATGCGGAATGCATGTGTGGATGAGTATCCCCGAATGCAAAGCCCAACCCTCACAGCCACTTGCCGTCTCTTCGCGAAAGAGGAAGTCCCAAGACTGACCTTTTGACTCCAATCCCCAACGCGAATTCCCATATACTCCGAGTATTGTGGCCGCCGGAACCATCAAAGCCACTGGCACACACTGGCTTCAAGGTGAAGATTCCTGAGGCCCCAAGCCCAAGATCCCCAAAAGCGGCCGCGAAGCCCAGGCTTCTGCATTGACGCCTCGCGCCGGCAGGTGCTGACCAACGCCCACGTCGTCAGCCACGCCGCCGCTGGGACGTTTTGGGCGGCTCATGGGGATTTGGCCTTGGGGCATGTCAGGGGCACGCAAGCAAGGGGGACAGAGTGCCACAGGGTAGGGGTGGACCTAGCCGCTGTCTGAGGTGGTGGTGCGCGTGCGCCGCTATGGCGATGCCGTGAGCTACCCTGCCAGTGCCGAGGCATACGTCCAGTATACTTGGGGGTCATGGGTAGTTATAGGTAGGGTTTTAAGTGTGGTGACTATACTTCTAACGACGTTTAGGGCACTTGGCCACCAGTTCATGGCAACTGGCGGGTGGGCTCTTTCCTTTGCGGTCACTGCGGTCGCTTGGGTTCAGCATCTGGGGGTTTTCGGCATGCAGACGGCAGAAGTTCTGTTTCGGTAGGGGGGACTTACATGTAGGGCTTTAAGGGGATTGTAATGATTAATTGAAGGCATTGGGTCACGGAAGTACGTCGTCCCCAAAAAGAGTCCGCCTTCTTTCTTTCCAGGTCCGGGTCCGCATGACACCTACTCAAAGAGCCCAATGCCCATCCATTTAAGGCATAAACCTTCAAGAAGACGAAGGAACCCTATGCTGTAAATTATATTCCTTAATTAAGGGGGTATTGGGCTCTCTGGGTAAATCCTACTTGGCCTCAAGCTCAGAATTGCAAGAAGGGAATTCCCTGATTGGCCGTTAACATCCAAGGGTCCCTAACAAGAACCAGTACAGAGTTGAGGGGCGCAGGTGAGCTGCCCTTCTTCAATATCTCTCGTGGGCGTGATCTGGAACGAATCTTCAGACTCTATCGGCGGAGTAGACAACCCCATGTAGCATACAGAAAAGTTTAACTTGCACAGGGGGCCCCAAGAATTTTTAACTTGTACAGGGACCCCAAATGGGAAGTTCCCTAGATTCTGCTACCTTGCTTGGGGCCCCTATTGAATATGGCCCCCTCGTAGAAAGACACCCCAAAAAGGGTTCAGGGATTAAGGTTTAGGGTTGAGGGCTTAGGGTTTACAACTACCCGAAATCCAGTCCAGTCTAGGTGTGCTCTGCTCATCGCCGCAGTGTGACCTTGCAGTGCTGGAGGTCGCCGGTGTAGGGTTCAGGGTTTAGGGTTTAGGGTTTAGGGCTTAGGGTTTAGGTTTAGGGTTTAGGGAGGGATGACCCCACTTGGGTAGTTACAAGCAGGGTTATAAGTACCCAGTTGGGGCTCGTCTCGGTTCGAAGGGTTGATCTTACACGAATATGAATAGGGCTAGCTCCAGGCAAAGACGAGGCGGACTCGCGTCCCGGGATCATATAGGGGTCGGAATAATATGTAATCGTATCCCCGTGGGGTTCCTTTATAAACATGCTATATAATACCCCGCAAAACTCTATTCTAATTATTCAGGCCCATATAACCCTAGCCCTAAACCATAAATCTTAAACCCTAAACCCTCAACCCCAAACCCTAAACGCTAAACCCTAAACCCCAAACCATTCTAATTATTCAGGCCCCTATGTGAGTCTGGAAAAGTCAGCTTCCGGACCCGAGGGAAAGCCGCTCTGCCCGAGGTCAAGGACTCTGGCTTCTGGGAGGCCCCGTTGTCTTCAGAGGGTTTAGGGTCTAGGGTCTAGGTTTAGGGTTTAGGGTTTGGGGTTTGGGACTTCTTGGAATCACATGCAGGTGCCACCGCAAGCAGGGCGGCGGAATCTGAGTAAGCGAATGAAACCAATGAGTACACAAAGACGTCATGCCATATTTGTAAGGTCTTGTTCCTAGTTGATTGGTTTCCAGGTCTTTTCGATGTAGTTCAATGGACGACCTTCATGATCATGTGTCAGCGAAAGGCGTGAACCACAAGGCAAACAGTAGCTTCCTGAGCGGTTCTTGAGCTGGAATTTCTCTTTCAGTAACACCTTTCTTCGACCACGGATGGTTTGTGCATGAACGTATTAATAATCCTAGATGCGAATCGATCAGCCACAAATCCATATCATCAGATGTGCACCGTGGGGAGCAGTTCATTTTCGCATAGTTCAGGGACATCTTTTCTCTCTTCGCAAAAGGCCCGGCGCATGTAGTGAATAAAGCAGGGGCCTACGGTTTCGGGTTTAGGGTTGAGGGTCGAGGGTTGGCGAATTTGCAAGCACCAGCAGTTGGGCGACATTAACCATGCATGTGTACCCTTCAGGCGGTAAAAAGCAATTACTAGAAATCTATTACCATTACAGTGATGTGAAAGAATATGGGGAGGTTTTTCAATATTAGGGGTTATGGGGGTTTAATAATCGGGAAAGGAGTAGACATGGCGGCCCTTATGTGCTGCGGTTTCCCAAATGAGTCGGGGTACCGTTTTTGGGTTCCCACAAGAATAGGGGCACCGGGGGTGCCGTTTTGGGGTTCCCATCATGAGGATGTTCATGGCTTATGCAAGGGGTCAGCACAGTTTAGGGTTTGCCTGCGGAAGCTGGGGAGGTCTGAGGTCCTTCCTCAGCACCTACACATTATCCTCCGAGACCCGCTGAACCCCCCTGAACCTCCGAAACCACCTAAAGGTCTGAAACTTCTTAGAATCGCCTAAAGAACCCTAAGCCCCTAAACCCCCCCCTGATCCCCCCTTAAGCCCCCTAAACCCTAGCCCCTGAATCCTAAAAACCAAAACCCAAAACTCTAGACCCTAAACCCTAAACATCCCTACACCCCTAAACCCTAAACCCTAAACCCTAAACCCTAAACCCTAAACCCTAAGCTCTAAACACCTGCAGGGCCTCGGCGCCATCGAGCTTTCGGAGGAGATCCCCCCGCTCGATGCCGACATCCTCACCGTGGGCCTGGGGGCTCGGGGAGAAGTGCGGCCTGGGGATGTTGAGGGCGCTTAGTTTAGAGTTTGGGGTTTGGGGTTTAGGGTTTAGGGTTTGGGGTTAAGGGTTTTGGCGCAGAAAAATGCCCTAGATGGGCTATGCAAGTTAGTCCAGTATCCAACTTATAGCTATCCATGAACCTTCAAGTAGGCAACAAGGGTTTAGGTTTGTGTTCAGGTTTAGATTCTTGAGTTTAGGGTTGCTTGTTCAGGGTTGTCAGGTAATTAAGACCTGCACCCCTAAGGTTGCACCCCTGCAGGGTCCCATAATATATTCCTAATATGGCCCTTATACCACCTGAATGCAAGGTTAGGGGTCCAGGGTACTTGGAGGTTCATGGGACTTACTAGCCACTTCTAACTGGGCTTATAACCCTACTTACAATTGGGATAACCCCTATAAGGCCCTTTAGAGGTATATTATAAGTGGGGTTGTAAGTACAGTCAGAATTGGTTAGTAAGTACCATGAACCTCCAAGTAGAGTCCCGTGAGGGTTTGGGACTTGAGGCGTTGGGTTTGGAGTCTCGGGCTTGGTGGCAGGGGTGGCGCGCATAAGGCCCGGATAGAAACAAGGGGTGGGTTTAGGGTTTAGGGTTTAGGGTTTAGGGTTTAGGGTTTAGGGTTTAGGGTTTAGGGTTTAGGGTTTAGGGTTTAGGGTTTAGGGTTGAGGGGTGGCAGGGGGTTGGGGGTTGGGCGAGGGGGGTACAGGGGTTCTTGAGGCTTTCTTTTTTTCGCGGCTTCTTGGCGTCCGAGGTTTCCTTTCCGGAGCCTTTTTGGTCTCTGCAGCATGCGGCACTGGGAGGTTCATGGTACTTACTAACCAATGAGAACTGTACTTATAACCCTACTTATAATACACCTAAAGGGCCTTATAGGGGTTATCCCAATTATAAGTAGGGTTACAAGCCCAGTTATAAGTGGTTAGTAAGTACCATGAACCGCCAAGCAAGGAGTCTCCGAGGTTTTGGATTTAGGGCCCATCCTGTTCTGTCATTTCCACCCATGTAGTTATGTAGTTCAGGGCACAAATTCCTTTAGGGTTATCGGGTCCTCAACACGAAGCGCCCACAAGACTAAAAGCCACTCTCGGCCTCAGGATACCCGATGGGTGGCGAGAACATCTGCGTGACGCGGGGCGTGGTGTCGCGGATAGACCTGATGGACTACACCTTCTCGCCCATAGGCTGGAGTTTAGGGTTGTAAAAGGGTTCAGGGATCAGGACTTCGGGCTTTGAAGCACGCGGTTCAGCTTAGCGGACTAGATCTGAAGGGTCTGGAGAGGCCTCGCCTTCGTGTCAGTCGGAGTATCTCAAAAGGGGTGAGAAGGGGTAGATGTTGCGCAGTTCGTGCGTTGGTGAGTTCCAAGATTAAGTATATCTTTGCTCTGGATGTGTCGTAAACCTTGCCTCTCCTGTGAAACCCTTGTTAAGGATCCACCATCAAAGGCTTCGGGTTTCGAGTGCACTGCGGGCCCTCGGCTGTACAACTGCTCAGTCTCGTAGGGCTCCTTCTCGTTTTGGGGTCGGAGGGGCCTTAAACCAACTCAAAGTTCGCCTGGGAGGGAAGCACCCTGAATCCCAAGTTCTTAGCTGCTGGAACATTAAGGGCAAGGGCTTAGAGTTTAGGGCCTTCCGGGTTTTGCGCACAGGAATTTGAGTTTTCAACTCATGAGGGGAGGTCCACATGCCTGCCACAGCGACACGTGAAACATCATTCTTTAGGACATTGTCGTCGTATCTCTACTTGGAGGTTCATGGGTAGTTTTAAGTAAGCTTGTACGTATGGTAGCTATATTTATAGCCCTATTTAGGGTACTTACATAACCCTACTCATCATTCACTACCCGTGAACCTCCAAGTAAATTCTGATACCTTTCGGGGGGCCTAGATTCCGGGAGCCCACGAAATGCACCTGGTGGAACCAAAGCCCCGCCCCCCACCTCGCCTCCTTCTCCACATGTGTGTCCCGAAGGCGGCGAGCGCCAGCTGGTAATTCAGGCGGCTGGCGCTTGTGGGTTCCGATGGGCTCGTCAGACTCGGACTTGCGTTGCGAGCTCCGCACGCCAAGTACTTGGAGGTTGGGTAGGTATCAGTAGGGTTACACGTACTTGTGATGACAATCTGCACAGTTGGTTGGCTTTTGCTTACTTCGTGCGGTCCCGCCTTGCTCATTCTGTTTTGCCCGCCGCTATCCTATTATAGCTATATCATACCTCAGATCCATCTTAGACCCTACTCTCTCTCTCTCTCTCGATCTATCTCTCCCTCTCCTGCCTCCCTCTCCCTCTCTCTCAAGCCCTAACCCAAAACCCTAAACCCTAAACCCTACACCCTAAACCCTAAACCCTAAACCCTCCTCTCTCTCTCTCCGCCCCTGGCGCGCTCTCAGCCTCTCCTCTTCGTCTTATTCTTGGCGCCGAGCCCGGCTGTGAAGGTCGACGCGGCCATCAACCCGGGGAACTCTGGAGGCATGTAGGGTTTAGGGTTTAGGGTTTGTGGTTTAGGGTTTAGGGTTTGGGGCTTAGGGTTTAGGGAGTTTAAGGAGTTTAGGGTTTAGGGTTTCAGAGCCTCCTGCGGCTTGGGGTGGCAAAAATCACCCCCTCCCCTCCCTCCCAGACTCCAAACTCCCAGGCCCAGGACACCTTTGGTTAAGGATAGCTTCTATGTACAGGCTCGACTATCGGAAGGACCACACAAAGGACCCGAGAAAAGAAGTGGCTAAATGACGAAGTGATCCGGCACATCCTTATCATGCCACGAGCGGCGAAGCGACATGACCGGAAGCTGGGTTTAGGGTTCAGGGTTTAGGGTTTAGGGTTTAGGGTTTACGGTTTAGGGACGTAAGCACGTTAGCCTTGTGAACTCAGGCAACCCCGACCCGTCATCCTGAACCAGCCGCCAATCGCCAGCAACAACTGCACTTCCGCAGCCATCAGAAGCTGACAAGCGCTCATGGGTCTTTTTTAGGGTTTAGGGTTTAGGGTTTAGGGTTTCGAGTGGCACCAACTCCGGGCGAGGTGGAAAGCCTGTTGCAAAAGGGTTTAGGGTTTAGGGTCCCTCGATCCTCAGCCATGCATGAGCTCGCGCATGTCCCAGGCACGCAGCAGTTTGAAGCAGTTTGCTATGTTCAACCACTTCGTTGTTTTTTTTTGCCGTGCTTCGTGCGTTTTGCAAGTGAGTTGAAAGAACACGGCATGCCATGCTTAAAGATGTAAACCGAGGGACTACTCAGACAAGCTGACGAAAGAAGACGCTGGAGGCCACTATCGGAATCGCGGGTTCAATGAAGAGTTCAAGAAGACGAGTTCTTTGCATGCTTCAGACTCCACAGCCTCCAGTTCTAAAGCTCAAGGTCGCTGCCTAGACACAACCTAGGAGCCCTTAAACCTAAAGTCCCAAAACTCCACACGTGGAAGCTTTTTTGACTGAGAAAGTAGGGTTAGAAGGTTGGGTTATGGGGCTTATTGTAGGTCTCTAGGGTATACTAAGTAGACTTACTAAATCAAAAGGGCTCCCAAGCAACAATTCTAAAGCTCCCGAAGCCCTCAGCCCCCTGCAGTCGAGAAGGCAAAACAAAACCCCCACGGCAAGCCTTGAAACCCTAAGGGTCCTAAACCTTTGCTACCGATGTTCATGTCTCAGCTGCCCCTCCCGCGTTTCTAGTTCACCTTCAAACTCCGCAACCTGAACTCCGAACCCAAAGCTTGGGAAAGTCCTTACAAGGCGGGCAGGCCCCCCAAAAACCCCAGTCGGACAGACGTCCGAGTAGCTCGGGAGCGGGCAGGGCCACTACACTGAAGGGTGCCGAGTTGCTCGACTCCGTGCTGGATGCGGTCCGGAAAAGACAGGAGGCCTTGGCATAAACAATATATAGCGGTCGGAATCAGTACTACTAGTCTGCCTCTATGAATGCACCAGAAGAACCACCCCAAACCCTATTCCAATTATTAAGGCCCCTATATTAGGGGTCGGCATAACTACTAACAGTCTCTTTTTGGAGTCCCTAGAAAGATTCTACTATAATAATCCCCCCCCCCCCCCCCGAAGCCCTGTTCCAAGTTTATTAGGGCCCCTAATGGCCCCTATATGGGGGTTTCCGAAAAATGGGGGTACCCTTTTCGGGGGTCCCTTTAAGGGGATTCTATTCTATTTCGGGTATAAAAGGGGTTCCCCCGATTTTGGGAAATACCCATATGAGTGATTCACAGCATCTGGGGATTTACCAGAATTCACGGGTTCAAAAGAACAAGGTGTGAGCTTCTGGATGTTTCGAAGCCCTACCGTGGCCCTACCATCTGCGAACAACCCTTCTGGAACTGAATGCCTGAGGACTCAGAACCAAAGTGCCCAAGTGACCCCGTAATGTTGTCTGGTGATTAGGGTCCACACCCCCCCCCCCCCCAACAGATGGATCCCTGTCTTTCAGAAGAATCTCTCAGGCTCAGTTCAGAAGCGATTTCTAGATAACAACTCTATTCAACAGCCTCGCCGAGGTTTTGCATCGCCCGACTTTTTCCCGCTGACTAATTTTTCGGTTTTTTCTCACAATTCCGGGGGACTGCACTAGTCATGATACAACACTACTTAATGTAGCTACTTAAGAATCATAGCAAGAATGCCTATACAGTTTAAGGCCCCATACTTGAGGCAGGTTCCTTCGATCAGAAGTGAAGATCCCTAGCTAACTCTAGGTATCTTCCGCACCACTTGTTCGCAAATGGTCACATGCTCGGTTTCCGAAGCCGCCCGGAATCAGGGGTGTGGGTTTAGGGTTTAGGGTTTAGGGTTTAGGGTTTAGGGCTTAGGGTTCGCGCCCTTAGTTTTTGACATCCACTTAGAGGTTGCTTTCAAGATGCTTGGCGCATCTCCAAGAACTCTGTCAAAAAATTGCGAGGGCCGAGCCGATGCAACGCCTCCCAGGTCTCAGGCCACTTGTGTCATTTTGGCTCAAGAGTGTGGTCACCCCTTCACACAGACTCTTGATTCTACATATATACATATATATATATATGTATGCATATATCGAACCGCGAACCCCAAGCTTTCCAGAACACGCCATGGCTCGACTCTCCTGCGCCCTCCTCTGGTCGTGGGTGGTCGCCGCGGGCGCCACCCCGGTCATCGACATCAACCTGAATGCCGTGCCTGAGGCGCGCTGGGGAAACGTCAGCAAGCACTTCACCAAGGAGCTTCGGCCGATGAAGTTGCCTAAGGCCTAAGCCGTAAAACCCTACAGCCTAAGAAATCGAGACGTGTACAAAAGATGCAGATGCACCCTAAACCCTCACTCCTAAGCCCACACCAAGGAGTTTCGGCCCATGCTCGACCGCTGGGAGGCCATTGTGCTCAAGACGTTTTCAGAAGAGGAGCGGCAGGATTGGATCAACACGCTTAGGCTGAAGCTTTCCTCCGAGTTCCCTGAGTACTACCGCGAGCTGCAGGGAATCGTCGGGTGGCATATGAAGCCGGAAGACTGGCCCCAGCCGCTCCTGGACAACCTCATCCTCTTCAACGCGATCTACGAGCTGGGGTCTCCGGTCTTCTGCTCAGGGCTCCTGATGGCTGACCCAAATGGCCGGGTCTTCTGAGTTGTCCAGTACCTAGGGGTTTTAAAGGTTAACCTTTGGGATGATAAGGGGAATATATGAACCCAAAAAGGTTATAAAGGTTACCTACTCGACTACTAGGTCTTCCACGGCCGCAACATGGACTATCGCTTCCCATTCACGATGCCCGACGGCCGCCTCCTCGACTTGCCAGACGTCACCTACACGGCGCGATTCTGGAAGGATGGGAAGCTTAGGTAGCAGAGTAGGTAACCTTTTAACCTTTGTTAAATATATTCCCCTTGTAGTCCCAAAGGTTAACCTTTTAAAACCCCTAGGTATCCCTAGGTACTGGACAGCTCAGGAAGTTGCTGATTTCAGCCCCACAGTTCCTGCTGGTCACCGGCATCCATACGGGCATGCGTATGGGTGGCTGGACAGTGGAGCAGAACACACGCCACACCAGTGCCAATGTGCATGCGAACCTGAAGGCCCTGAAGGACGGGGAAGGAGACATCTTCATGTGGAGGTTGAGGAAGATCATGGAGAACACGCCGACCTTCTCGGGTGCTTTGACGACCTTGACCAACACCGAGTTCATCGCGCCCCAGTATCTCATCTTGTCTGGCGCAGGTCCGTACGAAGGGGCCGTCATCACCGTGGATCGTGGCGATGAGCAACTGCCGAGCACTCCGGCAGTCCAGATGTTGAGCGAGAAGAATGGTACGTGGTATCTTTTGCAGACCAACGACGACTTGAACAAGAAGGCGGATGACCCGCGCCGGCCCTTCACCAACTTGTTGCTGTCCACTGAGAGCCAGACGCAGGTGAACTCGTCCTTCGTGTGGCAGAACATTCGGAGCCCGACCCTTGCGAACAGCCTGACCGTGTTCACCTGGGTGGCAGACCCGTCGACGGGATACAGCAAGCTGATCACTCGGAACGAAGAGGTCGCCGCACCAGCACAGCTGCAGATTGCCGCCCACTCGCCGTCGCCAACGCGAGGGCGAGTGGGACACACCAAGTGGGCCAGACAGGCGCTGCTGGCACATGAGAGCGGCTAACCGTCGAACCCTCGGGAACCAAAAAGCAAAGAGCCAAAGGTCTGTGCACCCTAAAGCAGGGTTAGACGTACCCTCAATAGGGCTATACCCCTGGGCGGAAAAGGTCAGGCCTAACGGTTATGGTGGTTTCGCCACCTGAGACGGCGTGTCGCAGGATGAAGGTGTTAGCTGGCCCTCCACAAGCGGGCCATGGCTGCTGTTCGCATTTCACGTCGCTTTCGGGGTGGGTCTGGCACCCAACATTCAAGCCTCTGCGCCATATTGCAGCAAACCCTATAAGCCCAAACCCAAATCCCGACACCCTAAAGCTTAAACCCTACACCCTACACCTTAAACCCTAAACCCTATTCGGGCAGAAGGTGCGCTCATGAATACTTGGAGCCCAAATCCGATGGTAGCCCAAAATCTCAAGCCCCAAGCCCTGAACGCTTTGTGGTTCTTTCACAACAAAGCATGCCCAAACCATGAAAGCCTCCGCGAACCCTGAATTCTAAACACACAAGCCTGGAACCCCAAACCCCGAACCCAAAAATCCACAAAAAACCACAAACAACTCGCCAAAACCCTAAACCCTAAACCCTAAACCCTAAACCCTCAACCCTCAACCCTCAACCCTCAACCCTCAACCCTCAACCCTCAACCCTAAACCCTAAACCCTAAACCCTAAACCCGAAACCCGAAACCCTAAACCCTAAACCCTAGACCCCCTCCAGCTTTGCGGAGGTGGCGCTGGTGCCGGCATGCTGCTCATCTCCAAGGTCCGCGAGGACCCTTGTGCATGATGGCGGGAGAATACCCTTGAAATAAGGAAGGGTTTAGGGTTTAGGGTTTAGGGTTTAGAGTTAAGGGTTTAGGGTTTAGGGTTAAGGGTTTAGGGTTTAGGGTCTGCGGGAGGGTTTGCGAGTTTCTCGCAGTTGCTTCTGGGTTCAATTAAGTAGGGGACAACCTGCACACCCTAAACCCTAAACCCTAAACCCTGAACCCTAAACCCTAAACCCTAAACCCCAAACCTGCAAAAACAGGGTGCTCAGGACCTCCTAGAAAACGTGCACCGCCCTAAACCGTAAGGTCATGGCATCTAGTCTTCTGGTGCTGCGATGTAGATGCGGCAAAAAGGGCTTAGGGTTTAGGGTTTAGGGTTTAGGGGCTGGATGCGCTTCTGGTCGCCCTGGCTGGCCCTTCGTTCGCTTCATCTGTGAGGCGGTGGGGAAGCGGGATGGAGTCTGGTTGTCCAGCTTGCCGTCTACCCGACCTTTGTACCCGAAACCCGAAACCCGAAACTCGAAACCCGAAACCCGAAACCCGAAACCCTAAACCCTAAACCCTAAGCCCTAAGCCCTAAGCCCTAGACCCTAGGCCCTAAACCCTAAACCCTAAACCCTAAACCCTAAACCCTAAACCCTAAACCCTAAACCCTAAACCCTAAACCCTAAACCCTAAACCCCTCACCCTAGACCCTATACCCTAATCCCTATTTAGCTGGACATGACCTTCAGATCCCAGCTGTGCGCCCTTGCAGCGTCCTCGAATCTCCACCTGTCAGAGTGGTGCCGCCCTAAACCCTAAACCCTAAACCCTAAACCCTAAATCCTAACCCCTGAACCCTTAGCCCTAAACCCTAAACCCTAAACCCTAAACCCTAAACCCTAACCCCTAAACCCTAAACCGGGATGCCACAACTGGCTCCGTACTTGGAGGTTCGTGTGGGTAGTTCTAAGTTAGGGGTTATACGTACCCTAGGGAGGGTTAGAAGGTTTTGACCCAAATGATCCCTAAACCCTAAAATCGAAACCCTTCCCTGCTACGACCTAGCTGAAATTGCAAGGTGCCTTTCCGTCACTTCAGCATGAACTCGGCTGTGTCCGTATCCAAAATAGCCATGCGGAAAGGCGGTGGTCCGGGTAAAGGTCCGATGCCGTTGGGTAAAGCGTGCTTTTTACGCAGATGTGCAAGCCGTGCGCGACAGCATTGGGATGAAAAATGAGCAGGCTATGATTCGGATTGCTGTGAAATCTTCCTTGCGTCTTGAGGCGCACCTAGGTACAGACCGGGACCGTGTCCCCGTTCCTCCTTTCATCTTTGATGTTGAGGATGTATAGGCTTTCGGCCCACGCGTGAAGCCCGGCGCGGGTCCTTTTCTAAGGCCCGCGGACGTTTGCAACTCGGAATAAAAAATTGGGATGATAAGCTGATGGCCTTGTGCCGTTGGATGGGCCAAGCTGACGGCATGCAAATGGAAGATTGTCAAGCTCTGATGCCTCAGTTCCGTCGCTTTCGCCAGATGTGAGTGTAGAAGCCGACAGTTCGCGTGGCAATTGCGTGTTTGCGACCCTGTGCCCCTCCTTCTGGCTAGTTATCAGTAGGGCTATAAAATATGGCAACTATACTTACAACCCTTCTTATAACTACCCAGATGAACCTCCAAGTGAAGGTTTGCCTTCGGGGAACAGAGAAGGGTTTGAGGGTGCCGTTTGAGAGTGAGAGCCGATGCCTTAAACCTCGAAGGCCCCCAAATCCCAAAGTGGAGCCCATGAGAAGCTTTCGACCAGAGGAATGCCCGGACAGCATCATGGAGACCTTCGCGGTGACCCAGGGACTCCAATGCCCCTGAATTAAGGAGTACTCCATTGAAACGTAAGAGGGTTCCGTCTATGGTTTTAAGGAAGTTTGAGGAATATTCCTTAATTAAGGGGTATGGGAGTCTCTGGGATCCTTCCCAAAGTCGTGGAGAGACTGCTGTTCTGAGATTCCACCAGCTGGTGGACACTTATCCGCCTTGCTCGAGGTTCGTGGGTTTTTGTGGTTTAGGAAGTTGTCGGATTTCAGGGAGAGGGGTCATGTTCACAAGCCTCCGTTGTTCCGACTCCTGAGCCGAGGACGCCCGCGCAAGGAGACTTGAACCATCTGGTCTCTGCGGCGATGAGCGGCGTGACTTTCCTGCTTGCGCTTCCCGGGCCGGCCCAGTTGTGACCTGCGCAAGATCGCCGTGAACCTGCTGCCCTTCCCGCGCCCGCGCTTCTTCATGACGGGCTTCGCGCCGCTCACCTCACGCGGCTCGCGCTTGCGCGACAAATCTTCGATGTCAAGAAGATGATGTGCGCCGCCGACCCTCGTCATGGCCGCAACCTGACCGCCGCGGGGCTCCTCCGCGGGCGCATGTCCACCAAGGAAGTCGATCAGCAAATGCTGAACGTGCAGTGCCTGGGTCGCGATTCAAGATCTCTGTGCCGTAGTTTTCGTGTTCATTAGTAGGGATGCGGAGCAAAATCTGAGAGGTGGTTTACATGAGCGCCTGCTGAAACTATGTTTGTTTACGCCAGTACCACGGTGGACACGAGTTGTTCCGAACATCAGTAAACCATGGAAAGTGATAGGGGCCCGACCCTAAAACATTAGTTTGCACATTCAGACACATGCATCTTGCAGTCCCATAGTATGCAAAGCGATATGGGCCCCACGTAAAGCGATAACATGGTATTCCGCGACCTCGAGCTCTGTAAAGTAATTTTGCCGTCGCTCACATGTTGTATCGCAGCTGCGTGCACAGTTCGCTCTAGCAAGCAAGTGCGCGAGTGCCGCAACTCCATCGCTTTAGGTTGTAAAACGTGCTCGGTACATGCAGGAAGATTCAAGGTCCGCGTTCATTGAACGCGAAAACTCTCTGCACTGAAGACAAAAATCACGGAACAACTGATGACATCTTAGACACTGGCCAGTGGAGCTCGGCATGTTTTGTTCTTCGTAGCGTACTCTCAGTAGCCATGTGTTCGTATAGACAGAAGTATATATGGTCAGTTCTTAAAATTATGGTCCCTTCTGGGGTACCCTGAAGATTTGGGGCCGCCATAAAAAGTCGCCCCAAAAGGGACCCTAATTTAGCGAAATGACCCTGTCCTTTCGCAGTCCCTCAATGAGGCCATTGGAGGACGTGTGGGGCCACTGTGTGGCTTGAAGATGGCTGTGGCCTTCGCTGGGAACTCCACCGCCAATCAGGAGATGTCTTTCGGTGCTCTAAAGAGTCCGGGAGATTTGCACTAGCAGGCCAAGAGAAGTGATGAGCCCCAAACCTCAGCCCGAAACCCTAAGCCAGGCTGTACTTATTCTCGATTGCTTTTCCTGTGTCTGGTTGAGCCCGTTTGCATATTGAGAGAGGTTTGCGGGTATGCGAGTGTCATGACGATGCTAACTGTTGGTGCCGTGTAGCTGAGCAGATTGATGTGTGTAGTCGTCAGCTCATTCTTGGAGTTGCCGGATCGTGTGCATCGCGCTGTCCCAGTGTAAAGCGATCAAATCCTACACCCTGTAACCGCTTAGAAGTCTGGTTCAGTATGGCAACTCCATGTAGGGCATGAGCCCTCAGGGCCCCCTAGACCCTGTAAACCCTACGTTCAGGGTTTAGGGTTAGCGCGTGTCTGGCAGTCAGCAAGTTCAGCTTCAAAGACTACCAAGAAGGGTTTAGCTGCCCAAATGAAACTACAAGTACAAGAGCAACCCAGGTTCAAGTGTGTTGCGAAGTACTTTCCGGCCACGTTCCAGCGCAAGGCCTTCTTGCACTGGAACGCTGGCGAAGGCACAAGGGTTTAGGGGAGGGAGGGAGGGAGGGAGAGAGAGAGAGAAAGAGAGAGACGTTACGCGCCCCTCGGGGCGGCCTTCCTTTCGGGGGGGGCCATGCGTGCAGGAGAGAGAGAGAGAGAGAGAGACGTTAGCCCGCTCCACATCTGGGTCGTCCCTCTGTGTTTCGCACGCGTGGCTTTCAGGCATGGACGAGATGGAGTTTACCGAGGCTGAGTCGCAAATGAACGACGCGGTGTCTGAGCATCAGCAGCAGCAGGATGCAACCGCAGACGAGGAGGGCGATTCCGATGAGAAGGACGGCGAGTAGGATAGCTGATCGACCCGTTGTCTTGATGCTTGGCCGCCTGACTCCATAAGGTGTGCTTGTACTTGCCACTGAGTGGCCGGATTGCTAAGCTTGGCGCAACCTCTCAAAGGGTGCAGCTCTGGTTAAGCTCACCGTGCAACTCGCCCTGTCTCAGGATCGCAGGTCTCCCAGAACATCTCGAAGATGTGCATACTCCCTTCGGAGCTTTGGGCACATCGTCGGCTTGCCGCGCGATGGGCATCGGAGCAGACATGCAAAACAAAACAGCCATTGCGCACGCGGACCTGCAGTAAACCCTAACGCCTAAATGCTACGTGTCATGGGATGTCATGGGCCCTGGTTGGCATTCGGGGGGTAAGCCGCCAACTCTTTTATCGGCCGCGAATGGAGTCGGGTTGAGACAGTTGAGAAGCCTGTTCGCCCCCTGGAATCTGAGTGCGCTTTTCCGGCTGTCACTGTCGTTGTCGTTGCCGTTTTGATGGCGGTGCTTGGCGGTGCAGGTCCTGTGCTCGACACGCACGGCCGGGCAGTGTCTGGGCTTTTTTGGTTTCAGGGTTTAGGTTAAGTAGAGTCACCATACTTGAGCCCCACTTAGAACTACCCATGAGCCTCCAAGTACGCGTACTACTGCGCCGATGATTCCTCTGCGCTTTGCTGCTGCCGTTCGTGTGCCTCGCCTGTCTGCCATGCAGAGTATACAGTTTAGGGTTTAGGCTTAGGGTTTAGGGTTAGTGCAGAGCCTGGGTTCAAGAAAAGGGTTTAGGGTTTAGGGTTTAGGGTTTAGGGTTTAGGGTTTAGGGTATGGACATACCGCAAGCCGTAACGCCAAAACCTCTATAACATCTTCAGCTCTAACGTGAACCTTGAAGCCCCTGAGACTCGGGTAAGCCCTCAAAACACGAAGCCCGGAACCTGATATTCGAAACTCAACCCCCCCTCCTCCCCCAAATGATAACCAAAGTTCGTAATTAGGGTTTTTTAACGTCAAAATTTAGGGTTTTTTTCACGAAAGCCCTAAACCCTAAGTGGGTTTTTTAACGTGAAAAAGCCACCGCGAGAAAGGTGGGGGTGGCCTTTGCCGGGCTCCGGGCCAGCGCCAACATCGGCGGCCCGGAAGCATGGGGTTTTGGGCCGGGGTGCAGAGGCATCTTTTTCCACCTGACGGATCTCACAAGCCCCCCGCCCTGAGCCCGAACTCAACGGTATGTATGCCGCAGCCTTTTTGGGTCAGCACGATTTTTGTTGACAAGACTTGGAACCGGCCGCAAGAGGGCAGTCAATAGCATCTGCCTACGCCATGGCCATGAAGATGATTTGTTCGGTGCTGCTGTCGCTGGCAAGCTTCTTACTTTTAATTACAGGAAGTTGGGGAGTTAGGGGCCTATGTATACCCATTAAGGGATGATGTAGGGTACCTCATGCCCCCATTCCTAATAACCAACAGCAAGGCCTGGCCGCCTCCCAGACTTGCTGGGCAGGCATTCCCTCCAGCATCACCGCCACGCCAGGAATGACGGTGAAGACGATGAACACTGTCGCCGCCTGCACAACAACCACCATGACAACCACCACAACAACTACAACTACCACAACCACCACAACCACCACAACCACAACGACCACCACCACCACGACCACCACCACGACCACAACGACCACCACCACCACCACGACAACGACCACCACCACCACGACCACCACAACCACCACGACAACGACAACCACCACCACGACCACCACCACGACCACAACAACCACCACGACCACCACCACCACCACAACTTCAGCCCCGAACTGCGGAGCTGTAACGTACATGGGCGGTGAGTTTTCGGGCGCCACAGCCGCCTCAGGGTGCACCGACCTTGCTTACGGATCAAACTGCTCTGTGACCATCGCGGCCCAGACCGGCAGTTTGGCCAAGTGTCTGGCAGCAGGCACCTACACCTTTGCGTGCCCAGAGGCGGCTGGCGGGCAGACCTTCCTCATGGCGACGGAGGCCTACCTCCAGTGCAAGGTCTGCGCGGCGAGCTTCGTTGACACCAACGACGGCACCGGGGTCTACTCGGGCATGCTGTACTTCGGGCCGAACATGCTGAATGGTGTTGTGGACGAGGCCCTTCGTGACTTCGTGACTTCGTGACTTCGTGACTTCGTGACTTCGTGACTTCGTGACTTCGTGACTTCGTGACTTCGTGTAGTACGAGTCAGAGTTGAGTTGAGCCGTTGCTTCGCGCCCCTTATCAAGGCCCAATCTTGGCCGCCTCATCAACTTTAACTCGCAACTTCTCCCTAACTGCCCCTAGCTCCCGGTGTGGCTGACAAGAGGCCGACATCGCCGGCTACACCGCCTTCGCTGTGGACGATTGTGGCGCCCCTGTCCTGGATGCGATGGGGGGTTTGAACACGCTAGGAACGGCACTCAAGGTGACCTCATCGGAGACGTGCTGTGACAGCATGAAGTATTCCCTCGCCATCACCCTGACGAACCCTACCTACAGCAAGATTGCGGTGGTGCCCACCGACGGGCAAAACTTCTTGAAGGACGGCGTGGTCGTTGATCTGGTGGACCTCACGACTACCACTACCACCACAACGACCATGGGCGGTGGAATCAGCGGCACCACCACCATGCACTTGGCCCCAACCATGGCTCTTGGGTCTCTTGGGCTGCTTGCCATCTCCAACTGAAGAGGGCTGTGAGGCAGGAGTTCTCCGGCAAGTCTCTCGTTGGAGGAGAGCAGAACGGATGAAGATGTGCATGAGAATTCAGAAGCCTGTCAGAATCGACAGCAAGCCATTGCTCTGGAACCACTAAGTCACTAAGTCTGTTGTGAGATATGCAAGAGCCATGTATTGTTTGAGTGCAGCAGTCTCCTTTTGAGGTGTGTGTGTGTGTGTACTTTTGCATGGCTTGGCGACACGTTTCACAGAGCCTTTCAACGACACAACGACACAACGACCAAAGCGACCGTGCTGGCCCTGCGCGAGTGAAAGCGTCTTCGGGTGTCCTGCTTGCACCTCGCGTGAGTCTGCGCACCCAATGAGCCAATGCCCCTCAATTGAGGAATACGCCTTAAATCATGCTAAGTACTAAAGATCCCTGTATAGTTTAAGGGATAATTCTTGTATTAAGAGGTATGGGGCTCTTTTGGGCAGAGCTTGTTTAGAATAGCAAATCAAAGTATGTGCCAATTCAGGGTTGGGTTCTCTGCAAGCGGAGCACAGCCTTCCAGTAGGCAGGGGCCCTTGTGGGGTGTTGGGCTCTCTGGGTTTTTTGTGACATGTCGTGCTGCAAGGCTATGTGATCCCTGGCACGGTGGTGCACTTCTTCCTGCGCAGCCTCCGCGGGACGCCTGTGGGCCTGGCAAAGGCTGGGCTGGTGCAGGGCTTCTTTTGAGCAGCTTATGGGCAGGGTTTAGGGTTTAGGGTTTAGGGTTTAGGGTTTAGGGTTTAGGGTTTAGGGTTTAGGGTTTAGGGTTTAGGGTTTAGGGTTTAGGGTTTAGGGTTTAGGGTTTAGGGTTTAGGGTTTAGGGTTGTGCACTGAAGCTGCCGTTCGATCAGTGGCCACTGTCATGGCAAGAATGCGTGCAGCCTGACGTCTGCCCAGCCAGAGGTACGCAGATCTTTCTGCGGTTTGGCTTTTATGTGGCCTAAGCCTTTGCTCCCTCCAATTCTGCCTCGACCACCTGTGTCGTAGCTCTTGCCTCAATCTGACGCCATGGCAATGTGCACTTTCGTCTTTGCATTGGTCTTCTTTCAGCTGGTGCGGGCTGACATGTACCTTAACAGCCCACGTGGCTCCAACAACAAGTTGCGTGAGCAGAGTAACAATGTGCAGAATGCCAACCGCTTGTTTGACTCCCAAAACAATGCGGCGTCTGGCTACCAAATTGGCGACGATTGCAAGCCAGCGTGCAAGGACGAGAACAACAACTACGACCCAACCAAGGAGGGTGCTACCAAAGGGACCATGAAGTTCTACCAGGGCTCAGAACTCTACATCGACTGGTACATGCAGCATGGCTGTGGCGTGGGTCATCCGAACCTGCGTTGCCAGATCATCCTTCAGTACATGAGTGAAGTCGACAATCCCACACTCCGGGATGGGACAGATCAGGACTCTGCCGGCGGCGATGACGAGGACCCTACCGAGGAGGAGACGGCCGAGGTAGCGAGGGGCTATCACGAGCCCTTGGACTTCTACCAGGCCTGCTACGAGCGAGAGCGCAACAAGGGGCTCTTTACCGCTGACCAGCAGATCGAGGAGAACGGCGGGGCCACGTCCACGAGGCAGAACCCCAATGGCAATGGCCGCCGGCGCGGCAACCAACGCCACGGTTTGGAGTGCCCTGAGGTCTGGGACGCTGGTACATTTCCAAGCATGACAAATTAGAAAGACCTCCGAAGGGTAAGTCTAAGCAACAGACTCTTTCCTTAGTGCTGTGCAGGAGCGGGACTACTACCCATACTGGCATCCGTCCCCTTGGCACGACATTGCCATCTTTACGGACGAGCCTCAGGAACGCTGCGACTACTACCGGGCGGAGTCGCAGAACGTGAAGGAGAAGGGACGAACACCCTTAATTCTACGAATCACCACGCAGTAGGATTGTGAGGGACCCTGCAGCCTGTCCCTACTACACAGCCTCCATGTGCTTGGGCCCTAAACCCGCTAAACCCTAAACCCCTTGAGGAGAAGGGCCGCTGCTCCGTCAACCTCTACAACAGCCCAGATGCCTGCACCGGCAATGGGGGGGAGTGCCTCGTCAGCCAAAAGATGTGGAGAGGCCAGTCAGTACCCATGTACTAAGGAAGATTTAGGGTTTAGGGTTTAGGGTTTAGGGATCTCTGTTGAAACTTCTGGCAAGTTTAGGCAGTTTTCCTTAATTAGGATGTGGCCTTGGGTTTTTTCGGGATGTCGGAACACGAAGGCAGGCACGTGCGAGGTTTGTAGATTGGTCTCGCTAAGGTGGATCTTGGAGCCAGCGTTTGACGAGCCTCCGCCTGAGTGTGTCGGAGGCATCACCAGCCGTGACAACCACAACGGGAACGTGAGGAACGGCCACCCGCAGTACTACCTCTGGAAGATTCCCGAGCACATCAAAGGCCGTGTGGTGCTGCGCATCCGCTACAACATCACCACCGGCGACTTCACCTTAGGCTCGCTGGCAAACCCCACGGAGGAGGGGACCTCTCTTTCCGGCATCAAGGCAGACCCCTTCTTCATGGACCGCAGCTTCAATGATCCCAATCCCAACAATCGAAGGCGCGCCACGGAATCCTTTGAGGGGCAGAGAGGTGAGGAGCTAGAATCGCTTCATAAACAGGGGGTTTTGGGCACCCCTTAACTAAGGAAGGAAACCCTGATTATCACAAAACACGCTCCCTGAATGATGTTGAAGGTGTATTCCTGAAACACTTGAGTTTTGGGCTCCTGAGGTACCCTAACCCTAAACCCTAAACCCTAAACCCTATACCCCAAACCTCCGGGTTTGCGGTCCCTGGCCAGCAAAGGCGACGTACCTTCTCGGGTCGGCCGGGTGTCCCGGTGCCCCTGGCGCAGGAGGGCAAAGCTTCCCTACCAATTGCTTAAGGCCCCCCCCAAAAAATTCTTCCTTATAAGGGTAATGTCGGAATTATTGCTTTTCATTTTTTGGGGGTTCTTAAGCAGATAGTAGTCCCGAGCCCCCCCCAATATCCCGAACAGTGGGGTTTAGGGTGTAGGGTTTAGGGTTTGGGGTTTGGGGTTTAGGATTTAGGGTTTAGGCTTGGTAGTCCAGTGGTACCCTTTACCCATTTCTTTGGTTCTGGGTTCACTTCTAAAGTAAGCCAACCACCCTTTTTTCAAGATGGTTCCTGGGCTACCATGAGGGGTATGCCTAAACCCCAAGGTCTTGGGGCCCTGCAAAGAAAGAGGATCCTTAACCACAACCCTATACCCTATACCCTAAACCCTAAACCCTAAACCCTAAACCCTAAACCCTAAAGCCTAAAGCGGTCTTGGGGCTCCCTGAGCAAAAGAGGATCCCGTTGCGGATTGGATTGGCCTGGGCGAGGGCGCGACGGACCTGAGCCGACTCCTCCAATTGCAGGTGAACACCAACCAGTGGCCTGGCCAGGATCGGGTCCCCTAAACCCTAAACCCTACACCCTAAACCCTAAACCCTACACCCTAAACCCTGAACCTATGAGGGTTTAGGGTTTAGGGCTTAGGGCTTAGGTTTTCGGTGAGCCCTGAACCCCGAACCCTGAAAGCGAGCCCTAAACCCTAAACCCTAAACCCTCAACCCTAAACCCTAAACCCTGAACCCTAAACCCTAAACCCTAAACCCTAAACCCTAAACCCTAAACCCTAAACCCTAAACCCTAAACCCTAAACCCTAGAACCCTCAACCCTAGACCCTGAACCCGGAATCCTGAGCAAAAGGGTTCCAGGACCCAGGGGTTTCAGGATATCGAAGCTCAACACCCTAAACCCTACGAAAACCTGGCAGTCAAGTCCCAAACGCTACAATCCACTAAACCCTAAGCAAATAAGACGTAGAAAACAAAAACAAGAAGAACAGCCCAAACCCTTAAGCCCCAAAGCCCCAAAGCCCCAGTGCCCCAAAGCCCCAAAGCCCCCTAAACCCCAAAGCCCCCTAAACCCCAAACCCCAAACCCCAAACCCCAAACCCCAAACCCCAAACCCCAAACCCCAAACCCCAAACCCTAAACCCTAAACCCTAAACCCTAAAAGTGTAACCCAAGGTATGGGCGCACCTTTGAGGATCGCACCCACACCTTCCTGGTGTCTTGGCCGCTTACGGGTACCCGAAAGTGCCGGGTGCCCCATAGCTAAAGGTTTAGGGTTTAGGGTTTAGGTTTTAGGGAGGAACATACCTTGACTCGTAAAAATCCCGGATCCCTGCAGTATATGGGTTGAAGCAAGAACCTTCTTCAAGGGGCACCCGTTCCTTAGTTGAGGGGTGTTGAGTTCTTCCTGGGGTTGTTACATGGTCCCTGAATATGGTCCCTTACCTTCTTTAAAGGGTTCTGATGTATGGGCCCTTGGGTTGTGCAGGGTATATAAGGGGCCCCTTTTAAGGGACCATATCAAGGGTTTTGTATGTATATATATATATGTGTAGAAATCTATATGGCTTGTACAGTTTCGCGTGACCGTGCCCTTGGTCGTTTCTGAACCGGAATGTCAATCAAAGTTTGGAGCTGTTGAAGAGGCGGGGGACAAGCCTTCAAGGGTTTATAAGCCTAGGAGCCCTGAAGTTGCCATCCACAAGCCGCAAGTGAGGTGTCGGAGCGGCCCGCGGACGTTCCAGCCGACCGGCGGATCGTGAACTACAACGTGCGAGGCCGTCGCGGCAACATCGTGCAGGTGTACCCCTCGGTGGAGTACGACTTCGTGCCACAGGATGGTCTGGGGTCTTAAGAAGCCGTGGCCAAAACCCAGGCAAAAAACCCAAAAGACCTTGAAAACCCTGAAGCCCTAACGAATAAACGGCCCTAACCCTAAAGCCAAAAACCGTGCCTTTGCGGGTTCGGGTTCGGGACGGTTGCTCGGCACCCCGCGTCTCTTAATGCCCGAAGCCCCAAACGCCCACCAAGGAAGCCCGAGATTCCCCTCAAAGAAGGAACGCACCTTAACGAACCCTTACCAGGGACCGAGACATGGTGCAGGCCTTGTGTGACTTGTGTGCTCTGGGTAGCTGTGACAAGAAGGCCTTCAAATCCTGCTCCTAAACCCTGAACCGTCAAAGTCGAAACCCTAAAACCCTAAAACCCTCAAACCCTCAAACCCTCAAACCTTCAAACCCTCAAACCCTCAAACCCTAAAACCCTCAAACCCTCAAACCCTGAAACTCTAAAACCCTAAACCCTAAAACCCTAAAACCCTAAACCCTAAAACCCTCAAACCCTAAAACCCTAAAACCCTGAAACCCTGAAACCCTGAAACCCTCAAACTCTAAAACCCCTAAACTCTAAAACCCTGAAACCCTAAAACCCTAAACCCTAAACCCTAAACCCTAAACCCTAAAACCCTAAACCCTAAAACCCTCAAACTCTAAAACCGTAAACCCTAAAACCCTAAACGCCTCAACTCAGTGGGCCCTGGAGTTTGGCAAGCCCCGCAGGACCTCGTGGTGGAGCAGGGAACGCTGTCACTCGGTTTAGGGTTTAGGGTTTCGGGTTTCGGGTTTAGGGTTTCGGGTTTAGGGCTTCGGGTTTCGGGTTTAGGGTTTCGGATTTCGGGTTTAGGGTTTTTAGGGTTTCGGGTTTATGGGTGGCGTTTGTGGGGCACTGATCCTCTTGCCATCGTGTCTGTGAGAACTTGGTAAATCAAAGCACCCGCTCGCCTTTTAGCATCTTCTG